GTCATGACAAGGTCAGTAGACATGTTTCCACCTACCCCAGTCCGTCATGACAAGGTGGGTAGACATGTTTCCACCTACCCCAGTCCGTCATGACAAGGTCAGTAGACATGTTTCAACCTATTCCAGTCCGTCATGACAAGGTCAGTAGACATGTTTCAACCTACCCCAGTCTGTCATGACAAGGTCAGTAGACATGTTTCCACCTATTCCAGTCTGTCATGACAAGGTCAGTAGACATGTTTCCACCTACCCCAGTCCGTCATGACAAGGTGGGTAGACATGTTTCCACCTACCCCAGTCCGTCATGACAAGGTCAGTAGACATGTTTCAACCTATTCCAGTCCGTCATGACAAGGTCAGTAGACATGTTTCAACCTACCCCAGTCTGTCATGACAAGGTCAGTAGACATGTTTCCACCTACCCCAGTCCGTCATGACAAGGTCAGTAGACATGTTTCCACCTACACCAGTCCGTCATGACAAGGTGGGTAGACATGTTTCAACCTACCCCAGTCTGTCATGACAAGGTCAGTAGACATGTTTGCACCTATTCCAGTCTGTCATGACAAGGTGAGTAGACATGTTTCAACCTACCCCAGTCCGTCATGACAAGGTCAGTAGACATGTTTCCACCTATTCCAGTCTGTCATGACAAGGTCAGTAGACATGTTTCAACCTACCCCAGTCCGTCATGACAAGGTCAGTAGACATGTTTCCACCTATTCCAGTCTGTCATGACAAGGTCAGTAGACATGTTTCAACCTACCCCAGTCCGTCTTGACAAGGTCAGTAGACATGTTTCCACCTACCGCAGTCCGTCATGACAAGGTGGGTAGACATGTTTCAACCTACCCCAGTCCGTCATGACAAGGTCAGTAGACATGTTTTTACGTACCCCAGTCCGTCATGACAAGGTCAGTAGACATATTTCCACCTACCTCAGTCCGTCATGACAAGGTCAGTAGACATGTTTCAACGTACCCCAGTCCGTCATGACAAGATCAGTAGACATGTTTCCACCTATTCCAGTCTGTCATGACAAGGTCAGTAGACATGTTTCCACCTACACCAGTCCGTCCACATGACAAGGTGGGTAGACATGTTTCAACCTACCCCAGTCCGTCATGACAAGGTCAGTAGACATGTTTCCACCTATTCCAGTCTGTCATGACAAGGTCAGTAGACATGTTTCAACCTACCCCAGTCCGCCTCTTGACAAGGTCAGTAGACATGTTTCCACCTACCACAAGAGTCCGTCATGACAAGGTGGGTAGACATGTTTCAACCTACCCCAGTCCGTCATGACAAGGTCAGTAGACATGTTTTACTGCATTCCCAGTCCGTCATGACAAGGTCAGTAGACATATTTCCACCTACTCCCAGTCCGTCATGACAAGGTCAGTAGACATGTTTCAACGCACTCCCAGTCCGTCATGACAAGATCAGTAGACATGTTTCCACCTATTCCAGTCTGTCATGACAAGGTCAGTAGACATGTTTCCACCTACCCCAGTCCGTCATGACAAGGTGGGTAGACATGTTTCCACCTACCCCAGTCCGTCATGACAAGGTCAGTAGACATGTTTCAACCTATTCCAGTCCGTCATGACAAGGTCAGTAGACATGTTTCAACCTACCCCAGTCTGTCATGACAAGGTCAGTAGACATGTTTCCACCTACCCCAGTCCGTCATGACAAGGTCAGTAGACATGTTTCCACCTACACCAGTCCGTCATGACAAGGTGGGTAGACATGTTTCAACCTACCCCAGTCTGTCATGACAAGGTCAGTAGACATGTTTGCACCTATTCCAGTCTGTCATGACAAGGTGAGTAGACATGTTTCAACCTACCCCAGTCCGTCATGACAAGGTCAGTAGACATGTTTCTACCTATTCCAGTCTGTCATGACAAGGTCAGTAGACATGTTTCAACCTACCCAGTCTGTCATGACAAGGTCAGTAGACATGTTTCCACCTACCCCAGTCCGTCATGACAAGGTCAGTAGACATGTTTCCACCTACACCAGTCCGTCATGACAAGGTGGGTAGACATGTTTCAACCTACCCCAGTCCGTCATGACAAGGTCAGTAGACATGTTTCAACCTACCCCAGTCCGTCATGACAAGGTCAGTAGACATGTTTCAACCTACCCCAGTCTGTCATGACAAGGTCAGTAGACATGTTTCCACCTATTCCAGTCTGTCATGACAAGGTCAGTAGACATGTTTCCACCTACACCAGTCCGTCATGACAAGGTGGGTAGAAATGTTTAAACCTACCCCAGTCCATCATGACAAGGTCAGTAGACATGTTTCCACCTATTCCAGTCTGTCATGACAAGGTCAGTAGACATGTTTCCACCTACCGCAGTCCGTCATGACAAGGTGGGTAGACATGTTTCAACCTACCCCAGTCCGTCATGACAAGGTCAGTAGACATGTTTTTACGTACCCCAGTCCGTCATGACAAGGTCAGTAGACATGTTTTTACGTACCCCAGTCCGTCATGACAAGGTCAGTAGACATATTTCCACCTACCCCAGTCCGTCATGACAAGGTCAGTAGACATGTTTCAACGTACCCCAGTCCGTCATGACAAGATCAGTAGACATGTTTCCACCTATTCCAGTCTGTCATGACAAGGTCAGTAGACATGTTTCCACCTACCCCAGTCCGTCATGACAAGGTGGGTAGACATGTTTCCACCTACCCCAGTCCGTCATGACAAGGTCAGTAGACATGTTTCAACCTATTCCAGTCCGTCATGACAAGGTCAGTAGACATGTTTCAACCTACCCCAGTCTGTCATGACAAGGTCAGTAGACATGTTTCCACCTATTCCAGTCTGTCATGACAAGGTCAGTAGACATGTTTCCACCTACCCCAGTCCGTCATGACAAGGTGGGTAGACATGTTTCCACCTACCCCAGTCCGTCATGACAAGGTCAGTAGACATGTTTCAACCTATTCCAGTCCGTCATGACAAGGTCAGTAGACATGTTTCAACCTACCCCAGTCTGTCATGACAAGGTCAGTAGACATGTTTCCACCTACCCCAGTCCGTCATGACAAGGTCAGTAGACATGTTTCCACCTACACACCAGTCCGTCATGACAAGGTGGGTAGACATGTTTCAACCTACCCCAGTCTGTCATGACAAGGTCAGTAGACATGTTTGCACCTATTCCAGTCTGTCATGACAAGGTGAGTAGACATGTTTCAACCTACCCCAGTCCGTCATGACAAGGTCAGTAGACATGTTTCCACCTATTCCAGTCTGTCATGACAAGGTCAGTAGACATGTTTCAACCTAACCCAGTCCGTCATGACAAGGTCAGTAGACATGTTTCAACCTACCCCAGTCCGTCATGACAAGGTCAGTAGACATGTTTCCACCTACTGCGAGTCGTCCATGACAAGGTGGGTAGACATGTTTCAACCTACCCCAGTCCGCCATGACAAGGTCAGTAGACATGTTTTACGCACCCCAGTCCGTCATGACAAGGTCAGTAGACATATTTCCACCTACTCCCAGTCCGGCCATGACAAGGTCAGTAGACATGTTTCAACGTGCACTCCCAGTCCGTCATGACAAGATCAGTAGACATGTTTCCACCTATTCCAGTCTGTCATGACAAGGTCAGTAGACATGTTTCCACCTACTCCCAGTCCGCTCATGACAAGGTGGGTAGACATGTTTCACCTACCCCAGTCCGTCATGACAAGGTCAGTAGACATGTTTCAACCTATTCCAGTCCGTCATGACAAGGTCAGTAGACATGTTTCAACCTACCCCAGTCTGTCATGACAAGGTCAGTAGACATGTTTCCACCTATTCCAGTCTGTCATGACAAGGTCAGTAGACATGTTTCCACCTACCCCAGTCCCACATGACAAGGTGGGTAGACATGTTTCCACCTACTCCCAGTCCGTCATGACAAGGTCAGTAGACATGTTTCAACCTATTCCAGTCCGCCATGACAAGGTCAGTAGACATGTTTCAATCCTACCCCAGTCTGTCATGACAAGGTCAGTAGACATGTTTCCACCTACCCCAGTCCGTCATGACAAGGTCAGTAGACATGTTTCCACCTACACCAGTCCGTCATGACAAGGTGGGTAGACATGTTTCAACCTACCCCAGTCTGTCATGACAAGGTCAGTAGACATGTTTGCACCTATTCCAGTCTGTCATGACAAGGTGAGTAGACATGTTTCAACCTACCCCAGTCCGTCATGACAAGGTCAGTAGACATGTTTCTACCTATTCCAGTCTGTCATGACAAGGTCAGTAGACATGTTTCAACCTACCCCAGTCTGTCATGACAAGGTCAGTAGACATGTTTCCACCTACCCCAGTCCGTCATGACAAGGTCAGTAGACATGTTTCCACCTACACCAGTCCGTCATGACAAGGTGGGTAGACATGTTTCAACCTACCCCAGTCCGTCATGACAAGGTCAGTAGACATGTTTCAACCTACCCCAGTCCGTCATGACAAGGTCAGTAGACATGTTTCAACCTACCCCAGTCTGTCATGACAAGGTCAGTAGACATGTTTCCACCTATTCCAGTCTGTCATGACAAGGTCAGTAGACATGTTTCCACCTACACCAGTCCGTCATGACAAGGTGGGTAGAAATGTTTAAACCTACCCCAGTCCATCATGACAAGGTCAGTAGACATGTTTCCACCTATTCCAGTCTGTCATGACAAGGTCAGTAGACATGTTTCAACCTACCCCAGTCCGTCATGACAAGGTCAGTAGACATGTTTCCACCTATTCCAGTCTGTCATGACAAGGTCAGTAGACATGTTTCAACCTACCCCAGTCCGTCATGACAAGGTCAGTAGACATGTTTCCACCTAAACCAGTCCGTCATGACAAGGTCAGTAGACATGTTTCAACCTACCCCAGTCTGTCAAGACAAGGTCAGTAGACATGTTTCCACCTACCGCAGTTTGTCATGACAAGGTAAGTAGACATGTTTCAACCTACCCCAGTCTGTCATGCCATGGTCAGCAGACATGACATAAGCTGTGCGGCCATCTTGGTTATAGAAGTCTTCAAACAGAGACACCATTTGTTCAATCCCATGGTTAAGGAGATGAATATTTTCTATGTATTCTCTGGAAAAAGAATTATAGACAGTTTCTGAGTTACTACAATCCATGTTTTAATAAGGTGAACATATGTTGTTGACAATTTATGAGGTAGTGTATTACTCCAGGGTGTCCACAGGCTACTGATCATATTATTTGGGACATATCTGGTGTCTGGAAAATACACGGTCCTCAGATTCATGTAGACATTTACCTTGAGTGTGGTTTGTGAGAATGTCCATTTGTGTCTAATCCAAGAAGATGAAGGAAGAAGACAATCTTATCTTGCTGCAGTTGATGAAGTAATGTCGCATTACTCTTGGCCGAGGAAAGGAATTTCTGGAATGACATACATTAACTTTCTGTGTAGTTGTGTGAATTTCTGTACACTGCAGCTCTAACAGGCTACATCAGCTTAATCATGGTAATGAGGTCACAGATCTTAATCATATTAATGCCATTTTCAAATTAGCAGTAAAATGAAGGAATATTGTTTTGTAGTGCCTACCTTGACCCTCTGGTAAACCCAGGTATCGAGTTGACTGGCATCGAAACTGGCAAAATCTTCCTCAGCTGAAGAGTAGCAGTGTGTGAACACATGGCCGCCAGTTGCACCTCAAACATGGAACATGGCTAATAAACATCCTGGTTCACATTCTAGGCAACACAAAATAATCCAACTGGCCAAATATTTGAACTTTTCCATATTTCTGCTCAATATTTAGATCCTGGTTTGAAAGGGAACGACTGATTACTGCCATTCACTTGCTAACATCTACCCTAGAAATTCCCAAATATCTAAAGGACACACTGTATTAGGTGCATGGGAGATGGAAATCAGCATGATAGAATTCGGAGTACATGTAGTAGTTAGCACAACAGAATGGTTGATGCAAGTCCAATTCCCTCTTCAAGTGCTCACCACATATCATGCTTATCAAAGAGGAAACAGTAAACCTGCACAGACATACGGGACAAAGTCTGAAGCTATGTCAGCAAAATTTGTATTCATATCAATATAGTCAATCAGTTATGATGAATTATACAGTTTTCTACTTGCATCTTAATGCTAATTGGACAAAAAGAAGGAAGAGGGTAAATACTGGTTTCTGCTACTTTACTGAATGCCACGGTAAATACTATATAAAGTAATACCGAACTTCAAAAAATAAGAAATCATAACTCTGTTCAAAATAATATGATGTTCCCACAACATCTGGTGTTGTAGATGAAACTGTGTGAGAGCTGTACCTTTGGCAAACATAGGTAATATGTCTGGGCTCCCCCAAGACCAAGTGTAGCGACTCTCATTGAAAACAGAGTCAAACTCGACTGGATTTTCCTTCCATCCTGCAAGGAATAAATCATAAGGTACTCATTATCAACACCATTACCATACAAGACCAGTCTAGACTACCAGTTGTCTGACTTCCATTTTGTGGAAGCCGCGGTGGCTGAGCGGTCTAGGCATCTGTCTTTGTGTGCTGGCAATTAGATGCCTGACTCTGAGGGTGTGGGTTCGAATCCCGGATGGGACTCAAAAAAGTACTAGAATCTATACTTTACTAAGAAAGTGTTATCCCAAATATAACATATGTTACACCATTACCATAAAACTGAAATACTATGAAAATAATCTAAGTTTGAGTTTGCAAGTTTGAGAATGCTATAAGTAATGCTAGTGGCAATGAGTTTTAAAAAGAGAGAACAATAAACCTGCAAGTTAGTAACACATTATCTTGAACTGACAAGATGGCATCATACCTTTCGCCACAGCACTGACATCTTCATAAAAGCCAGCAATGAGCGCCACATGCCCTGGTCTTGACTCTGTTGGCACCCGAGTGTGTGACACACCCCATGACCCTTTGTCCTGAATAACATTCCTGTCATAGACATGAGCATAATTGTTATCAAAGCAAATAGAGTTTACTTAACACAGCAAATAAAACTGTTGCCCAAACAACAATAACATTACCGGTATTTAATACCATGGTTACATGCACACAACCCCATTCCAGCCATCGGTACATCTTAAGTGAATATCCCATTTTAATACTACTGATCACCTGAGGTAGAGTTCCCGTCCTGATTCATCTCTATTCTGCTGAAAGAAACGGTCTGCTCTCAATCCATCGGCAACAAACAGTACCAGTCTCCTGGCAGGTGGTGGAGAATCAGGAACACTTGGCGTCATTCCATGCACCAATGGTGATGTGAAGTAAATGTCAAAGATGGAGTAGAAGAGAATCAGGTGAACCACCAATCCAGACAGCATCAGCTGCCACACCTTCATCTTCCGTCACAATACCACTGGAAAAATAAACATAAACATTGTCAGCCTACTTACAATCTACACTATTAAAAACATCTATCCACTACTGCAAGGTACAAAGAAGCAACATCACTGTCATTGAGTGTTGAATAATTTCTGTTCATGAGGTAATTAATTGATCAGTTTACATGGACAATGTTTAGTGATGTTAGTTATGTTGATAAGATGTGTGTGAGTGTGTGTGTATTTTATTACGTATGGTAATTCACATATATATTGGACTATCCAGAATTATGTCAATACAATGAACGTTCCTTATGTTATAATGAATTATCACCAAAATACAGAGATACAGAACGTTCTATTTACAGAGTGCGCTAATATTGTAAGACGCCTCTGATCATTACCCGATCACACTAACCAACATAGACTAATTGGTCCTCATGTGATCTGAAGCCTATAATACATAATGGTACCTCAGAACATAGCTTAGTGGGGCCGATAATGCTGTAGGCTCAGGAGGCCGGGTTACCGGTCAGGAATTAGGTTTAGTAATCTCGCGACTAGACTTCCTCACTGGTTTATTGTGAATGTACAAGTTGATATCATTTGCAATGTCCGTAAAAATAATCAGAATGTGGGAATTATTATACAGGTTGGTTTTCAAATAACACAAAACAAGCAGGAACCTGAACCGTGCTGACATGTGCCCCACAACGCGGAAATAAAAATAAACCGGAAGTTTACACAATATAGTAACAAGAGTATGATTGGCTATTGTACTTGTTAGATGACCAATTGTAAATGTGTTAACATTTATGTAAGAAACCGAGACTCTATTGGCTAAACGCCTTCAATATTATCCAATCGAAAGCGCTGTAACAATTGGATCATTGACATTTCCGTCTTCCGGCTGTGGCTATATACACGACGTCGTGTATATAATGCTCTTATATACACGACAAGACCATGTCGTGCATATAACTCTGTTATATACACGACATGACGTATATATGTGTATATATGTCTCCTATATCCACCACAGCCCTTTTAACGTTTATATAATGCTGTCATTCACACGGCAACTAATTAAACTATATGTTTACCTCAGGATATATTTATGAGAAATTATAACTGAATGGGTAAAAACAATTCCATAATGACATATGAATATAAAATAAAGAACTATTTTTGAGCACCATCCAGTGTCGTTTCGATTTTTTGTCTTACAAATTTGAAGTCACGCTACAAATGTTATATGTAGATATATTTGTAACATATATTCGTAGTTGCATTGACGAGACTTTAATAAATGAATTATTACAACTTATACATGAGATACATATCGTCGTCAGGATTATAAATAAATTAATGTTTACAGAACTATTTCGTGCTGCGAATTTATAAATTTATGAATAAAATCTAACACAAACTAAGTTCATTCAACGCATGTACCAGTTTTATTTTTAATATATTTGTACATGTGCATACATTCACGGAACGATGTGTGTGTAACAAAAACATTTTTTTCTCGTAAATAGTTCATGTCGTATTTGGCCTTAATAAGACAAACTAAAACTCTGCAGGGCAGCGTGTGACTAGTCATTTGTTTGGAGATAAAACTCTACAATTTTTAAGGCCGCGGCTACCTGTATATGAGTTAGAAAATCAAACTTTACAAAGTAGCGGGTACCTGTGTGTGTTAAGAGATGAAACTCCACAAGGTAGCGGTTACCTCTATAAATCTTTAGGGGTAAAAGTCTACAAGGCAGCTGGTACCTTTATGTATGTAAAGTATAACAAGGCGCAAGCAGTGAGTGTGCAGTTTTTAGTGTATCGTATATATATTTATACTTTTATGTATGTATGTGAGTGGTGTTTTGGGTTGTTTTTTTTTGTTATTCTAATAGTATGTAGCATTTGCATGTAAGTATGCATGTTTGCAGGTATGTGAGTGTTTGCATATACATGTGCATGTAAGTGCGCGTAGGTAGCTTTTTGTGTTTGTATGTGAGTTCTTGTGTATGTGTGTGAGTACTTCATAGAGAGATAGTGTAAGCCTGTGGCTGTGTATGTGAATGCTTGATTGCGTGTATGCGTGAGTGAGTGTATGAGTGAGCGAGTGCACGATTGCGTGTCAGTGTGCGTGCGTCAGTGTGGTTCTAACTTCTGTGTGATTGTATTCTCTTATTTTATTGCTGTGATATTCTAGTATTTTAGTGTCTCATATGCCACACGTCCGGGTGCTTTATATATTCAATGTACGTATTTATTACATTGTATTCCATTACAAAACCCCGTGACACTTTAATAAACATTTTCTCTATATGTGTTAGGAGATACAACTCTAAAAGTCAGCGGGCACCCGTGTCTGTGTTAGGAGATAAAATTCTACAAGGCAGCTGGTTCCTTTGTATGTGTGGGGATAACACTCTACCAAACAATGGGTACCTGCGTGTGTTAGGAGATAACACTATGCTAGCCAGTGGATACCTCCATATGTGTTTGGAGATAAAACTCTACAAGGCAGCAGGTACATGTGTGTGTAGGAGTTACACTTATGCTGCTCGGTACCTTTAAGAGTTGATCTTTAAGTGAAAGACGAATGTCAGCAAATGACGAATGACCGATATTTCATATATAAAAATGCGCATTGCTTCTTCCCGTCATTCGTTATTCATGTTATGGTGTCTCGAAACGCATTGACGCTCACATAAGGTGGCATCGCATAATTCGACTTATGAATATTCTAAATAATCCTGCAAAGATTCTGAATGAAAATATTACAACGTTGAATAACAACAATTTGACAGATTTTATTCCAAATAAGGTGTAATATGTTATGGATGACACTGATACAATATGATACAAATCTAACAGAATAGCCTACACTCATACAGGTTGAATGACACTAATAAACACGAAACAACACCGATACAGGTGACATGACACTAACACAGGTGGAATAACATATAGGTGACATGACACTAATACTGGAGGAATAACATACTGGTGACATGACACTAATACAGGTGGAATAACATACAGGTGACATGACACTAATACTGAAGGAATAACATACTGGTGACATGACACTAACACAGGTGGAATAACATACAGGTGACATGACACTAATACAGGTGGAATAACATACTGGTGACATGACACTAATACTGGAGGAATAACATACAGGTGACATGACACTAACACAGGTGGAATAACATACAGGTGACATGACACTAATACAGGTGGAATAACATACAGGTGACATGACACTAATACTGGAAGAATAACATACTGGTGACATGACACTAACACAGGAGGAATAACATACAGGTGACATGACACTAATACAGGTGGAATAACATACAGGTGACATGACACTAACACAGGTGGAATAACATACAGGTGACATGACACTAATACAGGAGGAATAACATACTTGTGACATGACACTAACACAGGTGGAATAACATACAGGTGACATGACACTAATACAGGTGGAATAACATACAGGTGACATGACGCTAATACTGGAGGAATAACATACAGGTGACATGACACTAATACAGGTGGAATAACATACTGGTGACATGACACTAACACAGGAGGAATAACATACTGGTGACATGACACTAACACAGGAGGAATAACATACAGGTGACATGACACTAATACAGGTGGAATAACATACAGGTGACATGACACTAACACAGGTGGAATAACATACAGGTGACATGACACTAACACAGGAGGAATAACATACAGGTGACATGACACTAATACAGGTGGAATAACATACAGGTGACATGACACTAATACTGGAGGAATAACATACAGGTGACATGACACTAATACAGGTGGAATAACATACTGGTGACATGACACTAACACAGGAGGAATAACATACTGGTGACATGACACTAACACAGGAGGAATAACATACAGGTGACATGACACTAATACAGGTGGAATAACATACAGTTGACATGACACTAACACAGGTGGAATAACATACAGGTGACATGACACTAACACAGGAGGAATAACATACAGGTGACATGACACTAATACAGGTGGAATAACATACAGGTGACATGACACTAATACTGGAGGAATAACATACAGGTGACATGACACTAATACAGGTGGAATAACATACAGGTGACATGACACTAATACAGGTGGAATAACATACTGGTGACATGACACTAATACAGGTGGAATAACATACAGGTGACATGACACTAATACTGGAGGAATAACATACAGGTGACATGACACTAATACAGGTGGAATAACATACAGGTGACATGACACTAATACAGGAGGAATAACATACAGGTGACATGACACTAACACAGGAGGAATAACATACAGGTGACATGACACTAATACAGGTGGAATAACATACAGGTGACATGACGCTAATACTGGAGGAATAACATACAGGTGACATGACACTAATACAGGTGGAATAACATACTTGTGACATGACACTAACACAGGAGGAATAACATACTGGTGACATGACACTAATACAGGAGGAATAACATACAGGTGACATGACACTAATACAGGTGGAATAACATACTGGTGACATGACACTAACACAGGAGGAATAACATACAGGTGACATGACACTAATACAGGTGGAATAACATACAGGTGACATGACACTAACACAGGAGGAATAACATACTGGTGACATGACACTAACACAGGAGGAATAACATACAGGTGACATGACACTAATACAGGAGGAATAACATACAGGTGACATGACACTAATACAGGTGGAATAACATACAGGTGACATGACACTAATACTGGAGGAATAACATACAGGTGACATGACACTAATACAGGTGGAATAACATACAGGTGACATGACACTAATACAGGTGGAATAACATACTGGTGACATGACACTAACACAGGAGGAATAACATACTGGTGACATGACACTAACACAGGAGGAATAACATACAGGTGACATGACACTAATACAGGTGGAATAACATACAGTTGACATGACACACATGTGTGTGCCACTAGCCTTATCTTCCCTCCGGGGCAGGAGAGGTGTAAGGAATTGGGGGCAGGAAGGAAAGTGACTGCTAACAAACTGTCAATTTACTTTATGTTTAAAGGTGGGCACCTGGTTTGTTTAGTGCAAGATGTGTATATGTTCCACTCATTCCAATTCCTAAGTCCATTCCATTCTCTACACTTTGAATTCTGAATCTAGGGAATCGCAGAGAAGGTCGTTATTGCAGGAAACAATATCGGAAATCTCCCATGAAATAGACACTGTTTCTGCCTTTACCTGCAACATTCCGTCATGCATAACTCTTAAATACATTCATTTTATGAAATGAATAAATACTCTCTCGCCTCAATATCTATTTAACCTCGTACCTACAATACCTAAAACTAATGATGATAACCTATGGGGAATTTCATCAGTGCGAACAGTTACATGTAGAACGCCGACATACGTCAGATCATTCTTGCCGGATACAAAATAACAATGAAATTCACTTGGTACTGAAATTCAAAATATCGATACTTTATCCCGATTAAAAAAATCGTTATGCAGACCTAAAAAGAAAACTATTATCTTGGACCGAAACTATGGCGCAAGAATATGTCAAAGTATCCATTCTCGCCTCAGGTTCCGTTAAAGTGATTTGAATTACCATAGGTTTGACAGACATATCTACCCGTGAAGGTCTGGGTTAGAATATTGGCCTTCAGTAACCCATGCTTGTCGTAAGAGGCGACTAACGGAATCAGGTGGTCAGGGTGGCTGACTTGGTTGACACATGTCATCGGTTCCCAATTGCGCAGATCGGTGTTCCTGCTGTTGATCACTGGATTGTCTGGTCCAGACTCGATTATTTACAGACCTCCGCCATATAGCTGGAATATTGCTGTGTGAGGTGTAAAACTAAACTCACTCACTGACAGACATATCGTCGACAGCCCCTCCTGCTCTTGTGGTCATAAGATCGAAAATGCTGTACATTATTTCTTAACATGCGATAAATACATGGAATTATGACAAAAATCATTCTTCTATTTAAAGGGATTTAGTATCAACACATATAGTATTATAACGGGGGTGTGGTGGGCGAGCTGGCTAAGGCTCGTGATCCAGCAAGCTTGAGGTGTCGGGATCGAACCCACCTGTGCAGCCTCTTTCAGTGTTGTAACAACCCCTAGTGTACAGTACACGGTTACAGGCCGGGAGAGCCACATTTCCGAAACAGATAGTCTAAATTGATGTGGCTTTCCCGGCAATAGTTACGGTTGCGTGAACATGGAATGTGGCTCTCCCGGCTATGCTGTCAAAACATGCTTAGTGAATATGGTATTTAACAAAACAAGGCATGTTTCCTCATAACTTTATTCAGATCACAACAGGTTTTGTTTCTATACTTAGCACAATATAATATACTAATAGGTATATTACATATAATAATAATATCACAAAATAATAATAAATCTTAATCTGTAAAACATAATAATAATGATAATGGTTTAGTTAAAACACCCCGAACTTTATGGTTTATGGAGAACTTGGAAGACAACCTATTCAGCTCCAAATCTCTAAACGATTAATTACTTATTGGTGCAAATTGAAATTTTCTCATCCAAACAACAAAATAGCAGCTTTCATTCTAGATTATATTATGGATGATGCTCCCTGGTTAAATCATGTGAAACACATATTTTGTAAATGCGGCTGTATTTGTAAACCCCTTTCATTACACTCAATCCTGAATCATATCAAAATCTGAATCAATCCTGAAAGACCAGTTTTTACAATCATGGACCAGTGAAATGAATAGTTCATCTAAAGGCTAATATTATAAGATTTTTAAAAACTCACCTTCACTCGACATATACCATTTTGAGTAATAAACAATGAGTGTAGAAGCTAAACACCACGCTTGTGAGTAGGACAGATTATTAGTTTCTTGTGAAAACAATATTATACAATGTGATTTAGAATCATAAATAGGAATAGTCTTTTACCAGTATTGCTAAACACCACGCTTGTGAGTAAGAAAAAATATTCGTTTCTTGTGAAATAAAAATTATCCATGGTAATCCATTAATTAATTAATCTATTGGAAATGTGGCTTTACCGGCTACAGCCATGTAATTGAATTGTGGCCTTCCCGGCAATAGTCATTTATTAAATGTGACTTCCCCGGCCTGTCACCCAGTACACAACCCTGTGCACTTACAAGAAACCATGAAGCGTAGGTATATGACCAGATGGAGGGCACATGAATACGTGAAAACACCTAGTTGCCGGTACAGCAACGTGCAGTAAATTGAACAAAGTACTGTGACTCTGTGTCCCAGTACATCCAGCTGGGAATGGGTACCTCGGAAAGATGAGAAAGCCGCGATAACTCGGTGCACTATAGTGGCTGCAAGAGTTGTAAGTTCCCCGATAATACGATGTACCGTTGAGATTGCAGGGGATACACTTGTTTTGTACCAGATACCTACTGCAGGGGATACACTTGTTTTGTACCAGATACCTACTGCAGTGGATACACTTGTTTTGTACCAGATACCTACTGCAGTGGATACACTTGTTTTGTACCAGATACCTGTGCAAAAAAATATTATTCCCATATTTGAATGCGAAAGCAATAGAACACAACACAAGTAAAGAAAACGTCATCATTCCTCTAGCCCCCGTCCCCATAACCCCCTGTTGTTACAAGCCACCAGACCCCTGAAGATCCGGGGTAGAATAGGTCTTCAGCATCCCACGCTTGCCACAAATGTCGTAAGAGGCGACTAACGGGATCGCGTGGTCAGGCTCGCTGACTTGGTTGACACATGTCATCGGTACCCAATTGCGTAGATCGATGCTCATGTTGTTGATCACTGGATTGTCTGGTCCAGACTCGATTATTTACAGACCGCCTCCATTTAGCTGGAATATTGCTGACTGCGGCGTAAAACTCAACTCACTCACAACAAGCCACTAATTTGTACCTCTATAGCCCCTCGCTTGGCTGTTCTGTTAGCTGTACTCACTCCACCGTAACTGGATTAACTGCTACTATCAATTATCTCGTTAGGTTGGGTGTTGGTTTTGAATAGGTGACTCCCGGTACTTAGGGAGATAATGGGCACAATATTAATGTGTGAAGCCCATTTCTGGTGTCCCCGCCGTGATACTGCTGGAATATTGCTGAAAGCGGCATAAAACTAAACTCATTCACTCACACCTTTTACTGAAACCATTTCCGGATACAGCTTGCGTAACAAATCAGATTTGGCTGTTCCTAAATTTCGCACCTCAATTCTCCAAGAGTCATTTATTTATGATTCTGCAAGTTTATGGAATGCTCTCTCCTCTACAACAAAATGTACAAATTCATTATCATCGTGTAAATCAAAGTTCTCTGGAAATAATGACAAGGTTCCAAAAGAAAGACAAATATACTACACACGAAGTTAAGACATTCGTGTAGTTCATTACAAGCAGATCTGTTTCGTGTTAATCTATCAGAGAGTAGAGCTTGCAATTGTGGTACTCCGGTGGAAGATGCTAACCATTTCTTCTTAAAATGTCCAAAATTTGTCAGTTGCCGTTTTGATCTGAAGAAAGACTTTGAACTATCAAAAGTACAGTTAGACATTGATACCATTCTTTACGGCAACGCTGCTCTGCCAAATACTATCAATGAAAATATCTTTAGACATGTGCATACATACATTGTACGAAGTAAGCGCTTCAATTAATCAATAATATGTCTCAATATTATTATGTCTATCCATTACTACCAATCATTATTGTTCATGTTTCTGATATGGGAGCGGGCGGCAATTATTATAAGTTACATAACTTGTGCCCAATCCATTTCAACACTGAATAAAATATGTTCAAACAAACTGAAAGGTTTATCATCCGGAGAAGATGGGATTCAAACAACAATTTAAAAATTTATTCTGTCATCGTATATGATTTCTTCATGTTTTTTAATCAATATTGTCAAATAAATATAACTAAATCAGTTTTTACTACAAAAAGACTTTTTGACCGAGAAGTTATACTGATACTTTGTACCAAGGACTTTTCCTACAACTTTCCAGCCATGCAACTTAAACGAATTAAACAAAAGTAAGAGAACGATTCTTTATTATCTAAACCAAGTCACCCACTAACAACCATCACCTGACCTAACGAGTTAATTCATAGTACTTAGCAGTAAATCCAGTTACAGGGGAGTGAGTACAGCTAACAGAACAGCCGGGCGATGGACTAGCGGTACAAATTAGTGGCTTGTAACAACAGGGGGCAAGAGGTGTGGAGTCAAGAACACACAACATAAGTGAAACATATTTATGTCATATATTTTTAATGCAACAAAAAATCAACGTCAGGAATGATTGTGATTATTATCCCTTGAGGAAATAAAGGTAACAGGGCTTCGTAGACTGTGTAAATGGGCATGTCCTTCGAACCCATTTCATCATTGCTATTCCAAACACATACAGAACGAGAACAATAAATATTGAGGGTAAGTAATTAAACTTGGCGTTCGCTTACAAATATGTACGGAATGTCTGAATACATTGAGGGCATGAGTTCGGTCGATCCTACTATAGGACCACATGACCGAATGTCTTGACTGGGAGTAATATATATATATTAATATAAGTATTTAAGCAGAGCTACAGATACCTTTTTGGGGTATGTACTCGCTTATACTCATCCCAATTGGGTATCCTATTTTTCCTTTGAGTAACTATAAAAATGTACTCATCTTACTCAAACTCAATTGGGTATTTTACTATTTCCATTAACTTTAAAAATACAATAAAGTTTAAATGTGAGTGTTTGTTATTTATATTTGATCTGTATTATGAGAAACGATAAGAAAAACTACAAGTTGCCAAGTTCATGTTCTGAAATAGAATGTCTCAATATCATGTTATTTTATTTATCCACCGGTACGCAAGCTAAGATTTGACATTTTTGTGTGTATACATGTAAGATCACATTTATTGAGTATTTACAAAAAATCAAGCGTACTTATTTATGCAAGAGTCTTAATAGGAATTGAATTTTCACATAGATATTTACTTAATTTACGCAGACACGCAGCTTATCTGTACCTCTGATTAAGACATTCGAGTACCAATATAATGTGATATGCGAGACAGGGCCCAGTTTAATGTAACGCTTGTTCTCCGGCGGTACAAGGGTTTGTAACCGGTTTACAAGCAATCTACCAATCACAGCGCGTGTTGCAAACCGGGGTTGGGAAATTATCCAGTCGTGTATATTGTACCACAATATACACGACGTCGTGCATATAGACGATTCGCCGTCTTCCTTGCTATTTTTATTTTGTACATGGAGGTATCATGAAGTTTTACTTACACTAAAGAAAGAAGATGGGGAAGATAGAATGGTCGATGTGGGCAAATGAACAGGCGTTAGCCAGTTCCGCTGGTTGGTCTAAATTAGTTCTTTAAATCATATGAATCATAGATCTTAAGATCCAAACTGTCTAGAAGATATGTAATTGTGTGATGTTTTGAACTCTTTCGCGAACCTTAATTTCAGTGGCATTTCGTTCCTGTATTCGTATTTCAGTTGTTGTCCTTGGAGGGATTGTCACACTTGCAGGGAAGTTCAAGAACTACCAGTTTGGAATCTATGGAATGTATCCTTGTGAGTTGGATACTGTGCCTAGGGCACAGCTAGAGGACTTCACCGAGTGAGCGATCGACAATCCATACCCACACCATTCGTCTAACTCTCTTAGACCTTTGCTGCTAAACGACTAGCTTAAGTGATTGTTGAAGGCCAGAATTATTTCCATTTTAATTAGATAAATTCATGTCAATTTTCACGTAATTGCCCACTTAAAAGACTGTTTTCACCAACATGGCAACACTTAGTCCAGAACCGTGGTCCTATACAGTCAAGTATACATCATGGCTCTCGGCTAGGCAACTCTCATTCCCCAGGTTACTTTTTCCCAAAATTTCCAAATTCTTCAGGCTTCCTGTGAGCCAAGACACCAAAGGGCCAGCAATAGTTCGTAGACAGTTCGACTCTTAGTCATGACATCATTTGTACAAATTGTACATTTGTCTTGGATGTCAACCTCTTTGACCTTTCTCGCCACATAAAGCTGTCATTTCAAACTGGCATTTGACCTCACAAAAGAGTTCCTTACGTATCTCCTGCCTATTTTTGTGTTGAGCAAACACTATAGTTTAGTCTATAGTTTATAGTTAAAAATTAGGTAGGGGGTACGTAAGGAACTTGTACCGACCACATTTCACTAATTGAATATAAGACCACTGCATTTTGGCAAGCCATTAGCCACCTGTTTGCACAGGCCAATATACAACATGGTAAAGGTAATTATTTATTTATTTTTTCAGTCAAAACACATTACTGTTTAAAATGCTGAACTCAAAGTTGAACCTAAAGTTGAACCCAATTTATTTCTCCTGTTGTAAATGGTTGTCATTTCTTGCAGCCTTTCTAATCTATTAATTATATACAGGAGAGGTGGAAATTGAGAAGAGGAATAAATAGCCTTGTTTTGATTACAACTGTGGTTTTCGATGTTATTGTCAAAAGTAAGTTCTGTGTATTGAATCCTCTTAACTGTGGTGCAGCTGTGTTGGAGTGCTCGTTGAGTTGTTGGAGTATCCTCGCAGCAAGCGCCAGAAGGGAAGGACCCTGGAGAGAAGGTCAGTCTGTTCGTTTGGCAGCAGAATTTGGTGTGGATGGTTCTTGTTTTTAACTCTGCAATCAACAATATATAATAATATGATTGCAACCTGTATGTAGTTAAGTCTGGACCTGATAATCCTGTGATGTGTATTGTGAGCAGCGATCCAAGCGATAAACAGTCTGTGACACTTAATCAGCCAAATCTGACAACCCGATCCATTTGGTTGCGTCTTGCTGCGGACCTTGTCTACTCTATAATCCTTATGGGCTGGAGAGAAGGTATCACCAACATCAGAGATATCATGAAAAGATTTGAGTTATTTGGTCAAGCTTTCGTCATCCCGATCCCCGCAGGTGCTTGTGACTTGTCCATGTTTCATCTTTAGTGTCAGCCTGTGTGTGAGTGAGTTGTGGAACAGACATGTTTCTGCTCATTAGTAATTCAGTTTCATTGCTACATCCTACATGGTCCTGATTATAACAAAGGCATTGATGTTATATTAAGTTTAGGAAAATGTTTTAACAATGGCAGTATACTACTATTACTAGGACAGACAGACAGATTTACTCGGTAATTTAGGTCCTAGCTATAGGCCCAGAATACATACATTTGGCAAAAGTATATACATACTGAGTAAAGCTGAGTATAGTTTAGTATTAATTAATGTTATATTACTCATTCCTTATACGGCGAACTTGTGAAAGATACTTTCTCAATGATTTTAAATATGGATATTGTCTGATGACATCAGATGGGTGAAGGTTTCACTGACTGACTGACTGAGTTTAGTTTTACGCCGCTTTTAGCAATATTCCAGCAATATCACGGCGGGGGACACCAGAAATGGGCTTAACACATTGTGCCCATGTGGGGAATCGAACCCGGGGTGAAGGTTTCAATTGTCGGTGGTTGGGTCTGATGACTTGATAATTTGTTGGGAATATTTTGGACATTTTAATAAAATATGGAGTTTATCTTCAATGTGATCAAAACCAGCAGCATGACAAAAGAGGCAGAGACGTTCATTGTACAGGGTGTTTATATGATGGCCACATTCCACTGCGAGTCTAAAGTTACTGAAACTGAGTTATGATTTTACGCTGATTTGGTAGCAGTTCACTGGTTAAAGAACCACTAAACTTTGTTTTTTGTTACTCTTTTAACCATTACATATGAAAGATTTGTGGTTTGTCTTATGTGGAACACCAAATTTATTCTTTAAAAACTTGTGGTTAATTAATACCGAGCGATTAAAAGTGGCCAAAAAGTCGCCTGCTTTCCTCTCGCCCGCCAACGAAACCACAGACAGGTTACGTAACTCTGTCGCCAGAGCACTGCAGTGACGTCATATGAGGAGCGATTTTCAGTTAGTTGTATAGAAAATGTGTATACGCTCATCATTTTGATGATTTCCCAACATCAACGACGACATGCGAATCGTTGCTTTGTCGATCAATTGCTCCTAGGAGTCGAGGCGATGGTGTCCCCATGCACAGATTTCCACAGGACCCGCCGTTAGTGCTAAATGGGTTATGTTTGTGAGTGCGAAGCGAAGCGTTGTGGAAGCCTGAAGCGATATCTTACTTGTGTTCAGATCGCTTACGGAAGTTAAAGAATCAAAACTACTTACTAGTTGTAGTAAAATATGCATATGATTGATGACCATAAAGATTTTCTATGACACAACTTGTAACATAACGATTTCTTCCTCGGAAGTGAGGTTGTGGTCGAGTAACAATAATATTGTAAGTAGTATTATATTGACACCCACCTGCGGCTGCCGAGAGAAATTGTTATGTTATATCGGCTTTGTCATACAAAATCCTATTGGCCATCAATAAAATACATATTTTACTACCAGTAGAATGTAGTTTTGATTTTGTAACTTTCGGTGAAAACAAACCTAAATACCATTTATCCTCAGACTGGCCGGATGTTCCCGACAGAAGGCGCCATCATTTTAAAAATAAAAAATCAGTTAGAATTAATGAGATTATAGTTTGTTTTCATCAAGTTAGAAAATCAAGACTACTTTCTACTCGTAGTTAAATATGTATTGGAATCATAACCAAAGCGGATTTTGCATGACACAACTTATAACATAGCGATTTCTTCCACGGAAGCGAGGTGGAAGTCGAAGTCACAATACTGCGATAAATTTCTTGCTACATTCCCATGGTTAATGTCCACTCACCAGTATGTAGATACTAGTCAATGTGCGTCTTTATATTTGGTCTTATAATCCTAATTAGTTTATTATCATACTTGTATGCATTTTGAAGCTAAATAAAAGCAGGCGATCTGCTGATACTTATAGTGAATTTATAACAGAACTGTAATATCTAGACATTTTATAGTTTGCCAATGTGAATCATAATTCGCACACACACCCTAGTGCATGTTGTCTCATTACATCACGCAAGTGAAAACAATGATTCTGTTGAATGCTACGACAAATGAATAAAAACAAAATGCAAATATTAAAATTAAAACAGATTAAAGTTATAGGAACAATATCAGGCCATTACCTTGTTCGAGGAATGCATCCATCAATATCCACAAAACTGTTCCAAATGATGTGTCTTTTAACAGTTTAATATACTGAAAAAGTGCTAAATCTTTTCAGGTATTGGTGTATAGTCTCATTGGTCACCAAGATAGCACACCTGGCAACTAATTGCATAATGTCCGCCTTTCTTTAAAAACAGTAATTTAGTTAGCCAATAATGGGCAATCAATCAATGTATTGCCGGTTAATCCTTTGAAAGAAGGGCGTTGTTTTACGCATGAACACCGACCACGACAGAGTGTATTCAGTATAGATTAGTAAATCTACATACATAAACACTACCTTTTGACCGCTGTGTAAGATAAAAGAAATTAATCAATCAGCATGTTATCGGTTAATCCTTTGATCGATGTTTATAATGTTGAATATTTACTCCAGACACAAGAAATGCCAAATGGGAACCTTTGTCGGGTAATTTAAGTGTGTTACCACTAATTATACCTGTTATAAATTCATTAACTGACCATCAAGTGAATGATGACAAATAACGTCTAGGTTTATACCACCTAACACGGGTTACAACAAGGGAGTATTAATTGCTGTATTGCATGTGAAAACTTATGGGCCGACACTGTTTTGAGAATACAACCAGATTTTTACAGGACATGATTAAATATCGAGGTAAAAAAACACAGAAATGGGATCAATTTGGATCAGTCATTATACAAATAGGGCCTAACGACACCAATCGATTTTGACAGAATCGTCTATGAAAACAAGTTATAACTCGGAAACAAGGCAAAGCAGGAGACAAAATTAAATGACAGTAGATTGTGAGAACATATAGCTTTCATTGTCCACAACAATTGTCACGATTTCAGGTTTATACAAGCTTGTAAACAAGATAATTTAACCCCTAAAATGTAGATGAATTCTGCACCGGCCCTCCGAGCTATTCCTCATATGACGTCACAGAGTCGCGCCGCGCTGATTGGTTGAAATTTCGTTCGCGGGTGAGAATTGTGCACTGTTGTCAAAAAGGTCGATTTAAGTCAATTAAAGGTCGAAATGAGTAGTTTTAATGACGGGGTTTCATTTATAACGATGCCAGTTAGTGATTTATGTATTTTTACCCCCTAGGGTTTATGTGACCTTTAAATATGGTTCGACGCTGAGAGATGATGTAAATTGTGAATAGTAATTACATTTAGATGACGAAAATAGCGATGCATGCTAGTTTGTGTGAAGCAGTCATAAAATCTGTGTTTAAACATTTCCATGAATGTGGCAATGCCGCCAATGTCTTGAGATATCCATAAGAAACCAAGAATACTAGGCGTGTGAACAAACCTGGTGATTTACTGTAAGTGGTGGGTGTTGATGTTTAATATTTATGTTGTGTTTCAGGTTTCAGAAACCCTTGACGTTACTGGTGCGATGTGGTGGTCTGGTGACTCGAAACTATTTCATACGTTTTGTATTTTACTTAATGTGAGTATACTCAAGTATCAGGAATAAATATATTAAGAAATATTTTAGTAACTTCCCCACAAATGAACATATGAAACACATCAGCACATATTTACAGTATTGGCAGTTTGTGATTCTTGTTTACATGATATAAGAATACACATGTACATTTATTGTCATATCCATATTTTCACTCTGTAGAATAGATATAAAATTATCAGATTGAATTATGGGCCGGAGGCCTGTTACTGAATAAAATGTCTGTCTGTCTATTGTGAGTATACATGATACACATTGGGTTTGTTCACAAACTTTTCATGAGATATGCTCACTAAGACTTCTAACTGTGTATAATTCTGTGGGAATGAAATACTCCAACAGTTGTGAAGCCCCAGTTTTTATCTTGTCACGCTGAACATGCTACATGCCTCTGCTTCTATTCCATGTTTTAACAGAATTTGTTGTTTTATGGAATGTTCAAGTGTTTGATTTCACCAAACATGCTGAAAATGTTTGTCGTCAGAATATCAGTACCATGCTGCTTCATCTTGCCGACGCTGCTGGGCGGCATGTGCTTCCTTATCACCAGTGCAATATACTTTGTGGTAGGTACACCCCATCAGTAGTGCAATATACTTTGTGGTAGGTACACCCAATCAGTAGTGCAATATACTTTGTGGTAGGTACACCCCATCAGTAGTGCAATATACTTTGTGGTAGGTACACCCAATCAGTAGTGCAATATACTTTGTGGTAGGTACACCCCATCAGTAGTGCAATATACTTTGTGGTAGGTACACCCCATCACCAGTGTAATATACTTTGTGGTAGGTACACCCCATCACCAGTGTAATATACTTTGTGGTAGGTACACCCCATCACCAGTGTAATATACTTTGTGGTAGGTACACCCCATCACCAGTGCAATATACTTTGTGGTAGGTACACCCCATCAGTAGTGCAATATACTTTGTAGTAGGTACACCCCATCAGTAGTGCAATATACTTTGTGGTAGGTACACCCCATCACCAGTGCAATATACTTTGTGGTAGGTACACCCAATCAGTAGTGTAATATACTTTGTGGTAGGTACACCCCATCACCAGTGCAATATACTTTGTGGTAGGTACACCCCATCAGTAGTGCAATATACTTTGTGGTAGGTACACCCCATCACCAGTGTAATATACTTTGTGGAAGGTACACCCAATCAGTAGTGTAATATACTTTGTGGTAGGTACACCCCATCAGTAGTGCAATATACTTTGTAGTAGGTACACCCCATCAGTAGTGCAATATACTTTGTGGTAGGTACACCCCATCACCAGTGCAATATACTTTGTGGTAGGTACACCCCATCAGTAGTGCAATATACTTTGTGGTAGGTACACCCCATCACCAGTGTAATATACTTTGTGGTAGGTACACCCCATCAGTAGTGCAATATACTTTGTAGTAGGTACACCCCATCAGTAGTGCAATATACTTTGTGGTAGGTACACCCCATCACCAGTGCAATATACTTTGTGGTAGGTACACCCAATCAGTAGTGTAATATACTTTGTGGTAGGTACACCCCATCACCAGTGCAATATACTTTGTGGTAGGTACACCCCATCACCAGTGCAATATACTTTGTGGTAGGTACACCCCATCAGTATTTTAATATACTTTGTGGTAGGTACACCCCATCAGTAGTGCAATATACTTTGTGGTAGGTACACCCCATCAGTAGTGCAATATACTTTGTGGTAGGTACACCCCATCAGTAGTGCAATATACTTTGTGGTAGGTACACCCAATCAGTAGTGTAATATACTTTGTGGTAGGTACACCCCATCACCAGTGCAATATACTTTGTGGTAGGTACACCCCATCAGTATTTTAATATACTTTGTGGTAGGTACACCCCATCAGTAGTGCAATATACTTTGTGGTAGGTACACCCCATCACCAGTGCAATATACTTTGTGGTAGGTACACCCCATCAGTATTTTAATATACTTTGTGGTAGGTACACCCCATCAGTAGTGCAATATACTTTGTGGTAGGTACACCCCATCACCAGTGCAATATACTTTGTGGTAGGTACACCCCATCAGTAGTGCAATATACTTTGTGGTAGGTACACCCCATCACCAGTGTAATATACTTTGTGGTAGGTACACCCCATCAGTAGTGCAATATACTTTGTAGTAGGTACACCCCATCAGTAGTGCAATATACTTTGTGGTAGGTACACCCCATCACCAGTGCAATATACTTTGTGGTAGGTACACCCAATCAGTAGTGTAATATACTTTGTGGTAGGTACACCCCATCACCAGTGCAATATACTTTGTGGTAGGTACACCCCATCACCAGTGCAATATACTTTGTGGTAGGTACACCCCATCAGTATTTTAATATACTTTGTGGTAGGTACACCCCATCAGTAGTGCAATATACTTTGTGGTAGGTACACCCCATCAGTAGTGCAATATACTTTGTGGTAGGTACACCCCATCAGTAGTGCAATATACTTTGTGGTAGGTACACCCAATCAGTAGTGTAATATACTTTGTGGTAGGTACACCCCATCACCAGTGCAATATACTTTGTGGTAGGTACACCCCATCAGTATTTTAATATACTTTGTGGTAGGTACACCCCATCAGTAGTGCAATATACTTTGTGGTAGGTACACCCCATCACCAGTGCAATATACTTTGTGGTAGGTACACCCCATCAGTATTTTAATATACTTTGTGGTAGGTACACCCCATCAGTAGTGCAATATACTTTGTGGTAGGTACACCTCATCAGTAGTGCAATATACTTTGTGATAGGTACACCCCATCAGTAGTGCAATATACTTTGTGGTAGGTACACCTTTACTCATATACTTTTGCACCATAGATGCCAATACTAGTTTTGCTGAAGAGACCAAGCACCTCTCTCACTCCGACATTCTTACTTAAAGACGTCTGATGTTTGTTGTGCCGATGCTGAGAGTCAGTTTCCGTCTATGATGTGCGTCCATGATGTGCTGCAGGATGTTTTCTGTGTTCCCCAGGCTGCTTTGAAAGGAGAAGAATGGAAGGCAGCTGGTCTGGACACAGAGTCGCCGTCACAGCAGCCAGGCCCCCGGGTCCTTCAGCCACCTAGCCACCCCCCTCCCAGGCGACCCATCGACAACAGTATCCTGACCCTCCCAGAGCAGTATCTGACCCTCCCAGCGCCGACAACAGTATCTGACACACACACCCCCTCCCAGTATCTGACCCCCTCCCAGACAACCCACAACACAGTATCTGACCCCCTCCCAGACTACCCATCGACAACAGTATCTGACCCCTCCCAGGCGACCCATCCAGTAGACACACACCCCGGCATCCATCAACAGCAGTATCTGACCCTCCCAGACACCCATCAACAACAGTATCTGACCCCTCCCAGACAACCCATCGACAACAGTATCTGAGCCCCCTCCCAGGCGACTCCATCGACAACAGTATCTGACACACACACCACCACCCACCCCCCAGATGACCCATCGACAGCAGTATCTGACCCCCTCCCAGACAACCCATCAACAACAGTATCTGACCCCCTCCCAGACAACCCATCGACAACAGTATCTGACCCTCCCAGACAACCCATCGACAACAGTATCTGACCCCCTCCCAGACTCCAACCCATCAACAGCAGTATCTGACCCCCTCCCAGACAACCCATCAACAACAGTATCTGACCCCTCCCAGACAACCCATCGACAACAGTATCTGACCCCTCCCAGACAACTCCATCGACAACAGTATCTGACCCCCTCCCCAGACAACCCATCAACAACAGTATCTGACCCCCTCCCAGACAACCCATCAACAACAGTATCTGAGGCCCCTCCCAGACAACCCATCGACAACAGTATCTGACACACACACACCCCTCCCAGACAACCCATCAACAACAGTATCTGGCCCCCTCCCAGACAACCCATCAACAACAGTATCTGCCCCTCCCAGACAACCCATCGACAACAGTATCTGACCCCTCCCAGGCGACCCATCGACTGACAGTATCTCCCACACACACCCACTGACCCATCGACAGCAGTATCTGACGACCCCAGACGACCCCGCCGACAGCAGTATCTGGCCCCTCCCCAGACAACCCATCGACAGCAGTATCTGACCCCTCCCAGACAACCCATCGACAGCAGTATCTGACCCCCTCCCAGACAACCCATCGACAGCAGTATCTGACCCCCTCCCAGACAACCCATCGACAGCAGTATCTCCGGGGCCCCCTCCCAGGTATCTGACCCATCAACAGCAGTATCTGTATCCCCCTCCAAGACAACCCATCGACAACAGTGTCTGACCCCTCCAAGGCGACCGCATCGACAACGGTATCTGACCCCTCCCAGACAACCCATCGACAGCAGTATCTGACCCCGCCCAGACAACCCATCAACATCAGTATCTGACCCCCTCCCAGACAACCCATCGACAACAGTGTCTGACCCCTCCAAGACGACCCATCGACAACAGTATCTGACCCCCTCCAAGACGACCCATCGACAACAGTATCTGACCCTCTCCCAGACAACCCATCGACAACAGTGTCGGATCCCTATTTGATATGACTATTTTCTTCACAAACACATAATGTATGACCCCCTTATGAAGGATCTGTTGCTACATGATCTTTTTCTACACAAACAAGATCCACCACCCTCAATCCATGAATATATGACCCACTTTTGACAGGATTTGTTGCAACATATGATCTTTTTTCTCCACAAACAAGATCCTCTCCTTGATATATGGCATTTGTGGATCTACTACACATCTCGTCTCAACCCTTCGACTGTACAAACATCATACTGTTGTGTGGTTGAAATCCTCCGATCTACAGCAGACAGGAGAGTGTTGAACTTCAGTGTTACTGTCCAAGGACTCACAACTCCACCAAACCGACTGCTGTATCATGACAGGAAGACACTGGTGAACCATCTCTGCTGGCAGAGACATTTACCACATGTGGCTGAACTCTTTTAAATACAGCAAATCCTTGAGAATGGATGTTAATGTTTTTTACTTAATGCTATAGAAAAACATTCACCTGACGAAGGGCAAGGAATAGCCCAGAAACGTTGTGTATACAATAAAGAAGTTGACAGCCATAATTGTTTGACTTATACATAAAAAGAAATGTGATGCCCAAGCAAAATTTGCACCTTACCATGGATGTCAGCCTGTTTAGATTTTAAAAGTCAGATCTTAGGAAGGATATATGCTATTTGACCATGAACCAATTAACAATTTACAACAGTAATCATTATGTGAGTACTTGTGTATTAGATCTGTATTGAATCAAAGATGTATATTATCGTAAACATGCATGATTTCTATGTTTTATGAATGTTCACCTGATAAAGTTGCCGGACCAAATGTGCCTTTTTATAGCTCTTGTTACCTAGCAACAACTTTTTTAGAATAAAGAAGATTATTACATTGTGATGTTTTCTTCTGCATCAAACAAACAAGGCTACACGATATTTTTCTTTATCTTGTACACATATCAGTTCTAGTCTGACAGGACCGCCTCCGTGGTGTAGTGGTTAGAGCGTCCGCCCGGCCTTCCGCCTGGAGAGCGGAAGGGCGCGGGTTCGATCCCCAACCGCGTCATACCAAAAGACGTTAAAATATGGTACTTGTTGGTCCCTGCCTGGCGTTCGGCATTAATGGGTACATCAAGGACTGGTCGGCTCGGAGTCAGTATAATGTGTCTGAGTGGGGTATTCATGCTTCACTGCGGCATGGTATCTCAGTGGGCTAGCACTATAAAACCAGCTTCAGTCTGGGCTAGTACAAGCAGCTGCACCTACACATACACATGCATGCACGTCGTTATATGAGCGAAATATTCTCAAGAACGACGCTAACCCCAATTTCACCTCACCTCACCTCTAGTCTGACATTGCTCATTTCTGCACTAATCTCTCCTCAGTAAAGTCCTTTTTCTACGTTTCCTATGTCCCTACCACTGAGACTGTAGTTAGGCCAAACAGATATTTCACACTTGCACATATCAACTACATAAATTGTAGAGATAAATGAGAAAATAGTTTTTTTCTATTTCCGACAGTACTTTAGTTGGTGTGACACATATCTGTGGATGACGTGCGAGATGACGCTGTGCCAGTCCTCCTAGCCTCCATGACACAAGCTGAGACTGCCTGGGACCAAGGCACTGTCATCTGTTAGAAATTGTCCAGAGTATCTATACACATTACAGCAGTTGGGTGGCAGTGTGGCTAAAGCATTTGCCTGTCATAATGAATCGCATGCTGTACACTGTGTGAAGTTCATTTCTGGTCTTTTGACAAGTGAGTGAGTGAGTATGGTTTTACACCGCCTTTAGCAATATTCCAGCAACAGGGGCACCAGAAATGGGCTTCACACATTGTACCCATGTACGGAATCGAACCCAGGTCTTCGGTCTGAGAAGCGAACGCATTAACGACTGGGCTACCCCACTCACGTCTTTTGATGAGACATTGGTGAAATACTGCTGAACTCACTCACTCACTCAAACAATGAGCTACCAGGTGTATAAAGAGTTCACCCCTCCCAGATCCTGTTGTCATCTCCATATGGGGCACACAGGTGGTCCAGTCATCTGACTCTTTAGAGTTGCTCCCCTTAGTGTAACCAGGATCTAGTAATCATGGGTTCAGATCCCAGTTTTACCATGATGCTTTTGTATGTCAGCACCATACCACATCCAGCTATCACTGAAATATTAATCATATATACACACTTGTATAGCGCTTGTTTCCGGTATAATTATCCAGTATATTAATGAGCAATGAGCAGTCTGGAGAATACACATAGACTAACAGTATCAGATTTTGAACAAATGAGTTCTCAGGTAGTGATTTGAATGTTTCTTATTTCAAGTGGGAGAGATTTCCACATCTGATTTCGAAATTTCCCTCGCCAAATGGTGTACAAGCTGACGGAAGCTTCAAAAGACACTGGAGTTTTCTCAGGTCTCTCAGGTCTTGAATGAGTGCAGAAATGTATGGTGAAGTATTTCAGAGGATAGCACGGAATGTCAGAGTCGGCACCTTAAACTTGATTCTGTCCTCAAAGTTGAGCCAGTGGAGATCTTTTAGGATTGGAGTGATGTGTTTTGATATGACATGTACACAGAAGCATTCAACTAAACCACCTCACACGTCTCCAGTGACCAACATCTGTTTTTCCAGTAATACTGAAATATCTACTCTAGAACACAAGACAAGACCGTACAGACAGATAATTTTATTTTGTGGTGTTTGACAGTATTCTAACAAAATTTGCATTTCTGTCTCAGCAGAATCTTTCTGAATCCAGTGTACAGGAGAAGGACCAGTTCAACATGCCAAGTGACAACTGAAACACATGGTCTGAGTGTTCCAAAGAAAGACATGGAAGTACTATACATATCAAATATTCCATACAACCTATGTTTGGTTCATAAACTGTTATAACTCTTCCAGGAAATGTTGTGGCTCCATGTCATAACTTGACAGACAGCTCATGACTGACAGAAATGACCGAATCCCATTCTGCAGATCAAGCTCAGCCATGACTCACCATGTTAACTCTCATTGAACACCGACTAGCTAATGGCATGCAATATATATTTTTAATTCTTATTTTACAGATAAGAATAACAAAGCAAGTACAACAATGTAGAATAATGACCACTGACTGTTGACAATTGTCAACATGACCAACATGACCATAACTGACACTGAGTGAGATTCATACTTTGCTCTACACATCAGTAATCACTTGTATCTTTGCTTTCTACCTGAAATATATTCACATTTTATACAGAAACTCTTATAACATATTCTACTAAACCTTGGATCACATTTACTACATTTAGCATCACATTGTCTACTCAAACTAGGATCCTACTATCTACTCCAACGAGGATCACATTGTCTACTCAAACTAGGATCAAATTGTCTACTCAAACTAGGATCACATTGTCTTCTAAAGCAAAGATCATGAGGATCACATTGTTCAAACTAGGATCATGAGGATCACATTTTCTACTACATACAGGTAGTATCGTGAAGCACCTGTTCTGGTAATCTCAATGCAGTTATGTATACTGGTAAAGAGAAGTAAAAACCAACAAACTCTGTCAACGTGTATTAGATTCAAGAGATATAAACAACAACTGTAAACAACATGCTTACTGACAATGTAAAAAATCTATAAAAAAGAAAACGTGTGAAAATTTATAACATGAGCTTTGACGAAACATCTTGTCAATATCGAACACATGAGCTAAGAAGAAACATTTTGTCAATATCAAAAACATGAGCTGAGAAGAACTTTCCTGTGACATGACATTTTGTCAATATCAAAAACGTGAGTATGATAGACAACTTATGACACGGTGGTCACCAAATATCAAACAACCATGACAGGTTAACGAACTATTTGGCCTAGAGCTAATGAGAAACATATTATAGGCAGCAACTTCATACTGATGCATACAGCATGACTGGGTCCAGGCCGTTCTACTTTCACTTTGATTAGTTTGTGACCATTTATTATAGTGCCTGAAATGCTATGCATACATAATAAGGCAGTTCTAGAAATACAACATGCCCATAAAGAAACTAAAATATTTCATGCTATCAGACCTATTGTTCATACTGGAAAACAAAGTGAAAGTAAACCAGGCTATGAAATTTCACATCCTGCTATGCATGCTATGCAAGGTATTCGTTTGATGGACTATCAAAACTTTGGTACACATTTGATCTATGTTTGGGGGTGTAAAACTCACTTGCATATATTGTTTCCTCTTACCTCTCACTATGATTCATTGTGTGTCTTCAAGTTTCAAAGAGTTTCAACAAGTCTTAATTTTAGTATTTTTGAATAATTTATTTATTTTTTTAGCAACAGTTAACAATTTTTTAAACCATTTGAAATATTTCTTGTCCACAGCATAACAAAATCAGTTTGATTTTTACATTGTAATTTTTGGGATGTGAAGATTTTTTAAATCAAGTTAAAAGAAAAGTTTGTCCTATGGCTAGCATGTCACCTTGACACACCCTTTGTATTCCCAAAAAACGTGATCACCTTGACAACAGAATGACATGACAACAGAGACCATATAATATCTATTTTATGGTCTCTGTTGACAACAACAACCTGAGTACAGGAACTTCATTAACTGTCAAAGAGAACAGCTAACCCAAATCATCAACAGTATTTGATTATTACAGCATCAGTATATTGAACACAAGCAAGACAAGCTGACCTAAAAATAATGTCATGGTCAGTTGTTTTGTTCATACGCTCCCAAACCTGGCTAACAAGAAGGCATCCTTGATAATCCTCATCATGTCTGCTCCATTGTTTAGCATAAATACCCTGGCTTCCGTTCCATGGAGCAAAGAATTATGAGTGAGTGAGTTAAAATTTATCGTCACATCGGCAATATTTCAGCCATATCGTGACGAGAACAATTAATTTTATACATAGTAATTAATGGTAAATTGTAAAAACCTGTCAATGAACAAGAATTCTGACTGTGGTAGTGCAGGACCTATTCACGGAACGACAACCTGGGCCCGTTCACCACCACAGCCTCATTCTGAGCATGATTTTTATGACATGATGCCAGAAATAGTCATCCAAACAAATTACTGCTTTCTATGCTAAAAGGGTACAAAAGATCTCATGAGTGACAATACATAACATGTGGATAAAACACATCCAAGAAAAATAAGACATAGTAGATACATGTATATAGAACCTTGCTATTTGGCAGGAACAATTCATGAAATAGCTGTAGTACTTCATCCGTTATCTCTCATATGACTCCTGGCACAATACTACAAATACTTTGTGAAGTCACCACGAAAAATGTGGCTTCTCAGTCTGGCAATCCATCCAACCAGATACACTGGAAGGAAAGAGTTCCTTCCGTTCCGCCATATATTGTTTTGGTAACATTACCCTGCCTGGGGCCCTTATCATACAACATGGTTCGACCCTATATATTGTAATGAATTTTAGGGCTTTTAGTTGTTTTTGTGAGTTCTTTAGTAAGTGTTGTGTTAGGAATTGTTGATAATTTTAGTATATATTAATTTAAAATATTATTTGGGATGGGCAAATGGGAGGAACTCTTACCCACTGGAACGCACCAGTGATTATGTCTGTTGCCTTCATACCCAAGGTGATGAGACGACTGCCCCACCTGGTGAGGAGACAGGAACATGGCCGAGGTATACTGAGGTTGGCCCTACAGAACCTCCATGTGTTCTACTGTATCTACCCTACTGACTCCACCAGCTCCCTGCAACATGAAACAAGAGAACACTCACTTGCAGCCACCAGCACTAGTCCTACAGGCCAAGCCTTAGGGACCGTTCATAATTTATGGCTTGTGGGGGCGATGATGATTTTCATGGAGAAGGATGTACAAGGTGAATGAGGCCCCTAAAATTTATGTACAAAGTGACCCTCCCCCACCCACCCCACCCCTCTGCATGCCAGGTACAAAATCAATGACACCCCGACTAGTGTACAAAATTGACAGGAACCAGAAAAAGTATATGTATAATCACTTGACTGTTCACAGAATGACTTTTGTCATAGTGAACCAACTTCAACAATTTATGAAAAATATAAACATTAAATAGTGACTAACACTAATTTCTCCTTATTCATATTTTTGGCAAAATAAAGTGGAGGGTTCAGTCAAGAAACTCTATGAATAAATAATTCCAAGCAAGTCCGTGTGTGAGGTACTCACCTGGGACAGTCATGCTACTGCCAGTCTCGGGAGTCGCCAGCTGACTTGCGATGTCCGTCATGAATGTACAACTAGCAGCACTTTCTTCACTCCTGAAATAGAAAACTTCAGCATAAACACACTTTTGTGAATCTTTACTGCAGTGTCCTGAATGTTACTCCATCACTGACTAATACCAGGTGTAATCCTGATGTAGGGCTAGGAACGAAACAAGGCCATGGACAACCCACTGGGAACTGTTTCATCAACATCTGATGACGGAAAGGATAAACTTGCTGTTATGAACACTGATTTGACTAAGCAGACAATAAACTTGTCCCAAAGACATTCCATTACAGTTTTGGGTCATCAGTCCTGAATATTTCTGTGATCGTTGAAATACTGAAGTTTCTTGAAACATGAGTTTGGCCTTGCATTCTTAGTCCTTGAGCCAGATCTTGAAAATATGGATTTGACTACCAACTTGAGGAAAAACAGCCACTATGATTTTCATGATTTTCATACAACTTATCTGTCAGAATGAAGACTATGACATCTTACTAATTGTTTGATCAGCATTGTAGAAGCTGGTGAGTCAAAAATGAAACATACAAAAAGTGGACTTTTAGCTTGACAAGAATGTAAGAATCTACATGGAAACATCACTTAATGTTATAAACAAGAAGTTGTCATCCAAAATGTTGTATGTTTCATTTTTAACTATGACACAAAAACAGTCTGGCATAGATGAAGGGAAGTCATTTGTAAACAGCTATTTGCTAAATTACTCTATTGTTATAGGTCAGTTAGGTATCAAATCATCTCTGATTGAAACACTCAATTTTATTGGGTGTCATGAAGTTGTCGCTATTGTTGAAACAGTAAAACGAGAGACAACAGATGACATCCACCTTTTCTTGTCTGCTTCTGAAGTCCAGATCTCGTACACTGTCAGCTTGTTGCTGTCTCTGAATGATCGAACACTCACACTGAAACATCACAATGTCATATAGTAACACAAAGAGATGGTCGCAAGGAGTAGGTCGACGATATCTATTGTCAACCAACCATTTGATGTTCTGTGGCTACCTAGAATTCTTTCTTTAAATTGTCAGGTCTTAAACCACTCACAGATAATTCGCAGGACATGTTGGATAAAGTTTATTATCTACATCAAACATGTAAAATACGAAGGCTGGCTTTAGATAAAAAGAAGTTGGCATCATAATATATCGTACATAAATTTCTGAACCATGAGTGCATGTATGTTTACACTGACATAGTTAGACAGCTTGAAAACCATGGTCTTACTTGCGACATCCACCGACACCCTGTATAGACTCCACATACAACTTGAGACTTGACTTGAAGTTGTCCAGTTCCTCAGCCTTGACTTCAAAGTTCCTCTGTAGCATCAGCATCTGTAATAACACATGGTGGACATCATAAATTGTAGTGTCAAGATAACACACGGTGGACACAGGTTACATTGTAACATCAACACAACACATGGTGGACACATGTTACATTGTAGCATCAACACAACACATGGTGGACACAGCTTACATTGTAGCATCAACACAACACATGGTGGACACAGGTTACATTGTAACATCAACACAACACATGGTGGACACAGCTTACATTGTAGCATCAACACAACACATGGTGGACACAGCTTACATTGTAACATCAACACAACACATGGTGGACACAGGTTACATTGTAACATCAACACAACACATGGTGGACACAGGTTACATTGTAACATCAACACAACACAGGGTGGACACAGGTTACATTGTAACATCAACACAACACAGGGTGGACACAGGTTACATTGTAGCATCAACACAACACATGGTGGACACAGCTTACATTGTAACATCAACACAACACATGGTGGACACAGGTTACATTGTAACATCAACACAACACATGATGGACACATGATACACTGTAACATCAACACAACACATGGTGGACACAGCTTACATTGTAGCCACAACACATGGTGCACACACGTTACATTGTAGCATCAACACAACACATGGTGGACACAGGTTACATTGTAGCATCAACACAACACATGGTGGACACAGGTTACATTGTAACATCAACACAACACACAGTGGACACAGGTTACATTGTAGCATCAACACAACACATGGTGGACACAGGTTACATTGTAACATCAACACAACACATGGTGGACACAGGTTACATTGTAACATCAACACAACACACGGTGGACACAGGTTACATTGTAACATCAACACAACACATGGTGGACACAGGTTACATTGTAACATCAACACAACACACAGTGGACACAGGTTACATTGTAACATCAACACAACACAGGGTGGACACAGGTTACATTGTAACATCAACACAACACATGGTGGACACAGGTTACATTGTAGCATCAACACAACACATGGTGGACACAGCTTACATTGTACCATCAACACAACACATGGTGGACACAGGTTACATTGTAGCATCAACACAACACATGGTGGACACAGCTTACATTGTAACATTAACACAACACATGGTGGACACATGTTACATTGTAACATCAACACAACATATGGTGGACACAGGTTACATTGTAGCATCAACACAACACATGGGGGACATGTTACATTGTAGCATCAATACATCTCATGATTGACACATGTTACATTGTAGCTACCTGTGAATATCCTGGTCAGAATTGATCTTCAGTAACACATACTCATCGCAAGAGGCGACTATTGGGATCGGGTGGTCAGGCTCGCTGGCTTGGTTGACACATGTCAATGTGTCCCAGTTTCGTAGATCGATGCTTATGCTGTTGATCACTGGATAGTCTCGTCCAGACTCGATTATTTACAGACCGCCGCCATATAGCTGCAATATTGCTGAGAGCGGCATTAAACTAAACTCACTCACTTATATTGTAGGATCAACATAACACACTGTTGACAGAACATTGTAGCGTCAATATCTCAAGCAACTAAAACAATGTGCAATATTGCTCCACTACTATCTTCAAAACTACAACAGGTTGTGGACACAAGTTGCAATATTGTTGCATCAAATTATGAAACAATAGAAGAAACAGAGGCAAGTTGCAATAACAGATGGTAACGCCAGACCAAACGACTAAATGAAGTCAAAGACGGCAACAACATCCAGGAACCATGGCTAAAATAATTTAAAATATGTCTGTACACACCAGGCAATCAGGTTCAGACACGACCTCTTCATCAACGAAGTTGTCGAAGTTCACCTGAAAAACAAAAACAACATTTGCATTGCAGATACAATGATTCCGAACACAACAAGAATGTAAAAAAAATGAACATTTTACAAATACTTTTCAAATGGTAACTATGGTAACTGCATGTATAATTTTAAGAGTTAAAAGCGGGTAATTACCTTAGATTCCAGTTTGTCTATGAGATTCTCCAGCCGGTCCACCTGCAGTGTCAGCACTTGGTTACCATAGCCTGCACAACACACAATTAACACTGCTGTAACACCCTGCACAACACACAATTAACACTGCTGTAACACCCTGCACAACACACAATTAACACTGCTGTAACACCCTGCACAACACACAATTAACACTGCTGTAACACCCTGCACAACACCAATTAACACAACACACAATTAACACTGCTGTAACACCCTGCACAACACACAATTAACACTGCTGTAACACCCTGCACAACACACACAATTAACACTGCTGTAACACCCTGCACAACACACACAATTAACACTGCTGTAACACCCTGCACAACACACACAATTAACACTGCTGTAACACCCTGCACAACACACACACAGTTAACACTGCTGTAACACCCTGCACAACACACACAATTAACACTGCTGTAACACCCTGCACAACACACACAGTTAACACTGCTGTAACACCCTGCACAACACACACACAATTAACACTGCTGTAACACCCTGCACAACACACACAATTAACACTGCTGTAACACCCTGCACAACACACACAGTTAACACTGCTGTAACACCCTGCACAACACACACACAATTAACACTGCTGTAACACCCTGCACAACACACACACAATTAACACTGCTGTAACACCCTGCACAATTAACACTGCTGTAACACCCTGTTAGTTAACACTGCTGTAACACCCTGCACACACACAATTAACACACAGTTAACACTGCTGTAACACCCTGCACAACACACACAGTTAACACTGCTGTAACACAGTTAACACTGCTGTAACACCCTGCACAACCTGCACACAACACACACAGTTAACACTGCTGTAACACCCTGCACAACACACACACAGTTAACACTGCTTAACACACACTGTTAACACTGCTGTAACAACACACACACACAGTTAACACACTGTAACACACAGTTAACACACAGTTGCTGCTGTAACACCCTGCACAACACACACACAGTTAACACTGCTGTAACACCCTGCACAACACACACACAATTAACACTGCTGTAACACCCTGCACAACACACACACAATTAACACTACTGTAACACCCTGCACAACACACACACAGTTAACACTGCCGTAACACCCTGCACAACACACACACAGTTAACACTGCTGTAACATCCTGCACAACACACATACAGTTAACACTGCTGTAACACCCTGCATAACACACACAGTTAACATGTATATGTTGCACCACACAAATGAATACAAATGAGGGAATTGAGCTTCAAGATGACTATATAAGTTTATGTGAAGGTCAAATCCGGACTGACCAAATAAGTTCTTGAAATTATCGTCATTTTTTGGGAAAAACATCCTGCTATTTTATGTTTAGTAAGTGCTACAGATACACTTGATATGAAGAATGGTATGACTGTTTCAGTTTGACATAGTTGAGGATGTCTGCTTACATCTTAGGCTGAGCTAATTGATGAACTTGACTGAAATGAAATGAGTACCAAACCCAGCACATGTGTAACCATGGCAACAGATAAGTAAGCAAGAAGTACAGCTGATACAGCAGCAAGACTGCAGAGGTTAGCTGGTGTGACGTTAAACATGCATAGACTTGCACAGTATGAAAATAGAAGTAGCACACAGATATCAAGATATATAGATATCAAACAGGTAATAGGTGATTAATTATGTTATCATCTATATATGAGATATAGTATGACCAGAAATTATTGAGAATTTTAGGAATATGTTTAATTGGATTTCTAGTATAAACAACCTTGACCAGCTAGCAAGTGCTTGGTTTCATTCAATAGAGACAACTCTGTTAATACCTTTTCATTAGCTGTGAAGAGTTATCCCCCTTTGTTTACTTGCTAGCAGACGACATTTTCAGTGATCCTCAGTATGGATGATTTAGAGAAGAGGAAGTTGATTTTAGAGTATTATAACAAGGACATCAGATCAGCTAAAGTGATTTCAAGTAGAACAGGCATCCCTTTGTCCACTGTTTATCGTTTTTGAAAAATATTGCAAATGGATATGGCATTGAGCATCCTGACCAAACAAACTGAAAAACCTTTGTATCAGCGCCCGAAGTACAGTCTGAAATTTAACGTGTGGGGGTGGCATATCTGTGTTAGGGGTACACCCCTCTGTGTATTTGAAGGGAATATGACTGACTGACTGACTGAGTTTAGTTTTACGCCGCTTTTAGCAATATTCCAGCAATATCACGGCGGGGGACACCAGAAATGGGCTTAACACATTGTGCCCATGTGGGGAATCGAACCCGGGTCTTCGGCGTGACGAGCCAGCGCTTTAACCACTAGGCTACCCCACCGCCCCCTGAAGGGAATATGAACAGTGGTGGTGGTGGAATTGGGTTTAACGTCGTGCTTGAGAATATTTCGCTCATATGGCGATGTGCATGCGTGTGTATGTGTATGTGCGGCTACTTGTACTAGCCCAGACTGAAGCTGGTTTTAGAGTGCTAGCCCACTGAGATACCATGCCGCAGTGAAGCATGAATACCCCACTCAGACACATTATACTGACTCCGAGCCGACTAGTCCTTGCTGTACCCATTAATGCCGAGAGCCAGGCAGGGACCAACAAGACTTTCTAACTTCTTTGATCAGTAGTATGCCCCGCCGCATTGAAGCCTGCATTGCTGCCCATGGTGACTTGACAAAATACTAACTGTTCACCTGTCTTTGAATCTGGAGTTATGTTCTGCTAATATTCACATTTAATACGTGAGTAATGAGTGAAAAAAATTAAAAAATTACAATCTTTAAATTCTCAATAATTTCTGGTTGTACTGTATCTTCTACATTATACAGCTTTTATCTGGCTACTTTTTGTCATGTCTTAAATCAACCAAAGGTTTGTACAAACAGTAAACGGCAATGAGCAAATATTGTTTAACAATTCAGTCGCAATCTTGCAGCAAGATCAAACAGGCCTGTAAACAACCAAGACTGGACCAGGCACATGTGACTGAACGTATGAGTACACTCATGACATGTCATGCAATCAGCGAACAAACAACGTGTGCTTGTTGTTTTATGCCACCCTAACAGTAACCACAGATCTGATTGACATTAGAGGCAGAAATCCACACTATCTGGTACAATGACTCAGGATCAAGCAAGTCTCTAAGCCTGACCATCCATCAATCACCTTTGGCCAGCGACATAGATTTTTGAAGACCTTATCTAACTTGGAATTAACAACCTAACAACCTCTTTAATCTGCACTGACAACAAGTGTGGTATCCCTACTAGGGGCCAAGTATCGGAGTCTAAGAACATGTTTAGTCTTCTCTAACAAAAAGTGTGGGATACTTGGAATCTGATCTAACCACATAGAAAGGGAAGGAGTGTTCTGTGGTCTGATAAGATCATGAAAGATGACATTATATGTAAATAGGTTCAAGATGATTCTGTTATTCCTGTTAGTACGAGGAAACCATGTTTGACCAGTGCATGTTACACAAGAAGCCAGAAGCATCAAGAACAGAGGCTGAGAATGACAGTCATTAGACAAAATTAGAAAAAAATATTTAAAAAATCTTCATGAGAATATTTACCATCCACAATATTTTCAACTGCTGCAGGTTGTTGTAAAAACAATTAAGGTGTTAACATTTTTCACAATAGGCAACAATTAAAGTCAATGAATTATATATCATCTATCTTGCATATTGAATCAGTAAAAGGAAATCCTGTATCAAATATTACTAAGGACAGACATATTTAGTATATACTGGTATCATGCCGGCTCATATCAAGACACAAGGTTAGAGATGGTCAGAATAGCAGGAGGATGCTGTATAAGGTGATCAGCACAACCCAAGCAATATATGCGAATTATACATATGCATGTCACATATCTATAGAGTATTTACACAAATATGTAATTTTCTGACTAAAATTAATATTTTATACTTATCCTGACTCATGCTAATTATGCTTGTCTCCTTCCTCTTGCAAATGGTAGTGGAACACTTGAAATCCCTTGAAGTTCCCTTCTAAAAAGCGGACGTAAAATCATTACTCACCCAGGAGTTGCCTCCCTTGCCCCTTTGGCGCCCTTTTGGTCACCTGACCGACCATGACGTGTCACTCTCTCCGTATGAATGCCCGACACCCGGATTTACAGGGAAATCCAGAGTGCCATAAGAGGGGAGGTTGAGAGGGCTAACCTCATGAGTCAGGATAAGTATAAAATATCAATTTTAGTCAGAAAATTACATATTTTTCCTTATCCTGACTCATGCTAATAATGCTTGCAGAATCCGTCGGAAACGGTGGTGGGTCAGGCCACGTTCTGGATTCACTAGTTGTTGATTTACGTCCTGTATTACCCCCCATGGGAACTTACGACGGCTCTTTTGAAAATTCTGTTCTTTCAACTTCTCTCTGATGAGTCTGGGGGGAACAACAACTTGTCAGATTTCTTCCGAAACTTCTCCTGACATTTTCGTGTGGATTTAGATATACTAATATTCCATTAGTTATCTATTGCAACTCCATCTCTTGATGCACGCAGCAAGAGGAGATGCGACCCTTCTTCATGTACAAGTATGTCCTATACAAGTACAGGGTCTATCACTCATGCTAGTCTGTCCTAGACGTGTGCATGGACTTATAGCCATTGCTCTCCAGAGCGTTGGTTTTCACAAGTCACGTGATAAAAGGGGTGAGATTTACTCAGCGCTTTTGTGGAACCGTTAGTTGTTGTGCTACAACAAGTGGCCCAAACTGGTGAATGCCTGAGACGTCTTCGGTGGCAATGTCTCTGAGGTAGTGTTCAATCTCCAAAAGCAGCCCTCCATAATAGTTGTAATCGAGCAGTTTCCATGCAGAGCAAGTGTTGACGCCAGGGCTCTGACTTCATGTGGGTTGGAGGCTCATGGAGGCTCAAGTCCTGCTGCTTTATAGGCCATTAGTATAACGGCTCTCATCCAGATCGATATCGTTGTCCTTGAGACTTCCGGGTGTCTCAGTGCATAAGGGGATGAATAGGCGCTTGAATTTTCGTCTCCTTGTTTTAGTTCTCTGTAAGTAGACTTTAAGTGCTCTGACTGGGCATAAGGATAGATCCTGTGTATCCTGTGGCCCAAGGACTGTAGAGAGTGCTGGGATGTGGAACTGTCTGTCAGGCTGACCGGGCAGTTGGTTCTTGGTGATAAAATCCCATCTCAGTCCAAGATGTACGATGTCACGATGTCTTGATTCAAATCGTGTTTGTTCAAAGTCCAGAGCATGTATTTCTGACATCCGTGCAGCTGTTGCTAGGGCGATCAGGAACAGCGTTTTCTGAGTTAGTAGTTCAAAGGATGTCCGTTCTAGAGGCTCGTAGGCATCACTGGTGAGATGTTGTAGAACTATGTTGAGATCCCAGGCAGGAGCCTTAAATTTCTTTTGTTGGTCTTCCAACTTGAACAAGCATAGTAGTGCCAGAATCTCTGGTACTTTGGTCAGCTTGATACCCGTTTTCATGGTGATAACTGTACTGAGGGCAGCCAAGTAAGTTGAGAGTGTTGAACCTTTTAAGTGTCTCGTCTGTCGTAGATGACATAAGTATTCCGCCACTTGAGGATGTGTTGCTTTCACCGCTGTAAAGCCTTTCCTCTTTGCATACTGTTCAAATCTCTGCCACTTGTCGTCGTACAAGTTGCGAGTTGATCTGCGTAGAGCTAGTGTAACTGCTTTTGCTGCTCTGGCGGACTACCCTCTGGTCTTCAGGCAAGCTTTAATATGCTCCATGCATGTAGCTGGAACAGTGTCGGGTTCCCGTGAGCTTGCTTGGTGTGTGGATGGACGAGTAGGTTTGACCACTCTGGTAGTTTCAGGGTTGGACTTCCGAGTTCTTGTATGAGGACGGGAAACCATACCCTCGCTGGCCAATAGGGCGTGACCAAAATCAGTTGCAACATAGTCATCTGCTTGATTTTCTGTAGTACTTGTGGTAGCAGTGCAGGAGGTGGAAACGCCGCGTAAGAGTTTAGTCCTTCCCATGAGATGCTTAGAGCGTCTGTTGCCCATGCCTGAGGATCTGGAATCAGTGAGACGGATGTTGCTAGCTGTTTGTTACACTTTGTTGCAAACAGGTCTATTAGTGGGGATGCTATAGTCTGTATGATGAACTGGAATGCTTCTGGATGCAACATCCATTCCGTCGGGGATGGTTGTAGTGGACGAGATAGGGTGTCTGCTATGACGGAATGTGGCATGCCTTCATGTAGATGTTCAGGTCGTCAACTATGCTGAACAGGAGAAAGCTGAGTTGTAGCAGACTTGTTGATCTTGTTGACCCTTGTTTGTTGATGTAAAACGCCACTGTTGAGTTGTCCGAGTGTACCATGAGTTGTGCGTTCTTTAGTACGCTGGACCAATGTTGTAAAGCGTTGATTACTGCTTTCATCTCCAACAGATTGATGTGTGACTTCTGATTCTGACTCGACCACTTCCCTGCTGCCACTCCGTTGTTGAAGTGCCCACCCCATCCTTGTAGGGAGGCATCCACTTAGAGACGAGTATTGCAAACCGGCTCTGTCAAAAAGGTTCCTCTGCAAACATTCGACTTCCGAGTCCACCATAGGAGATATGGTTTCAGGCTGTCCCGTAGTATTAATGGATCAAGGCTGTCTAGGTGGGCGTTCACAAATACTTGTAGTGGGCACAACTGTAGTCTCTCTCTGCGAGTCATGTCTTGAGCTGAGGTGATAGACCGAGTATGCTTTGCCAAGCACGTAGTGTCAACAGAGAGAGCATTGCTTGAGATATCATCTGTTGTATCTTGACCCAACGATACTCTGGAACGACTATACGATTCACTGGTGTGATGAGTCAAATTCCTAGAAATTGCAGATCTTGTTTCGGCTCCAGTTCCGACTTGAGGAGATTTACTAGCCATCCTAGTTGAGTGAGCAGCCTGATGGTGAAGTCTAGTTGCAGTCTGAGTTGACTGGGATCTTGATGAGCTTGAATCCCGTCGTCCAGGTAGAAAGCACTGCGTAGACCTTGACGATGTAGATATGTGACGATGGGCTTGGTCACTCGAGTAAACAACCAGGGGGCCGACGATATTCCAAACGGTAGAACCTTCCACTGGAAGTGATGTCCGTTGAAAAGGAATCTTAGGTTTTTCCTTGCACAATAATATAGCGGGATGAATTCTGGCGCAGTCATCAGTAAAATATAATACAGAATACTATTATTTAACCCACAGAAATATATCCTACTTTTGTGTATTTTAATTACAGTTTTTGCTCTATAAATTAATATGAATAAGATTACCGTGTGTATTTGAGCCGGAAATAGCAATCAGCTGTGCACCCGTTTCCCGGCGATCAAGTTCAAACATGCACAATAATATAACGGGATGAATTCTGGTGCAGTCATCAGTAAAATATAATACAGAATACTATTATTTAACCCAAAGAAATATATCCTAGCATTGTGTAATTTTAATTTCAGTTTTTGCACTATAAATGTAAAATATATATTCAACACTAAGGTTATACCGACCCTCATGAACGTGGTAAGTTGTACGCACATGGAATGGGGTAAAATAAGCAAGCCATTTAAATTCACACATTTTTACCGATGTTACTGTAAACTAGCAGTCCATGGAAAACAAGTTGGTAATAAGCAAGCCAGTTTGTTGACATGTTATCGTCTAGCTACAATATGTATGATATCTAGCTAAACAAAATATATTATCCATTTTCTGTCAACTACACTTCATTTAGATGCGTAAGTAGAAGCAATATGATAGTGAATTTTTTTAATAATGTGGACCAAAGTTATAATTATTGGTAACCGCCAGTTGTCTGTGGTCTGTGTTTGCCGCGATTAGGACCCCATCGCGGGGGGTCGGCTTATGCACGAAACATACCATTTTGACACTGATTTTAAGGGTCAAGTTTTGGGGGTCGGCTTACCTATGGGGTCAGCTTATGACGCTAATATACGGTAAGGTCCGAAATTATAAAAAGGATATATGTCGTATAGGGACTCAGGTGCTCTCACAACCGTCCTCAAGGGCGAAGAAGGAGAGAATGACAAAGCATGGTCGGTCAGGTGACCAAAAGGGCGCGCCAAAGGGGCAAGGGAGGCAACTCCTGGGTGAGTAATGATTTTACGTCCGCTTTTTAGAAGGGAACTTCAAGGGATTTCAAGTGTTCCACTACCATTTGCAAGAGGAAGGAGACAAGCATAATGAGCATGAGTCAGGATAAGGAAAAATAATTAATTTAATTACTGTCCTACATCACATATCACTCATCAAACATATTTACTCTTACAATTATGACATTAAATTAGTAACGTTGTCTGTTTCCTGACCAATGTGATAATAGGAGGCCAGGGAAAATAGATTCAATCCTTTCCATCTGGAGTTAATTCATAACATATCAATAGCGACAGTGTTATTGTGTCATTACATCAAGTGCGAAATACACACTGAGAAATCAGTACAAAAATATGCCCATGTTGACTTACCTTCACTGTTTGTGCTCTGAGAGCTGACCTGTCGCTTGGCCCTGCGGACAATCCGACCTGTAACAGTGAGTGAGTGAGTGGGTGGGTGTGTCAGTGGCTATGTGAGTGAGTGAGTGTGTTGGTGGTTATGTATGTGAGTGAGTGAGTGAATGAATGAGTGAGTGAGTCAATAAGCGTGTCTGTGGCTATGTGAGTGAGTGAGTGAGTGAATGTGTGGGTGGGTGGTGGTGTCAGTTGCCATTGATTGAATGAGTGAGTGGGTGGGTGGGTGGGTGGTGGTGTCAGTGGCCATGTGAGTGAGTGAATGAATGGGTTTGTAGGGGGAGTGTCAGTGGCCATGTGAGTGAGTGAGTTATAAAATCTACATTAGACTGAGCACAGAAATACCTATTCCCAACTACTTCCTTCCCAAACCTCATTTTGCAAATTTAAACAACTGATCTTAATTCTATAATAGTGCAAAACAATACTGTGACTCTTACAAAGTTACATCACTAACAGCAAGTGTGATAATAGGTTTTAGGCAGAAAACTTGACATAGAAACCCCACGATGGTGTACATTCAGTTACGTCAACTTGGGTCGACTTTGGATGCTACTCCTGCTGTCATGTCTCCAATGTCACAATGTTAAGACTTCCCTTATGATGTGGTGGTGGTGAAATTGGGTTTAACGTCGTGCTTGAGAATATTTCGCTCATATGACGACGTGCATGCATGTATGTGTATGTGTATGTGCGGCTGCTTGTACTAGCCCAGACTGAAGCTGGTTTTAGAGTGCTAGCCCACTGAGATACCATGTCGCAGTGAAGCATGAATACCCCACTCAGACACATTATACTGACTCCGAGCCGACCAGTCCATGTTGTACCCATTAATGCCGAGAGCCAGTCAGGGACCAACAAGTACCATATTTTAACGTCTGTTGGTTTGACGCAGTCGGGGGTCGAACCAGCGACCTTCCACCTTCCACAGTGAGTGAGTGAGTTTAGTTTTCGCCGACTCAGCAATATTCCAGCTATATGATGATGTAATAATCATAATCATAACAATCCAGTGATCAACAGCATGAGCATCGATCTGTGCAATTGGGAACCGATGACATGTGTCAACCAAGTCAGCGAAACTGACCACCCAATCCCGTTAGTCGCCTCTTACGACAAGATAGTCGCCTTTTTATGGCAAGCACATGGGTTGCTGAAGACCTATTCTACCCCGGATCTTCACGGGTCCTTCCCTTTTGAGCAACAATGATGATAATTATCATAATCATAACAATAGCTTTTGAACAAAACATTACAAAAATACTTCATATAATCTTTGCTGTGTTACTGAAGCAAATACATAAAGCAAACACTATTCAGATGAAAACTAATCTTCACTGATCCTGAAATCGCCCTTTCACCCAGAAAATATTGGGCTCAACCAGCCGCACTTCCCTTATGACTTCTGCTGTGACCAGACATTGCATTTATTCTAAATTTAGAGGCTTGAGCATTGACTTTAGAGATTTGAATAAAGGTATACTAAAAATGCCAAAAATAAAAGTATCATGTGTTATAAGGATGATAAGGTTGATGGTGACAATTGAAGATCCCCAAACAGGGCTACCTGACAGGCTTTGGATGCATTTGCCTGGAACCTCACAGGAAACAAAATGCATTATAAACACACTAAAACACCACTAAATTGGACAGTTTCGACTCACCTTTACTATCTTTACGGTGTGTGACTATCAACAATCCCAATATGCAGAATGTCTATCTATTGTCATATTTGTTTCTTCAGTTTAATCACGTCACACTAAACACTGCAGAAGAGCCAGCACATATAAACAAAACAACGGCCAGCCATCAACAACCGGCCATCAACAACGGCCAGCCATCAATAACAACCAGCCATCAACAACCGGCCATCAACAATGGCCAGCCAACAACAACGGCCAGCCAGCCATCAACAACAACCAGCCATCAACAACGGCCAGCCATCAACAACTGGCCATCAATAACCAGCCATCAACAACAGCCAGCCATCAACAACGGGCCAGCCATCCAACAACCAGCCATCAACAACGGCCAGCCATCAACAACCGGCCAGCCATCAACAACGGGCCAGCCATCAACAACAACCAGCCATCAACAACGGCCAGACATCAACAACCAGCCATCAACAACGGCCAGCCATCAACAACAGCCAGCCATCAACAACCGGCCATCAACAACGGCCAGCCATCAACAACCAGCCATCAACAACGGCCAGCCATCAACAACGGCCAGCCATCAACAACCAGCCCTCAACAACCAGCCATCAACGGCCAACCAACAACAGGTTAAGCTGAACAAAGACTGAGATCATCAGATGGTCAACAATTTCTTCATTTGTTTCCCATGTGTTAGTGGTGTTCATCTGACCGTTCTACAGTGAGGCCTCATATCGGTACCTGGTATAGTAGATCCTGTCTTCTTCATGGCTTCCACGTCAACAGGTTGTATGTCTGCCCTGAATATACAAACAACCGTCACAAAGTGAAGTACCTGGCACCTTACTGCATTCCTGCTGCACAACACAACAATGTCTTCATTTTTCAGTTCATGGATTCAACTGACCAGTGTCAGAACCAATGATCAGAAAATACAGGCCCGCAGGGGTGGAAATAACCCATTGCCCGACGTCCCAGTCTAGTGTTTTTTTGTCAGGCAAGGAAATTTGCATATCATGCTGTACTGGTGTCCAGTTGACTTTCCAATGTTAATTATGTCGTTTATTTTAAAATATCAAGAAGAAAATCGGCCGGTATTGTGGAATAATTATCAGGGCAAGTGATTTTGCATGTGCCACTGTACCGGAAAACACTAGCAATTTTAAAGTTATTTCCACACCAGCCAGGTCATTTGAATTTATTGTATTTAGAACAACTGATTCATATTAGAATGATTATAAAATATATACATGGACAAATTCATAGCAATTGTAAGGTGTTGATCTTTGCAGAACCTTTGACAACATTTTCCCAAAGTTTCCCAAACATACTGATGTCAAACGTCATGGACTTCTGAAACTCTACTAAAATGATGCCATAGTTACCAAGTGCTTGGAGTGCACTAGGAATGGTGCAGAAATGGGTGATACAAAAATGCTTCCTAAGAACCTCTCAGATGACCTTGACCTTTAACAAACATGCCATGTGGTAGAAATTGCAGACACATGTAAAGTGTTGTTTGTTTAATGTTAACCATGAAAATGCCGATGACATCACCACATTTTACAAATACCTGACTAATGCTGTTGCAAAAATAATTCATTGCTTCAAAACTTGTATTTCCTTGAGAGTATTGTTTCAAGATTTGAAACTCTCATTGAACTACTGTTTCAAAACAAAGAAAGAGTTTCAGAATTGTGAAGCAATACATTATAACTCTGGCACTCATTCAGCTCAAACAATCTTTCAAAATGTTTCCCTTATCTAATAAACCAGAATAAATGTCCCCTACCTCTCTCTGCGCGCCTGGAGGTCGAGTTCCTCCGATGCTGCCTCCAGCGGCTGCTGCAGGGCTGACAACTGGTTCTGTAGTTCCCGCATCAGGAACCGGGTCACAAACTTCTCCTTTCTATCTGCTCCCTCGTAACTCTGAAATAACAGATCTCACTCCATGTCACAAGATCTCGGATCCTGATCAATACAGAAAAGAGTCAGTGAATTTAGCCACAAGTTTGAAGCCAAGTCAAGTGAAGCATAGCAACAGTCTCTGTTTGTTTATCACTTTTGAAAAGAGAGCTATCTTTGCACGGTCTTTCCTCTGTAATTCAAGTATTTGGGGATAAAAATCTGCACAACCAGTAATTCAGATTACATATATTTCACAACCTTCTCTGTGGTTTTGTAAGGAGATCAGGAAACCAAGTACTATAAACACTCAAAGATGAGCTGCAGTCTACACATAGTCCTCCTGACTGGGACAGGTGAGCTGCAGTACCTGGGATGTAGAGAAGAGCACATTCGTGACTTTAGCTGACAGATCCTCCAGGGTCCCGTAGATCTGCTGGAAGTCCCCCAGGTGAGAGGCGAAGTAGGAACACAGCTCCCCGGTGTCGATGTTGCTGGAGTTGGACAAGCAGTCATGTCATCATTGTTGCCCACCCTCCAACATGTTCCAAAATCAATGATAAAGTATGTACATCAACAGGCTTCATCTGATAATGCCAACTAGTAGCTGAGCGGTCTAGGCATCTGATTTTGTGTGCTGGCGATTAGGTGCCTGACTCTGAGGGTGTGAGTTTGAATCCCGGATGGGACTCAACGCAAAAAGTACTGGAATCTGTACTTTATTAAGAAAGTATAATCCCAAATATAACATATGTTACAATACAAAGTAATTTCCTACAAAACCTATAAACTCCACATGCACTCATGTTTAGGTCAGTATCACACATTCCTCCATATTGTTGCTGAACCTAGTTACCATGGCAACCTGCTATAGTGGTAAATGCAATACAAAGTTTAACATACCCAGTGTTGTGGGTGTCGATCTCGTTGAACAGGACTCGCAGCTCTTCTTTACCCATTACGCCATCCGCGAAGAAGGCAATAAACTCTTCCCAAGATATAAAACCATCATCTGAAAACATAGTTGTCTATAACATACACAGCAGAAACAACCATGTCTGTATTCTCATGCTGAACAGTTGTCTGTATACTGTAGAGCAGATCACGTACTAGGGTAATGTAGTAAGTGAGTGGGTGGGTTTGTTTTACGCCACTTTTAGCAATATTCCAGCAATATCATGGCAGGGGACACCAGAAATGGGCTTCACAGTGTACCCATGTGGGGAATCGAACCCGGGTCTGTTCAACCAGTAGGTTACCCCACTGCCCCCTAAAGTAATGTATACTGTCAGAGAGAATATTTGCACTAGAGGAGACTGTAGGTAACTGTCTGGTTCTGGGTTTGATATAACCAGGTGAATCATTTGCATAGTTTCAGCATTTGAAATTACATATGAAAGCCAAGAGCTCTTTATCATAAGTTTACATTAATAACAGATGATTTAGTGAGTGAGTTAGTTTTAAGCCGCTTTTAGCAATATTCCAGCACTATCATTATCACGGCAGGGTCTGGGACATGGGCTTCACACATTGTACCCATAACGGAAATCGAACCCGGGTCTTCTGCGTGAAGATGATTTTGAAGGTCCATAGGGTAAATCAACATAGTTGAACATCAAAACAAACCAGAGATCTCCAAGACTTGGAAAATAATCATATATGTCATCATATGTCATGAATGATTGTTGTTTTATGTTCTTGGAATCGTCAATGATATCAGTTTACTGGAACAACAATCGATACACTTCATTGGTTTTATTGCAATCTTCCAGACTAGGTAGTAATTAAGTTACCCTCAATACCTGTATTTACTACAACATCTATACTGTGTGTACTCACCATCTTTGTCTGCTCGTCTGAACACCTGTGAACAGGTAGAAGATTATGCATTACTCACTACAATCAAATATTCATGAATGTTTTAAAAGATTTTTTTTTCTTGAATTCAGTTTATGTTTAGAATCACACGAGACAATATCTGTATTAGCACTGTCTTTAATTCACATTTTACTAATGTATCATCAGAAAATCTTATCAACATGATAAATATATTCAGACAAGATGGTCATAATAGCCTGTGTCACAATGGCCTGTATCACATGGGTCTGTAATCACATCTGGGACAGACAAACTGGCATGACAAATACATCTTGTTTTAGTTATTCTTTACCGCAAGCAGGAGACACCAATACTACTGGCTTTGTGAATAGGTTATTATGACAAGACTGATAATTGATTTTGAAAAGTATAATTGTTATCAATTATTGACCATTCATAAAAAATTAAACAGCGATAAAAAGCATTGATATGAGTTTTATACCATGTTGTCATAAGGACAACCAACCAAAAACGTGCAAACACTGCAAAACACATAGTCAAATTTTGCACAGCCTCACTCTCTGCTTTAACTCAGTTATGGATGTACAACAGTGAGACAGAGCAGTTTGTGCACGAGCCATTGCTCTCATGGTGTTTCCGCCTACTGTTGCCTAACATGGAAGTACTTCCTAGTAGAGTCTATCCTAATGTCTACCAGGTTTGTGCACTTGCGATTAGGTGACTCGCTCTGTCAGTGTGAGTTCGAATCTCGGACGGAACTCAAATAAATGGCATTTGAACTTTGCAGCAGCTTGCTGAGAAGTGTAAACTCAAACACAACATTGTTCATGTTGCAGCTAATATCTCCCGACCTGAGAGCAACAAGTCATCTGTAGGTATGACTCTTACTTACATCCAGAAATATCGACATCCCTCTATCTTCAATACTTTTGTCTGCCATAGTTGTCCCGTTGGTGGCAGATTCTGCTACTTGTCACTTTAAGACGATCAACAACAAATCTTACCCTTGCTGTCAGTAGACAAACCGCATTAGCCGTCCAAAACGGCACAACTCCAAAATGGCCCAATTACCAATGTCAAAGCGGAAAAGGGGAGACGCAGACGAACGTAATTTTGTTTGCTGTTTGTTTTAAGCATATTTAGTTTATAACGAAATGGACTGGCAAACAAGCCTCAGCCATATCACTCCAATACGAAGACATGAAAATATGTTGCATGACGTACCAAATCTGTGCATCCCTATATCATTCAAAACTGTGTTCCACTGGAGATATTGCTTGTGTGAGATCAAACGATATCTCCTAGGAGAGACAGTGGATTTTGAACAATGCCCTGACATCATCAATTACATAAGATAACAATGCTTTGACATCATCCATTACATGACTCCCAATGCTATGATGTCATAAACCTGATAACATCACAATGCTATGACGTCATAAACTTGATGACGTCACAATGCTATGACATCGCTGCACTGCAAGTCTAATATTACGGGTTCCCGGCTCCCTTTGCGCGCGTAACCTTTCCCAGCTTAGTCTAATATCAGTACCGTGTTCAGAGATGTAATCTCTTTCGTTGACTTTTTATGATAAACAGAATCTCACCCTCGTGTCTTCTAATATCAAATATATCAACACTCGTTGATAAAAGTAACTTTATCAACTTTTGTTGTTGATATAATTGATATCAGTAGACACTTGGGTGAGATTCTCTATTTATACAGAATCTACACCGAAACGTCGCTCCTCATTGCACATTAAGAAGTTGTTCATCCACATATCTTTTCCTTACTACATAATAAACACAGACAATTATAGATTGAAATATTTCCTTACATACTATCCAATACTGTCAGCCTGTTAATCAGAAAAACAGGTAGAAAAATAAGTATAAATGTTCGTACAGATTGAATATATACTACTGGAATGAAGTAATTGTGCTGTGTTTGATGTTATGACTTGTTTTTAATGAAAAAAATAATAACATGATTTATGGTGTTATCTTTAATCACTATTTAACTGTTCACATGATAATATCGAAATCTGAAGATTTGACACTAGGCATCGTGACACGCCCTTGAAGAGATGTTGTGTCAAAAGTCACTTCACAAATTCAGTATCGTGTGTGACCACCATTGGCGTTGATGCAGGCTTGATAACGACGACCCATAGACCACACGAAGTGATTGAAGAAAGCTTGGGGAATGTCTGAACCAACACTTGTCCCAATCAGTTAACGCCAATGGCTGATTCTGAGCTTGACTTATACGTCGCTCCATTTCATCCCTAGACCAATGCTTAGTCTCTGAATATATATAATTTTGATAGTAACAAACAAACCTATTTATAAATTGAAAAGGAGCCCCAGGGAGACCAGAGATTCAGAACCTGAACCTGGGGATATCTAGACTTGCTTCATTTAGGGCTTTAGCACTTCAGGGAAGGCTAGGCTGTGGGGAAAATAATGTGGTTCAGGGACTGTGAGACAGACTATTACATCCCAAGCATGCACAATAGTGTACAGGTCCGGAGAAACAACTGGCCAGCAACAGTTCTGCTGTCTTAGGAAATCTGTCCCAGTACGAGTGAGATGAGGACAGGCATTGCCTTGCTGAAGCGTAAAGTAACGTCTGTGTCCTTGAATGAACGGCTGTACATGAGGCCCGGTGATATCATCCCTGTCAGACTGCCATTGACAACGACAAGTAGTGTCCGACCATGAGATGTGATGCCCTCCCCCACCCCACACACACACACACACACACACACACACACACACCACCTCCCTCCCCCATACCGTTACGCACTCGCCACCACAGTGTCGACTTTGATAACATTCACCTCGCCGTCTGTACACTCTTGCCCTGCCACCTGAACTGTACAGATGAAATATCGACTCGTCGTTGAAACAACTACACCAGGCAGGACGTGCCTGTCCATGACGTTGGAGAAAAATTGGACGTATTGGAGGCGCGCCCGCGGATGTTGTTCTCCCTCAGTCGGTTCCGTATAGTCCTGAAACTGTTTGGGCGTAGGCCAGGAATGGTCCGAGCAGTCAAACTGGCAGTCTGGAATCGATTCCTTAGATAGTTCATCCGAATGTGGTTGACTTGCTGACGTGACGTCACGTGTGGACGGCTGGACCGAGGCAAATCTCTCATATACCCATTATGTTAAAAACGTCTCCATAGAGGTGAGATCGTGTTTCGATTGAGACCAAAATGTCAGGTCATTTTGGGCCATCCTAGTCTCCAGCATAACCATAACGTCGCGGAGACGTTGATTTTCTGTAAACCGTGGCATAACGTACGCACAGTTTATGTTGAAATTTCAACAACATTCAGAGGCAAGAGAATAATCAACCTTTCTCCAATTTACGATAGCAGGTGTGTGAACTTCAGGTGTCAAAAAGCATGCAAAAGTAAGTAAGTTCATTGGGCACAAAGTGCACGTGCCACGCGCGATACGTGACATCAAATTCCATGCAAAAAGCTTTGCTACATGTATATTTAGGGTTATTTTTATAACATTTCAAATAACTATTATTTTCTTGCAATTTTATGTTATGCACCGTAACTTTTTCCCGTTAGTATAGGTAAACGCCGTCGACTTGTACGTTGTGCGTCATTGCGTTTGGTGCAGTGTATGGACTCCAGCAAACTTTGTACCAGACCACAGGGCTAATAACTGTAAAAGACCTACCAGCCCCATAAAAACCAACCAGTCCTATCAACATGAAGCTGACATGTCTTGGCAAAACTGAAATACTGCATTAAGTGACGTTAACTCCATCTCTGGGTTAGAATGAACCTTCAGTGAAAAAAAACATGCTTGTCGTAAGAGGCGACTAGCGGGATTGGGTGGTCAGGCTCGCTGGCTAGGTTGACACATGTCATCGGTTCCCAATGTTGCGCAGGTCGATGTTCATGCTGTTGATCACTGGATTGTCTGGTCCAGACTCGATTATTTACAGATCGCCGCCATATAGCTGGAATATTGCTGAGTGCGGCGTAAAACTAAACTCACTCACTCACTCTCTCATTGAGCCGTTTTTATCAAATGCCATGATCCGTTTTGGCATCATTGCCGTGCGTATATATTTCTTGATAAAGCAGCGCAGAAATACTAACCACCAAATGAAATATACAGAATTCCATTGTCAATTGGAGACTAATGAAGACAACCAGTCTCATAATATAAATTATATTTTCTGATGGCACCTGCTACAGTGGAATCAAACAAGGCTATTGAAGTCTCGTGCCCTCTCGTTCTCACGAGAATGTCTCGGTTGTCAGTGAAAACAACATGGCGGCTTATACGGCATCCAGGGCCAGTTATGTTGGTGAAACTAAGAAACTGCTTCGAGAAGGTATGTTGCAGGTGGAGAACAGTTATGAATTAAAGAAGTGTCCTTTATTATTCAGTTTTTATTTCAATTCCAAGTATTATCATAGTCGGCAGCATTCTATTTAGCATCGTAGACTAGAGCGGGATGAGCGGTTTTAGCTGTCATAGGATTTGGTTGGTGAGTTAATGAATTACCAGATTATCAAATTGGAAACCTCATGTGTGAAACATATTTTTCGTGCCCCAAACAATGAAACGCATCGTTTGCCTAGTGCACAGTGAATAGTTTTGTTTATTAAGACACCTATTTTAGCTTCTGCTTCTAAGTATTGTTGACCACCTGAAATCACCAACACATAAAAAAACCCTATGACATGTTATTGAATATTGCTTTCCTTTCCAGAAGCCAACAATACACTTGCATTTGACAAGATACCCTTTGTCACATTTGTTTTATGACAAAAGCTGTACATAACAGAATGACAGTTTAATATTAGTCAATAAATGACAAAATCAGAAGATAAATTCTACAACATTTAGAGCTTCAGTATGTGACAACAATGTCAGTGACATTCAATCGAGGCATTTAAAAAGGTGTACTATTTCTCTAACTGGTGGATAAAATGACAATGTACTAGTGTATGGGTGACAGCCATCCAAACCCCTAGTTGTTTAGCTTGGCAGTTAATACTGGAGTCTGAAAAGCTTCAACTGTTACTAATGAAGGAGACTGTTCACACCCATTACCAAAATGGTGGAAGGTGTCCAGTAGAATGCTTTCTGCATTTTTAGTCAACTTGATCTTATTATGATGACCTAGAGCAAAACCCTTAACGTTTTGGCAGTTTGGCAAGGACTGTGGGACTAGTGTCAGTTCTATGGTGATTCATACATGTGTAACAAATCAGTTTTATGGTGTCATAGTGTGGCATCATATATCTAAGGCCCTTATGTTTTTATTAATAATGAATACTTTCTACATCTTTCAGTAGTTTGAATCTGTTTGAGTACGACAGGTAACACATTTATTGCCATCTTTGTTCCATCAACTGCACTATCAGGTATTATATACACAAGATGGTTAGTTGATCATGTTCATAAATACTAGAAAATCGACAGGTTCTTCCATTTCAGTCTGTGTAATACCTAATTATATTTTTAATAAATAGCAATCACTAATCATGTTTCAGGATTTGGTGTCTACACATATGAAAATCAGTTCTTCAGATATGAAGGCCAGTGGCAGAGAGGGAAGAAACATGGTAAGCTACCGGCTCTTGTACGTCTATAGAGGTTATCATGCAGGTGTGTTATGGGATGTTAATATTCTCTACTTGGAACAAACATTACATTTAACATGCTCAGTAGTCCATGTGTATATTTTCAAGTAAGAATAAGTCTGCTATAATCAGCTGGTTTACCTGTTACATACTTGAAGTAGCTGTTTTAGACTACCATGAAGTAGCTGCAGTATTGGTGAATTTGTGATGAAGTGGTGGTGATGCTGTAGTAGCAGTAGTGGTCCTAGTGATGGTGGTCGTAATTGGGTTATTATTGGAAGTGGTGGTGATGCTGTAGTAGTAGTAGCAGTAGTGGTCCTAGTGATGGTGGTCGTAATTGGGTTATTATTGGAAGTGGTAGTGATGCTGTAGTAGCAGTAGTGGTCCTAGTGATGGTGGTCGTAATGGGGTTATTATTGGAAGTGGTGGTGATGCTGTAGTAGTAGTAGCAGTAGGTGTCCTAGTGATGGTGGTCGTAATGGGGTTATTATTGGAAGTGGTGGTGATGCTGTAGTAGCAGTAGTGGTCCCTAGTGATGGTGGTCGTAATGGGGTTATTATTGGAAGTGGTGGTGATGCTGTAGTAGTAGCAGTAGTGGTCCTAGTGATGGTGGTCGTAATGGGGTTATTATTGGAAGTGGTGGTGATGCTGTAGTAGCAGTAGTGGTCCTAGTGATGGTGGTCGTAATGGGGTTATTATTGGAAAGTGGTGGTGATGCTGTAGTAGTAGTAGCAGTAGTGGTCCTAGTGATGGTGAATTAAGTAATGGGGTTATTATTGGAAGTGGTGGTGATGCTGTAGTAGCAGTAGTGGTCCTAGTGATGGTGGTCGTAATGGGGTTATTATTGGAAGTGGTGGTGATGCTGTAGTAGCAGTAGTGGTCCTAGTGATGGTGGTCGTAATGGGGTTATTATTGGAAGTGGTGGTGATGCTGTAGTAGTAGTAGCAGTAGTGGTCCTAGTGATGGTGGTCGTAATGGGGTTATTATTGGAAGTGGTGGTGATGCTGTAGTAGCAGTAGTGGTCCTAGTGATGGTGGTCGTAATGGGGTTATTATTGGAAGTGGTGGTGATGCTGTAGTAGCAGTAGTGGTCCTAGTGATGGTGGTCGTAATGGGGTTATTATTGGAAGTGGTGGTGATGCTGTAGTAGCAGTAGTGGTCCTAGTGATGGTGGTCGTAATGGGGTTATTATTGGAAGTGGTGGTGATGCTGTAGTAGCAGTAGTGGTCCTAGTGATGGTGGTCGTAATGGGGTTATTATTGGAAGTGGTGGTGATGCTGTAGTAGTAGTAGCAGTAGTGGTCCTAGTGATGGTGGTCGTAATGGGGTTATTATTGGAAGTGGTGGTGATGCTGTAGTAGTAGTAGCAGTAGTGGTCCCTAGTGATGGTGGTCGTAATGGGGTTATTATTGGAAGTGGTGGTGATGCTGTAGTAGTAGTAGCAGTAGTGGTCCTAGTGATGGTGGTCGTAATGGGGTTATTATTGGAAGTGGTGGTGATGCTGTAGTAGTAGTAGTAGTAGTGGTCCTAGTGATGGTGGTCGTAATGGGGTTATTATTGGAAGTGGTGGTGATGCTGTAGTAGTAGTAGCAGTAGTGGTCCCTAGTGATGGTGGTCGTAATGGGGTTATTATTGGAAGTGGTGGTGATGCTGTAGTAGTAGTAGCAGTAGTGGTCCCTAGTGATGGTGGTCGTAATGGGGTTATTATTGGAAGTGGTGGTGATGCTGTAGTAGTAGTAGCAGTAGTGGTCCCTAGTGATGGTGGTCGTAATGGGGTTATTATTGGAAGTGGTGGTGATGCTGTAGTAGTAGTAGCAGTAGTGGTCCCAGTGATGGTGGTCGTAATGGGGTTATTATTGGAAGTGGTGGTGATGCTGTAGTAGCAGTAGTGGTCCCAGTGATGGTGGTCGTAATGGGGTTATTATTGGAAGTGGTGGTGATGCTGTAGTAGTAGTAGCAGTAGTGGTCCCAGTGATGGTGGTCGTAATGGGGTTATTATTGGAAGTGGTGGTGATGCTGTAGTAGTAGTAGTGGTCCCAGTGATGGTGGTCGTAATGGGGTTATTATTGGAAGTGGTGGTGATGCTGTAGTAGTAGTAGCAGTAGTGGTCCTAGTGATGGTGGTCGTAATGGGGTTATTATTGGAAGTGGTGGTGATGCTGTAGTAGTAGTAGCAGTAGTGGTCCCAGTGATGGTGGTCGTAATGGGGTTATTATTGGAAGTGGTGGTGATGCTGTAGTAGCAGTAGTGGTCCCAGTGATGGTGGTCGTAATGGGGTTATTATTGGAAGTGGTGGTGATGCTGTAGTAGTAGTAGCAGTAGTGGTCCCAGTGATGGTGGTCGTAATGGGGTTATTATTGGAAGTGGTGGTGATGCTGTAGTAGCAGTAGTGGTCCCAGTGATGGTGGTCGTGAATGGGGTTATTATTGGAAGTGGTGGTGATGCTGTAGTAGTAGTAGCAGTAGTGGTCCCTAGTGATGGTGGTCGTAATGGGGTTATTATTGGAAGTGGTGGTGATGCTGTAGTAGCAGTAGTGGTCCCAGTGATGGTGGTAAGTAATGGGGTTATTATTGGAAGTGGTGGTGATGCTGTAGTAGTAGTAGCAGTAGTGGTCCTAGTGATGGTGGTCGTAATGGGGTTATTATTGGAAGTGGTGGTGATGCTGTAGTAGCAGTAGTGGTCCTAGTGATGGTGGTCGTAATGGGGTTATTATTGGAAGTGGTGGTGATGCTGTAGTAGTAGTAGCAGTAGTGGTCCCTAGTGATGGTGGTCGTAATGGGGTTATTATTGGAAGTGGTGGTGATGCTGTAGTAGTAGTAGCAGTAGTGGTCCTAGTGATGGTGGTCGTAATGGGGTTATTATTGGAAGTGGTGGTGATGCTGTAGTAGCAGTAGTGGTCCTAGTGATGGTGGTCGTAATGGGGTTATTATTGGAAGTGGTGGTGATGCTGTAGTAGTAGTAGCAGTAGTGGTCCTAGTGATGGTGGTCGTAATGGGGTTATTATTGGAAGTGGTGGTGATGCTGTAGTAGTAGTAGCAGTAGTGGTCCTAGTGATGGTGGTCGTAATGGGGTTATTATTGGAAGTGGTGGTGATGCTGTAGTAGCAGTAGTGGTCCTAGTGATGGTGGTCGTAATGGGGTTATTATTGGAAGTGGTGGTGATGCTGTAGTAGTAGTAGTAGTGGTCCTAGTAGCTTCAGCAAGAGTAGAAGAATGATCTATTCAGAAAAAAAATATTTTGAGTGTGGTTGACTTGGGTTGTCTCGTTCATCAGCCCAGCTTTCAGTTTTGTGATTGGTTCCTTTTGTATTATGCATCCTAAGTCTAATGGTGTACTATTATTGAACCTACTTTGTACTTAACATCAAGTAAAGATGTTTCTTTCTGAGCAGACAGATAGCAGTTCCTTAAGAGCAGTAGTAAATATGCTATAGGGATAACTTTAGAGCATACTTTATAGCACAGTTGTCACAGCTATACAATCAAAATCCAACTGATGATACTGACGAACATGGAGAATTGCTGTGCATCTGTCAAGGCTTGGATGAACACCAGTATCCTCAAGCTAAACATGAGAACAAGACAGAGGTGATGTTAGTCGGCCCAGCCTCCCGCCCGTCGAAGATCAATACTGTTTGTCTTCACATTGGTGACACCCATTCCCCTCTCATTACCGTCAAAGATCTTGATGTCTACTTTGAAGGTGATCTGTCGATGGAGAAGCAAGTCTCAGAGTTATGTAAATCGTGTTAATACCACATCCGAACTATTGGCAGTATCCGCCATCTTCTGACAGAGGATTCTACAGCAGCACTTGTTCGATCTCTGATACTTTCCTGTATTGATTACTGCAACAGCCTTCTGTTCCATATCTCACAGGAACTCACTAATCGACTCCAGAGAACATTCAGAATACTGCAGCACGCATGGTCACCAAAACCCCAAAATTTGCAAGTATTACTCCTGTCCTGAAACGCCTACATTGGTTACCAATCCAAGCGAGAGTTGACTTCAAGATACTGACTCTGATATAACAGCTCCAGTGTACCTCCAGGAACTCTTCAGGCCATACATCCCCGGTAGACCGCTTCGCTCCAGTCACAGAGACCTGTATGTTCCTCGTTGGCACCTGAAATCATATGGTTTCCGTTCTTTCCATGTGGCAGCGGCCAAGAAATGGAACGAATTGCCCGACCATCTGTGAACATGTTCAATTCTAACTCTATTTAGATCTCACCTCAAAACTCACCTTTTCTCAGTATCATATGACTGCAACTAGACCTCTCTGTATGCGCTATGAGCATGCCCACCGGCATGGAATTTGGCGCTTTAGAAAGTTACTTATTATAACTACCATCAGTGTCATGCATACTGATGCAGTGTAGTGTTTCAGGTCATGGTAAGCTGCTGATGAAAGACGGCACCTTCTACGAGGGTCTTTTTGCAAATGGTGAGATTCAAGGACATGGCTACAAGTACTTTGCGACATCAGGGTGCAAGTACACCGGGCAGTTCGAGCGTGGGGAGCTACATGGCTACGGGGTCATGCAGTACAAAGATGGCACCCTCTTTGAAGGGGAGTGGGCGCATAACAGAAAACAAGGTAAGAGGAGGTTGGGGAGTTGAGATGTTGATGATGATGATGATGGTGATGATGATGGTGGTGATGATGGTGGTGGTGGTGGTGGTGGTGGTGGTGGTGGTGGTGGTGATGTTGGTGATGATGGTGGTGATGATGTGGTGATTATCATTTTCAAATGAAATGCAGGGATTGGGATAGAGAACTTTGACAATGGGCCATTTTCAGGAATATTGGCCATTTTCTGAATTTAGAATGGGCCACTGACCTTTTATCAATAGTAAACTTTTAATGGGCCATTCTTTATTCTAATGTGCAAAATGGCCCATGGCCCCTGCCTTTCCCAATCCCTGGAAATGTTAGGCATTTAGGCATCTTCCCAGTGTAATACACTTGCTTCTGTTGGGGCCCAGGCTATGGGGTACTCAAGACTGGAGAGAACTCCACGTACGAGGGAGAGTTTGTTGGCAGTATGCGGCATGGAGACGGCACAATGATTTACAAGTGAGTGGAGTTTTATACACAGCTATTTTGATGTAAATGAAATACTGTTCATTAGTTACTAGTGGTAGTGAAGTATCATTGTCAAGGCTGTAGGAACACTCTAATTACATAGTGCATCTGTGTAATGTATAACAGTAGTGACAGTCTGTTTACAATGTTAACCGAATTGTTCCATTAAAGGATGGCAGTCTAAAATGCAAATAATCCAATGAGCATTTCTTTAAAAATGTGTTATATAGTTTAGTATTTAACAACATTTTTATCCCCCGCCCCGCGTTTAGCGTGAAGCGGGGGATATAGTAAGCGGGGATACTGTATTAGGCTCCGTCCGTCCGTACGTACGTACACACGAATTGGAATATCTTACCGTTCTCTAGATTCTTTTCATATTTGGTACCTAGGTTCATCACAGTATAAGAAAGGTCCAATTCAGGTTTGGTGACCTTGACCTTCATTTCAAGGTCACAAGGGGACTTTAACGTGTTACCTGCATGTTAAGCTATCTCAAGAACCGTTCATTGGATTTTCTTCATATTCAATACCAAGCTTTATCTAGGGAAGGCGCAGGGCCCAGTTGATTTTGGTGACCTTCACATAATTTTCAAGGTCATGGCGACACTTTGAAGATTTCAGCATGTAAACCTGCATGTTAAGCTATCTCAAGAACCGTTCACTGCATTTTTCTTCATATTTGACACCAAGCTTTATCTAGGGAAGGCGCAGGGCCCAGTCAATTTTGGTGACCTTCACTTAATTTTCAAGGTCACAGAGACACTTTGAAGATTTCAGCTTGTTAACCTGAATTGTCAGCAAGATATTTCAAAAACGGTACACTGGATTTTCTTCATAGACTTTCAAGACTCCCCTTGAATGTTTTTCAAAATAGCAATTTCTTTAGTACTATTTGTGCATATTTCATACACTGTGACATTCATGTCAAGGTCAAAGTCAGTCTTGAAAACGTGTGTGTTTGAACAACTAAAGAGCAAGATATCAAGAGAGGTTGATTAGTCATGTTTTTGTTGACATTTAACTTCATCTTAAACTTTCATTACTTTATAAGTTTGATTTGATAATTTGCAGTGGGGGATTATGTCACCTTAGTGACACTGCTTGTTTACATTCAAAAAGCACAGTCGTTGTTTCAGTATGCTTTGTTTCAAAGTTTCTATTACCTGTATGTAGCTGTTAGGATTTCATTTACTGTCAAACTGCTGGGTAGCCTAGTGGTTAAAGCATTCGCTTGTCACCCCAAAGACTCGGGTTTGATTCCCCAAGTGGGTACAGTGTGTGAATCCAATTTCTGGGGTCTCCCGCCGTGATGCTGCCGGAATATTGCTAAAAGCGGCGTAAAACTAAACTCACTCACTCCAGGTAGTGTGACAGTACAGTGCTGATGGAGGTGGGCAGTAGACTGCAATAACTATAGGGCATCAACATCATTGATCATGTGGATGTAAATTACTTTTGACACTTTTTTCGTAAAGTATATGAAACATCAATGTTTATTCTTGATTGTACTTTCTTATTTTACTTTCATGGAATTTGTTGTTTAAAACAAATTGCACTGAGTTTGTTTAATTGTTTGTCACTTTTTTACTTTTATTATAAACTGATAGTGTATAATTTTACACCAGACAAAATTATTATATGTTTTACGATAAACTATGATTATAATTTCAACTAATCTTCCTCATAGAAAAATGCTTTTATATTGTTGTCACTAAAATAAAATATTTATCCTAGATATACATGTTATAGATTCTAGATATACTAGATATGCATGATATGACTCTAAATTCAAAATATAACTGATATAGTTTCTAGACATACATGATATAGATTCTAGATATGCAAGATATAGATTCTAGATATACATGTACATGATATAGATTCTAGATATACGTGATATAGTTTCTAGATATACATGATATCGAGGATGTAGATTCTAGATGTATGTGATATACATTCCAGATGTATAATACATCATATAGATTCTGTCTTGCATAGTAGGAGATAGCTTCTTGTTGATTTCGCCTAGTTGTGTAGATTTCTTTTCAACGATGTCTACATGCTTTCATGTCTGACATACAATGGTGAAAGTTGACTCACTACTAATGAAATGGTTTTAAATTTTCTTTCATTCTGTCCACTTGAAGCGGTGTTTACAAAGCGAGGTACAAGCTCTAATACAGCTGTGTGTAGAACAGCTCCTCCAGCCATGTATACCCATTGTATTGCTATGTTTCTGCTATGTTGCCGCTAAGTCTCCGCTATGTTGCCGCTATGTTTCTGCTATGTTGCCGCTAAGTCTCCGCTATGTTGCCGCTATGTTTCCGCTATGTCTGTCACTGTCTTTGCTTCTTGTAACCAACCTGCTGCCAGTTTGCATGATACCTGTTGAGAGTTTTTATGGACGTCAACTTCTTTATTATGTGGAACACAACGTTTCAGAGTTTATCCTTACTCCTTCATCAGATGGTAGGAGGCAGAGAGCATGTGTATGTTCTGTTCTGTACATGTAAGAACAACAGAAGTAATAAGATAGCAAGGATGCAGGACATCACACATCATTAACGCCAGTTAACTGTTGGCTTCAATTGTTTAGCCTGCATCCTTGTGTTCCTGCTCGTTTGTGGTTCTTACATGTACATATATATATATATACCTGTATGTTCTTTGAGAGGCATATTTAGAAGCTGTAGAGATGAAGGAAAACAAAGTTCTATTGGATTGTCAACTTCTTTATTGCAATGAGTGCGACCTTTCGGTGTAGGTACTAACATTGGTATCAAGCAAGTGATACAATGAGTTGTAACATGGAGAATATGTACATAGCTGCATAGTGAGTATATACAATTGACAAGGTTGATATGTTCTGATTGTTTATACTCACTATGCAGCTATGTATGTACATTGTATTCTCCTTGTTTCAACTCTTTGTATCACTTGCTTGATACCGGTGTTAATATCTACACCGAAACATCACATTCACTGCAGTCAAGAAGTCGACTATCCATAGAAGACCAAGCTAATGTTATCACAGATGTCGCATGAAACCAGGCTTACGTTATCACCAACTTCTACATTTGTTACATTCAGATATGAAACATGTTTTGTATTTTAACAGGTGATTATCCTGCTCTGATCAGTGTATATGCCTTGTTGGTTAACGTGTTACATGTGCTGCTGCTACAGGGATGGTTAGCCATGTGTTTTCATTGATCTGTCAGGAAACAATATACATATATTTTGTTGCATCGTGGAGTTAATGTTTATCAATATATATACTGTAAACTACCATTAAACCAGGCGTGAGAGGGGCCACTAAGTTTAGTTGATTTGATTTTGTAAGCAACTTGACCAAAAGATACAGCACATGGTCAGGGAAAAAGAAAATAATTTTGTTATATGTCAGTGTGTTTGTTGTAAGTGTAGTTTATATATGTATATATTAGTAAATCTTTACCCTATAGTTAGCATATTTAGTTGTGTTTTTGTTAATAGATTTACACTGAGAATACAACAAACCTTGCACTACTTGACAATTTGAGTATTAGCAGCTGTGAGAATGTTTTCTAATTTTCAACAACAGATGAACCGGATTCGCTCACACTAATTTTAATAGATGTATTTCTCTTCTTCTATTTATTCTAAAATGATATAAATGAATGCCTTTGTTTTCTAACAAAGTAAGTGACTGTCCTGTATTCTCGACGTTCCAGTAATGCTTGTATGATGGGTGACTAACCCTGTCAGTGCTGTGACTAACAATCACTAGTTGGGTCATTTCAATATTATTCTGTTTCCACTAGATCCACTTATAATGTCAGTATGAGAAAGTGACCTTATATATCTTAAAATGGGTTGTAATAATATAAGATTGACACTAAAATCCCAGTTGATTTGTTATGTTAATGGTTGATTGTTATGTAAGTCACTTGATAATCAGCTGAAGGACAAGATCCTTGTTATGAGTCTGTGATGATAATGGCCTCAGTGGTGTGTACATCCATGGCTGGGTTCAGGTCCCATATTCACCTCACTATAGCTCTTGGTTTGTCTGCGACCTGTGAACATCCGGGTTAGAATATTGATCTTCAGTAACCCATGCTTGTCGACTAACGGGATCAGATGGTCAGGCTCACTGACTTGGTTGACACACGTCATCGGTTCCCAATCGCGCAGATCGATGCTCATGCTGTTGATCACTGGATTGTCTGGTCCAGACCGATTATTTACAGACCGCCATCGTATAGCTGGAATATTGCTGAGTGCGGCATAAAACTAAACTCGCTCGCCATCTCAGTATTTGCATCACAACAAGCTGACTTGCCTTCATCTCACATACTCACCGGGCCAGTGGGGTAGCCTAATGGTTAAAGCGTTGGTTCGTCACGCTGAAGACCCGGGTTCGAATCCCCACATGGGCACAATGTGTGAAGCCCATTTCTGGTGTCCCCCGCCGTGGTGTTGCTGGAATATTGCTAAAAGCGGCGTAAAACCAAACTCAGTCAGTCAGTCACATACTCACCACATCAGGGTGAAACTCAGACCTCAACTTTTTTATGGTCACATTGCTTGTTATACTAGTAATTATGTAACTAAATCCTTCAATGCTTCCCTTGCAACATTTATACTGTTAAGTGTTACCTGTAAATGTTCTGAAGCTGGTAAGATTACATCAAGTAGATCCAACAGTAATGAGAGTGGATGAGTGGCCATACAGAGTTGCCTCCCTTAGACCTACCAAAAACCTATGATCATGAGTTTGAATCCTGTTTATATTACTAGGTTTGTCAGCACCACACATGTATTGGTGGGTTTCTCAAAGTTGATGATGTCTGTCACCTACGTCACCTCCAACATAAAGCTTACATGCCATTATGTAACAAAATACTGTTCAAAGAGGCCAAACTCACTCAGAATACATTGAATAAAGAAATGCCTGCATATTTCTGATACACCATGTCTATCTGTTGATGTATCTGCAAGGTTTTGAAGAAAATATGTCTGTGTGTCATTGAAATTCTCCGATTATGGCTTGTGTAACATGATGCCTTGATGCCTGTTTCAGTAACGGGGATAGGTACACAGGCAACTGGGTGATGGACAAGAGGCAAGGTCAAGGACATCTCATCTGTCAAGATGGTACAGAGTATGAGGTAACTCTTGTTGTGGTAGGGCTAGCTATTGATAGAGATTGTACTAAACATTGATCGATTATCAATAAATATCGGAGAATGAACTTCATTTCACATTTCTTGTTCTCGTTAAAGAGAAGTTGGTCATGGTTCATATATATTTGTGTCAGGTGCATTGTAATACCCACCATGTTTCCAGCAGAGGAAGTCAGTAGTGATCATGAGAGGTCAATATTCAAGGTCTGTGTCAGTTACGTGACTGGACCAAGCACGGTCTGTGTCAGTTACGTGTAACTTTATCATTTCACCACATCATCTTGATTGACCAGTGAAATTAAAAGATTCTTAACAAGACCTGAGTTACCTGTGACAGGGACATCCAGAATTTTGAGTAAATGTGTCATAGTGATTTAAAGAATATATAGTGGTCTAATGGGGACCTTTAGGCTCACCTAAATGATTACCTACATATCTCAGACTGACCAATAAATCTAAGACTGACTACATGTCTGACAATGACCTATATGTCAAATTCTGCTGAAGTGGTCGTTGTAAGCACGAGTAGTAGAAATGTTTACCGCAGAAACGCACCCAAGGACAATTCCATTCCTCACTGTGTCGTTTTCTTGATCGAAACTGTCATGCTGTTGTATTATTTACATTTGATTGTGTTATATATATATATAACTACCATACATAGTAATTTTAGTAAAGATAAATTTCATGATGCACAATATTACTCGCAATCAGTTGAACAGGAACAACTACATACGGTTTCGGTTCGGGGTTGTGGAATATGGACTTTTCTGCCGTGTAGGGTACCGGGTACGTTTCTGTATTTTGACATTGTTTAGGGTACATTTCTGTATATAGAACATACCTGTATATACCTGGGAAATATACATTGTATAATACCTGTGCGGACAACGACCCCTTCAGCTATGATACTGACAACATGTTTGAGACTGACCTCTGTGAGGGAGGCTGATATTATATCTAAGCCACCTTGGTGTTGCAGGGTCAGTGGCTGAACGACATGTTCCATGGTGAGGGCAAGATGGTTCATGCATCCGGGATCATCTATGAAGGTCAGTGGGTCAATGGCTACCCAGTGGAGATGGCCACCAAGATGGTGATCGTTATGGAAACAGAATCACTGGAACTCACTCAAGGGCAGACATTCTCAGTCAAAGTTGAATGTCACAACGACCTTGGGGAGGTCATTGCAGGTGAGTGGCATTGATGTACTGTGAGAATCCAGAACAATATGTTATGTGGAGCACATATGTTGACCTGTTGCTGGTGTGATGCTAACCAAAGAGAACTGTGGCAGAAACCTGTGCCCAACACATATTGGCCCGATTGCTGAAATAACACGTAAGCTATCACCCTCCAACACAAAGTCACTATTTCACTCAACGTTTCATGCAAATACTTGATCCATCAAATCATGAAGCTACAGAAGATCCAAATGATGCAGTGATTACTAAGGCAACTGTTATTGTGTCAGTTTACCTTTGACAGCTTCAGTGTTTTCAGATGTCCCGTAGCCCGCGAAGCATAATGCGTTCACGTGCACAACACATTGTCTGAGAACAAAAACATCATCCATATACATAAACTGAACATTGATGCCAAACGCATATATTTATGGTGACATCTTAAAGTTCAATCCGTGAAGCAGATTATGTTTTCAAACAATCTGTGAACAATTATTCTGGCCCTTCAGTTTGGATACATTGTTTCCTCAGTGAGTTGCTTGTTCCTGTCATCTAAGGTTGGATGTTCCCATCCTGGCAGTTATGGGGATGATGTTATTCTGTAACCATGGATATTGGAAGGAGTATACTGTTCCCAAATATAATTGTTCTTTTACAGTGCAGGTCTGATCTTTGAGTGCTATGCCTCCAAGAGTCCTGTCTTGAATGTTATGGCAGAATACAGATTGCTGACATTCTCTAAATTTAAACTGATTTCAGATCAAGGGAGAGAACTCCTGGTATCGGCTGGCTTCAAGTACTACCCCACAAAGGAAGGCTCGGCACTGTTTGATATGATAGAGCAGGTTGAGGAGAAACCTATCGAAACACCTTTGTAAGTACACAGTTGAACCTTGACTTGTTTAACTTTAAGGGTGTGTTTTAGTAATGCTGTATATACAAACAGAATAATCTGCCGAGACATAAGCATGATTAGCACACACAGCTAACCCTCATCTATAAAGCACCACATGTTGCAGCGGCTACTCTATTGTGCCCTACCCCCTGACTGACCACATGAACACGGACGAGGAGAAGGAAGCGGAGGGGGAAAAGGAGGAGGCCGGTGAGATCAAGGTCACACCAGAACAAGAGGTTCCAGCCAAGACAGAAGACGGAGGTATGGGCAACAATCTGACCAGTTTAGGACTCCTCCACACTAAAGTGACATCAAACACGGGTAGAGTCGGCATGATTTCCCCACAGCATGCTTCTTTGATTGTCCCCAGGCATTGTCATTTCATGATAACTTAAACAATCCATTGCTAGCTAGTTGATGGTCATTTCCTGCTTTCCTGGTTATCACAAGGCTAAACGTGTTCTCTGAAGGCTAACCAGCTTATTTACATGCATGATGACAGATGTTAACTTTTGAAAGTTTCCTCAGCTGTATAGAGGATAAGAAGCAGGTTCTTGGCAGGTTCCCGCCTGTGATATGGCTGGAATATAATTATTACATGCACACGAGCTCTGTCATGAACTGTGTGCTGGGATTTATGCCACTTTCGCAATACTCCAGCAATATGATGACAGGGGACACAAAGACCAGAAATAGGCTTCACATCCTTTACCCATGTAAAGAATGGAACCTAACTGTTGGGTGTGACAGGGAACCATGACCACTAGGCTAACACTGTCTCTAAGTGAACCTACAGCATAATGTGCATGTGTTTGAGGATTATGTATTGCCTATCGTCAGATGAGGAACAGGAACAGGTGGAAGAAGGAGAAGAGAAGGGGGAGAAGGAGGCAGTTAAAGAGGAAGGGGAGAAGAGCAGAGTCATGTCGCCCACACAAGAAGCAGCACAGGATCTTGTGACAGGTATGCTTCAACCCTGTGTCTCACTGTGTCTCCCCTGTGTCTCCTGTTAGTGCTGGTCACTGGATAGGGTGGTAAAACCTCAGTGACTTGCTGTTACACGTCATTGTACCCTAATGGATGTTCCGAATGTCAAGCACTGGTTCGACTGGTCCAGACTGAATTGTTTACAGACCCATGTGTATGGGGTTATTGCAGGGTGCAGCATAAGCACTGTCATCAGTATTGGAGTTGAAGTAAGCGTGTCAACATCCCAAACATTTGATTTGTTTTTCGCACAAGTCTTGAATGTTTTACCCATAGTTTTCATTCAGTAATAAGGAATGAGAAGGGTAGAGATGTAGCATTTCACTACTCACCAACAAATATATGGTACTGATTGACAGCTCTGTGCATATTGATCATATTATTAGAACCAACCACAGAGGAGAGTGCACCTCCACAGAGAGAAACCACGCCCCTTCCTCCCCCTGTAGCCAGTCAGAGGACAGTGGATGGTGCAAGTGAGTGGAGCTGTCTCCAGCTGGCCCCGCCCCCTCCAATGTACCGCCCATTTCTAGCCATGGAGGAGGAGGTAGCAATGAAGAAAACCAAGTCCAAGAAGCTGGGCCAGTCAAAGGACAAGAGCCTGGAAAAGCAAGGTGGGCAACCTTTAACACTCTGTTGCAGCATCTGTCGAAACAATCCCTGGCATATTATTATAGTGTCTACTGGCAAACAAGGATAAGTTGTGCACCGGCCTGACAAATGACCTGTATTAGCATGTATGAGTGCCGCCCACTGGCTTGCCATTGTTAGCGAAGAGGCCCCAGGTTGTCCACAATCAAGTGTAGTGCGATGGTGAAGCAAGGCGCAAGGCTTGTGCAGCTATGTGCGGAATCAATTTTCATCGTTATGCAATGCACGTGCACTAGCCTACATCTGCTCTACCTTTCACAAACCAAATGGGTTTGCTCATTGCCATGCACTGCCTACTTCTCGTAAAGGTGTTCTCTGTGCTGGTCCAACTTATCCTTGTTTGCCAGTAGTACAGATGTTTCTTGTGGTATGCATTATTATTCTAGTATCATCATTATCTCCCTTTACTCTCTTCTTCCACAGTCATTCCATGGACAAGATGGTGTCTTTGATGGCAGTTTATTGACAGAGTTGTTTTATGGCACAAGAGCAAACAAATATATTTTAGTCAACTTATTGACCTACAGGAGATATGGCTGTGTAATGTTAAATGATTGTTTCTTTGAAGGGCTAGTTTCTGTTTTTAGTTTAAACATGTTTTATTCACAGAGTGAAAAGGATCGAGGACAAGTTATTACAACTTATAAAATCCCTCTCCATAGTTCACACACATTGTGTTATACTTAGTTGAGTTCAATACGTTCAACTGTCACTGAGGCATAAACATAAACCTCACAATAATGGATGGGAAGTATTTGATGGTCGTTGTGCCGGGGCATACACACAAACTGATCAGTAGACTGACAGTCGTCTGACAGGTTATCAGAAGTGGTCACTGATCACTGTGTTGCACAGTTTACGTCATCTTCCCATAAAGCTCGGATGACAGGTTACTTAGATATTAGTGGGCAATCACAACCTTATTTTGCAGAGACATTTTGTATCTGATTCTCATATTTCAGATGGTAAACATTCCAGAAAAGAAATTAAGGAGAAAACAAGCACAGAAAGTAACCTGGATGAGAAATTTGCTCGACAAGGTATTGATGTTACAGTTTTATGTGGATATGAAACCATGTTGTTTTGATACTCAGTAATTTGTGTATGATCCTACTCTGGCATTTGTAAAACAAACACATCTGGTGTCTTCAAAACTCACCCTGTGGATCTGATTTATTGTAATCAATTATTCTGATAATTCATCTTGGTTCTCAAGAAATGATGTTGAAGAACATATTTCCTGAATTTGAACCTGTTCTTTATATATTCTAAATAAGTGAGTGAATATGGTTGTTCTTTATATATTCAGCAAATAAAACAGGGGACACCAGAAATGGGCTTCACACTTTGTACCCATGTGGGGAATCGAACCGGGTCAGTGACAAATTTAATTTGCTCATGTGCCCTATCTAAATTGTTTGTGTTTCGGACCTCTCGAATCCATTTGTCATGTGTGGTATTGTTGTTTGTGTTGACCTCATGCATCAAACTGGAGTAGTCATATTGTTCTGAACTCACTTCATGAGGCCAAGAGATGAAACTAAAGTTCAAAATTACATAGATGAGTCATATACAATGTATTTTAAAACACATCCCAGCATAGGCTACAATTTCCATGAAGTATCATAGACCTTATATGATATGGTGTGGAATGCCAAAGACTGAAAATTCCTGTAGTTGATGACCAGGTCTGATGGTAAAGAGGCCAAGATAAGTGGAACTATGGTACAGTTGAACAATATCTGGGGTGATCTGTCCATGTAGTTGTATTTAATGATTTCACATGTACATTCTAGTTTGTTTAGTGTGTATTTCTGTTTTAATGGTTTCTCCAGGGGAGTACGTGATCATGGTACAAGATGTCACCAACCCAGCATTTCTCCGAGGACCACTCCCTCCAGCATTCATGCTCGTCAAACTCCAGAAACCTAAACTAAAGAAAAAAGACTCCAAACCAAAGTAGGTCACCTTGTCTTTGTTTCAAACTGGAGCACCTTAACAACCTGTGACTTCTGACCCGACCCAGTTGACTGACCTTCACCTACCCGATCTCAGTGACCTTCACCTTTGCTGCAGTGGAACGGATTAACCATGCACAAACATTTCATTTGCGCACAGTGTTCATTTGCATGAGGAGCACTTTGAATTGTGGGATTATTAATTGCACTGTTTGAAGGAGAATGTTAAGAATGATCATCAGTGAACATTTGAGTGTTTCCATTGGTCTAGAAGACAAATTTAATTACTTGTTTTACAGTCTATTTAATGTACAAATATACCGATCTAAATGTCTTATATACCGATCTAAATGTTATCTTCCCTCACTTCCTCCTAAACTTTTGTAAGATTATCTTGATGTGTCACAGTGTGTTTTAATCTCTGACCATGTAGTGGATATGTCACCAACTCCATGTAAATAGCTTCACCTTGGAACTTCAGAAGCAAATAAGCAACTGATAACCCTGAGGTTGTGGACTGACAATATCTGTGATATGTAGACGATGAGGATGATAGTTTCATGTCAGATTGAATAACATCATCCCATACCTACTGCAGTTGCTTGACATATGGTCGAACTTCCAGCCGATCATAAGCAGGAAATTAAAAAAGATAGACGTACCGTATGTTACAGTTGATAAGCCGATCTCATTGATAAGCCAAGGTCCTAACTTTCCCCTTAGAATGGTATGTTCCGTAGATAAGCCAACCCATGAACCTTCACTCATCTTTTCGTTGTGATAATTCATCAGAAATAGTGTGTCAAGAAATCCATATTGAATTACACAAGTTAATCATGTTGTTACACCATCTCCCTTTCTACAGACTGCATTTTTGGGGCCTCAAAATTTGGCTTATCTACGGTAATATACAATAATTAAATGAGACAGGTCAGGTCAGTGATGAAGATTGTACAGTGTTCCCAGTACTGTTACATGAGGCAGTGTTGTACAGCTGTGATACACCTGCTGTACAGCTATTGTTACTGTACTGGAGACGTACAGGTGAGACGTGCGTTGTTTGTGACTGTAAGATTGTTTGTGACTGTAAGATTGTTTGTGACTGTAAGATTGTTTGTGACTGTAAGATTGTTTGACGAGGTTACCAAGAACAAGCAGCCATCAATAGCCAGTGACTGTCAAAACTTGATGAACTTGTGTAAATGTACCGACCACACGCAGAACTTGATCAGAAGCACAGCAACCAGCACTCATTTGTGTGTAGACATTATAATAATAATAATGATAATAATGAGAATATTTATAACGTACCTTTTCCAGGCTAAATATCCTGCTCAAAGCGCACAATCTGATCATTATTACCCCGGATAACCCAAGCTGCCTGTTAGGCGCTAGAAGGTTAATACTAGTAGTCTCAAGACTTATTTCACCGGGTACCCATTTCTTCCCTCCATGTGCTGGGAACCTGACATGACAGTATACCATTATATGTCCAGCTGGTGATGTGTATCACTTTATAAATGTGAAAATGGACACTAGGATTTTTTGATTTCGTGCAATGGCAGACTATGGTATACTGCTTAACATATGTAACTTTGGCCAGTTGAGCTTAAACTGTGATAAAAAGTGTCTGTGCTTCTATTCTATATGCATTTGTCAAACAGAACTCAACAAATACAAGAGGTTCCTATATGCATTTGTCAAACAGATCTCAACTTATACAAGAGGTTCCTATATGATGTTCCTGTGATAGTTGAAGATTGCCAGTCCAACCAATATTCTGTGATATATATGGTTTTGCATGATACTTACTTTTACAGTGGAATAAAGTCTATATTTTTTGTAAGTGTGTTTGCCGTTATAGATGATAGCATGTTTAGTCACTATGTAGCAGATATATCGTTCTGTATTATATACCTAGGCTACAGGTTGTGTTGTTGTATGTGTCTCACAATGAACCTTATTTCTGTTCCGTACATGGTGATTTGCCCCTCTACAGCCCACCTACAGCTGTGGTACCTGGTGAAGGGGTGGCCCCTCCCAACAACCCACCTACAGCTGTGGTACCTGTTGAAGGGGTGGTCCCTCTCAACAACCCACCTACAGCTATGGTACCTGGTGAAGGGGTGGTCCCTCCCAACAACCCACCTACAGCTATGGTACCTGGTGAAGGGGTGGTCCCTCTCAACAACCCACCTACAGCTGTGGTACCTGGTGAAGGGGTGGTCCCTCCCAACAACCCACCTACAGCTATGGTACCTGGTGAAGGGGTGGTCCCTCTCAACAACCCACCTACAGCTGTGGTACCTGGTGAAGGGGTGGCCCCTCTCAACAACCCACCTACAGCTGTTGTACCTGGTGAAGGGGTGGTCCCTCCCAACAACCCACCTACAGCTGTGGTACCTGGTGAAGGGGTGGTCCCTCTCAACAACCCACCTACAGCTACGGTACCTGGTGAAGGGGTGGTCCCTCCAAACAACCCACCTACAGCTGTGGTACCTAGTGAAGGAGTGGTCCCTCCCAACAACCCACCTACAGCTATGGTACCTGGTGAAGGGGTGGTCCCTCCCAATAACCCACCTACAGCTGTGGTACCTGGTGAAGGGGTGGTTCCTCTGAACAGCCCACCTACAGCTGTGGTACCTGGTGAAAGGGTGGTCCCTCCCAAGAACCCACCTACAGCTATGGTACCTGGTGAAAGGGTGGTCCCTCCTAACAGCCTACCTACAGCTGTGGTACCTGGTGAAGGGGTGGTCCCTCTACAGCCCACCTATAGTTGTGGTACCTAGTGAATGGGGTGGTCCCTCTGAACAGCCCACCTACAGCTATGGTACCTGGTGAAGGGGTGGTCCCTCCCAACAACCCACCTACAGCTATGGTACCTGGTGAAGGAGTGGTCCCGCCCAACAGCCCAACTACAGCTGTTGTACCTGGTGAAGGGGTGGTCCCTCCCAACAATCCACCTACCGCTGTGGTACCTGGTGAAAGGGTGGTCCCTCTACAGCCCACCTACAGCTGTGGTACCTGGTGAAGGGGTGGTCCCTCCAAACAACCCACCTACACCTGTGGTACCTGGTGAAGGGGTGGTCCCTCCCAACAACCCACCTACAGCTGTTGTACCTGGTGAAGGGGTGGTCCCTCCCAACAATCCACCTACAGCTGTGGTACCTGGTGAAAGGGTGGTCCCTCCCAACAACCCACCTACAGCTGTGGTACCTGGTGAAGGAGTGGTCCCGCCCAACAGCCCAACTACAGCTGTTGTACCTGGTGAAAGGGTGGTCCCTCCCAACAACCCACCTACAGCTGTGGTACCTGGTGAAGGGGTGGTCCCTCCCAACAGCCCAACTACAGCTGTGGTACCTGGTGAAGGGATGGTCCCTCCCAACAATCCACCTACAGCTGTGGTACCTGGTGAAGGGGTGGTCCCTCCCAACAACCCAACAACAGCTGTTGTACCTGGTGAAGGGGTGGTCCCTCCCAACAACCCACCTACAGCTGTGGTACCTGGTGAAGGGGTGGTCGCTCTGAACAGCCCACCTACAGCTATGGTACCCGGTGAAGGGGTGGTCCCTCCCAACAACCCACCTACAGCTATGGTACCTGGTGAAGGAGTGGTCCCTCCAAACAACCTACCTACAGCTGTGGTGCCTGGTGAAAGGGTGGTCCCTCCAAACAACCCACCTACAGCTGTGGTACCTGGTGAAAGAGTGGTCCCTCCCAACAAACCACCTACAGCTGTGGTACCTGGTGAAGGGGTGGTCCCTCCCAACAACCCACCTGCAGCTGTGGTACCTGGTGAAGGGGTGGTCCCTCCAAACAACCTACCTACAGCTGTGGTACCCGGTGAAAGGGTGGTCCCTCCAAACAACCTACCTACAGCTGTGGTACCTGGTGAAAGGGTGGTCCCTCCAAACAACCTACCTACAGCTGTGGTACCTGGTGAAAGGGTGCATTTTGATTATGGATTAGAGTCCTTGTTTGCTCCAGCTATGTTTCTAGGGTTGTCAGCTCCATACCAGTGTCTCCATGTGTGCGTGCGTGCATGTCACCAGTTGTAAGCATAGGAGACCAATGTCACTTGGATGTCACACAATGGTGAACATCACAACCGTTACCAATAACAACTAAATAAGAATGTTCTAAATCCCAGCAGCCACTAACAGCAGATAACAAGAATCCTGCACCATTAACCTGTGTACCACAAGTGTTGCAGCACCAACTAATATGTACCTTTCTTCCAAGCTCACCGGAAAAGGAACCAGAAAGGTAGATGAAGTTGAGAACTCTGTGAGTAAATGGTGTAAATGATACCGTGAGGTGCAGAGTTTCACCACCATCTCGGACATGAGTGTCTTCATCAATCAAAGGTTTCATTGGTACAGTGAGGGTAAGACCACACAGGAATCATCCAGCTTGATCTATTCATGCATCCTGTCATTGTGTTGCCATAACTACCCTTCCTGCAACTTGGAGCAGAGTTCAGAATTATGGAGCCAGTCATGGTTGTTATGTTAAACAGAATATGGGTGCCTATGATACAAATACAAGAGTCTGACCCTCTCCCTTCAGTGGGAGTATGTGAGGTCCAGGAGACTATGGCAGTACAGTGTACTGTGCAGAACTTCAGCCCTTGAGTACTCCAGAAACCTTTCATTGTGGGTCAAATCTCACTAAGCCCAATTTTTTTAGGTGAAATCCTCGGTCAACGCTATATGAAAGTAGTCAAAGTCTCATATCTGCATCACTTTGGGCTCTAATCTAACATCAAGCAGACACACCCCTTGAATGATGTTATAACCGACTCCAACACTGGCTCACTCACTCACTCACTCACTCTCTCCTTGTTTTGTTACAGGTGGGACACACAGAAACACATTGCCAACATGCAGCGGTATTCGTCCTTGGGTCACTGACATCTCCCCGACCCCTCAGACCAGTGCGACCTTCACGAGGAGCCTCTACATACGTCATTCAGTACTGTAGCTCACCTGATGGTCAAGTGATAAACAACTCACTCACTCACTTTATTGTATTTATATATACATATATTTTATTGTATATATTTCATCACTTTCATTTAGAATGACAAATTTTAAACAAGGATAAAAATATTTAAAATATACATATGGAAGGGTTGGGCATTTTCTCCTTTTCTTAAGGAACATCACAAGGATGAACTTTCAACGTAGGTCAAAGAAATATATTTTATCATTTTTGGTAATTGTATATAATGTAATGTTAACATGGGAATGTTAACTGTTGAAGCTGAAACTAATTGCTGATAATGATTGCCCATTGGCCTCGATAACACTTGATATACCAAAGTTATTTATATGGTCTTGATTGTATGGGGTAGTTAAGTTTATGCAATGTATTTATATATTTACTGATGTCCCTGGCAGAGTCCAGATCCTGGGAGTACCCTTGTGACCATTTTTCTAAGGGATTTCCATGTAGCTGGATGAACTATAGCAGATCAATTCCTATAGTCATCGTAATGTGTGTGAATGGTATTGAGTGATGGGGATAGTGACCTTGATGACAGCTTGTCTTCATTTAGCAATTTGGTAAAGGTTCTATGCAAGTATCATGAATATATTTTCTTTACTCATCTTGAAGACATCGGAAACATAGCATACTTTAAATTTGTACACAAAGCCAAGTTTTACAGATTTTTGTATCAACAATTTTGAGTTCTTCTGAATGAGTAAACTACATTGTTACAAATCAAGGTGAGCTTAGTTATTGTAACACACAAATCTTTGTTGCTTCAACCCGTGACCAGTTCCGTGTTATTGTAACACACAAATCTTTGTTGCTTCAACCCAGGACCAGTTCCATGTTATTGTAACACACTAATCCTTGTTCCTTCAACCCAGGACCAGTTCCATCTTCGGACAGAAGATATACTCATGGAAACAAATAAGGGAACACATGAAATGTAGTGTTCCTTAAAAATTCCACAGACAGTGCAACAAATCATGCAGAGACACCTGGAATACGAGTGAGTGAGTGAGTGAGTTTAGTTTTATGCCGCACTCAGCAATATTCCAGCAATATGGCAGCAGTCTGTAAATAATCGAGTCTGGACCAGACAATCCAGTATCAACAGCATAAGCAATGATCTGCGCCATTGGGAACCGATGACATGTGTCAACCAAGTCAGCGAGCCTGACCACTTGATCCTATTAGTCTCGTCTTACGACAAGCATGGGTTACTGAAGATCAATATTCTAACCCGGATCTTCACGGGTACCTGGAATAAGAACACTTTTTCCTCATCTCACCATCACACTGACGACCCTGTTGTTTAGATTACTTTACAGGATGAGACAAAACTTTAGAAACTGTAGAGTGTGTAATGGGTCCAGTGGCCCAGACATTTCAAGTGCTACTAGTTATAGATACTAGAAGAAGTACATATGGGTGTGTAGTTTGTATAATACACAGATATTGTTGTCATTTGTAGGACTATTGAAAATAAGGATACATGTATAGTATGACCAGAAATTGAGAATTTTAGGAATATGTTTAATTGGATTTCTAGTATAAACAACCTTGACCAGCTATCAAGTGCTTGGTTTCATTCAAGAGAGACAACTCTGTTAATCCTTTTTTCATTAGTTTGTGAAGAGTTATCCCCCTTTGTTTACTTGCTAGCAGACGACATTTTCAGTGATCCTCAGTATGGATGATTTAGAGAAGAGGAAGTTGATTTTAGAGTATTAAAACAAGGTCATCAGATCAGCTAAAGTGATTCAAGTAGAACAGGCATCCCTTTGTCCACTGTTTATCGTGTTTTGAAAAATATTGCAAATGGATATGGCATTGAGCACCAGGGAGGCGCAGGTAGGCCCAGAAAATTGACTGTCGGTGACAGGGGGCGGCTTGGCATTCTTGTTTCTAAACACAAATGAAGGAGTTTAGAAAACTTAAGGCTGGATATGATTGATAGAGGATCTGTGGTTGTCTGTAAGGAGACAATTAGAACTGAGCTGCATGCAATGGGTTGAGTGAAAATAATATAAAAAAATTACAATCTTAAATTCTCAATAATTTCTGGCTGTTTTTGAGTGTGTTTCTGCACTGTAATATCTGATATTATTGCCTACATTCAGTGGAGGAAAGCATACTTCATATGTACATGATTATGAGAACGAAGTCCTTTCCTGCAGTTTTGGAACACCCAACGATGTTTCGCGGAAGTCCCAGAGTTTTATATATTTCTTCCATGTGGACATGAATGGGGACCCAAGGATGAGATTCGATTTCTCATCCAAAATCAGTTTTCGGACATTTTCAGTTTGTAAAGTAATAACCACTGTTCCGAGTATCAATGTACAGCTGACTTGCTTCAACAGCGTGATATATTAATGACGTCATCTAATTGTGATGTCATCCAATTGTAATGTCATGGTAACCGGTATCTCTTGTGTTATGTCCATGTTCAAAATAGTGTATATAGATATTGCAGGTCCATCTGATCACACTTAGTTGATCTGAACTGATCATTCACTGTGATCTCAACAACTTGTGAACAAGAAAAACAAACACCAGTTTTATGACAGAATATTTTTACCAAAACAAAGTCTTTACAACTTTGGCTTTCTAACCAAGTCTTCAGCAAAAAATTAAATAAGACTAAACTGAAAATAATTATTATAACATTGATCACATGAGGCCCATGGTGTTCCTCCTGACCTACTGCTGCGTTGTCAACATCGACGACAACGTCCACAGGTAGCTTGGCGTAAAATGCATAGGAATCAGTAGTACAGCCTTACACACTGTCACGCTCAGCTGTGAGGACATGATTAAAGGAAAACTTACTCCTCTCAGAAAACCAATGTTCCCTGACAAGAGGATTGAATAATGGCTGAAAATGGAAGCATATATTTGGTATGATCCCTGTTTATTTCTCTCTGATATCCAAACATTATTTGGTGAAGTCTTGAAAATGACGAGATACAAACACGTTGTGACATTTTGAGTACATATGATAGCAGAAACCCAAACCATTTCCATGGAATATTTCTTCTTGATATTCGCTTAATCCAATTTTCACAAGTTGAAAACGACAGTATGTAAGAACCAACCACCTAACAAGCTGTATTCATATTAAAGCACTTCTTTACACAGATTCTCACAATTTGTAGGAGATATCTTCACAGGGCACAGATCTAGCGGGGAAATATACACATTTATTCACTTGTCATGCAAATATAAAACCCAAAGAGCAGTATCACCAGAAGAGCATTAATGCTTTCAATTTTAGTCTGCTATGGGATGCAAAAAAACTTAACATGCACATTAAATAGAAAACAATAATTTGAGTTTATTGCTGTTTTGATTCTTTTCCTAATTAAGTAATTTGATTTAACTGCTGTATGACAGATGAGCATCAGTTTCACAACATGACAACATTTCTATGTAATTACTGAGTGACTATCCCATACATGTTGTATAATCCCTGGCTGAAGTGCACTACACATGTTGGCTGTAGGTGTACTGCCAACAACCCATATCGGTGTGTATACCATGAGGCAACATCTAGAATGATGATAGGGAGCATAAATTAAGATGACACATTCACAATGAACGGTTACATGCAATCGCCAGCCTCAGCCATGGGTCTACTGCAATATCTTGGTGGCTAGGAACGTGTAGCTTGTGATTACCAACTGGTGTCATGTGATTGCCACCTGGTATCACATGATTACCAACTGATAATGTGGTACTGATGTAGTTAATACAGTGACCTCACTGGACCAACATGTATGTACAGGTAGACTTATTTCTTGACCAGGCCAGATCCATATTTCAATATTTGTTTCCACAACTACTTTTAGATACAATAACCCAAACTGCATATTATATTTCATCTTGTTTGGACGTTCACTAACATTCATGTTTTGACCTCCCACATCTTTATATTGGCAAACAATATAAAATTTGTTTAACATTCCATAAACTTTGTAATAAACAGTATCATAAGGCCACAGTTCACATTCTAAGTACCGTATCTCCATATACCGGTATGTATTTAACACTCAGTAGTCCAGCCAGTGTTTAAATCTTGGGTCATTTAACCATACAATTAAAGCTTATTCTAAACACTCCCCTAGATGGTCTCAGATAGGTCTGCCACATGGGTTACTCATGCTTCAAGAAGACTGAACAGAGAATAAAGATCTCCGCCCTGCAGGAACACGGCAAACATTGTTAGTAGGAAGCTGGGTATTTTGGCTAAAAATGTCTTTGCATCACAAATCTTGACAGAAACAACATCGACATGTCTGCCGAGAAGACAGTTGTTACCGCAGACATATTACCTTCATATACAATACATCGTTAAAACAAACAAATTTCATTTGTCTGTCAAATCACAAACAAGGAAGACTTCGTTAATATAATGATTCTCCAAATACAAGATGGTTGCTAGGCGATGTAGCAGAGAGACACTTAACAGGAAGTTGATGGAATCGTGTACTGAGGCATGGATGAAAGGGAATAAATAATCTTCAATATTGCACTTTCGTTTCCTTTACATTGATAGACAGCTCCATGAACACATACAAGGTACACCACACACACCTACTTTAGACCACAATAAATTAAACATTCCAAACTACGTACAGACTGTGATGTTTCATAGCCTTTCACTTGTGAAATCAAAGATGGGTTTAATTCCACACAAGCACAGCCAGCCCTGTGGAATTATGCTGGAGAATATAGGTCTCCAGCAACATATACTTGTCTGAACAGGCAACTAAACTGATCGGTTGCTTTGGTTGACTGCGTGTCACAGATCATGACATCCGTCACTGGATTAACTGGTCTACAGACCACTGTCACAGACCACCGTCACAGACCTTGAATATTGCAGTATAAAAAACAAAACAATAAAACCCACAGGAGGGTGAATGTCATTGATTGCATACTCAGCAATATTAAAAGCATGTGAAAGTAACCGGGACTTGACAATCCAGTGATTGACAGCATGAGTAACCATCCATGATGATCAGGAGAAATGACACAACCAAGTAAGAAATGGTGACCACCTGATCCTCCTTAGACAGTTGTTGTGACACGCAGGAGACAATCTAATCCCAACATGGGGAAGACCAACACCATGTGCAGCTGGCCGTCATCACAGACGCCACTGATCTCAAAATACAACCATCAAGTTGATCCGAGAGATGAATGTACCTGTAGAAGCTGTTTTTAATTCATTATGGTCTGTATGTTATAAATTAATCTATCCAATTTGTCACTTCTTTCCCTGCAATAAATAAGTCCTACCAATATCATCAAGACAAGCACCTGCTATACATATCGAAACAATATTACAGCCTATGGTTGAGCAATGGCCAACAGTGTAACAATAAGCCTTGAAACTGTGCCCTGCAATGTTCAGACATCTGTGGCCAGCCTTCGCGCAGCTATCCACCAGGATCCTGGACCGCCACCGAGCATCTCACACATATATAACTCAAATAGAACAGGCAGGTTGAACAAAGCATTGGGCGTGGACAGTTCCACACACTGACTTCCGACCAGGTTATCAAGGTGGATCAGAACAGCACTATGATAGTGTATCACCAGGGGATTCGGATCACGTGATCAAAGCACTATGATAGTGTATCACCAGGGGATTCGGATCACGTGATCACAGCACTATGACTATCATAACTCATCTATATCTTCACACAGACTTGTAGCAGTCATAGCACTGCGAGTAACTAACATCAATACTTTAACAGTATGACAGTATCAATACTTAACTTCTGACAGTAGTAGCTACAATCAGTTTGAGAAAGGCATTGACATTCCGTGTGTCAAACCTCACGTCACCCAGTACAGACAACATCAGTCTTCAACAACCAGTTTACATAGTCTTTTCATCATGCGACTGAACAACAGATTCTATTTAACATTACTATTAAACTGATGTCCAACAATGCTATTTGATGTTTAACATTACTATTAAACTGATGTCCAACAATGCTATTTGATGTTCAACATTACTATTAAACTGATGTCCAACAATGCTATTTGATGTTTAACATTACTATTAAACTGATGTCCAACAATGCTATTTGATGTTCAACATTACTATTAAACTGATGTCCAACAATGCTATTTGATGTTTAACATTACTATTAAACTGATGTCCAACAATGCTATTTGATGTTCAACATTACTATTAAACTGATGTCCAACAATGCTATTTGATGTTTAACATTACTATTAAACTGATGTCCAACAATGCTATTTGATGTTCAACATTACTATTAAACTGATGTCCAACAATGCTATTTGATGTTCAACATTACTATTAAACTGATGTCCAACAATGCTATTTGATGTTTAACATTACTACTCATCTAAAATTCAACATTACTTTTCATTTGAATGTAAAGGTTACTATTCATATAATGTTCAACATTACTCTACCTCGGATGTTCAACATTATTACTCATGTAACAAACAACTTGTTCTCTGGTTAAAGGACATATACAGAGCAGCACTAGCAGGCAACAAGTCATCACATTTCTGGCACTAGGAGAAGCTGTACAAACCAATCAAGAACTCATCCAACCAATCGCATTGACACATTATGCGAAAAAGAGAAAATGCATGTCAGGTGAACAATCATGAATTTCAGAACCACACTGTATGTGACATAGTGACTTGGTCCTGCTGCTGTACAGGAGAGGGTGGACAGGTGAGGGTGGAGAGGTCTGGGGAGGACGGTTGAGGGTGGACAGGTGATGGAGGACAGGTGAGGGGTGGACAGGTGTGGGATGGACAGGTGATGGTAGACAGGTGGATAGGTGATGGGTGGGCATGTAAAGGGTGGACAGGTGATGGTAGAGAGGTGAGCATGTAAAGGGTGGGCAGGTGGGGATGGACAGGTAAAGGGTGGACAGGTGATGGTAGACAGGTGGACAGGTGGGGGTGGACAGGTGATGGTAGACAGGTGGGGGTGGACAGGTAAAGGGTTGACAGGTGGTCAGGCAACACCAACCTCCCCTCTGACTGTGGTCATCATGATAGACACAACCACACCATGTTGGCCCTTGGACATAAAAATAATATATGTATTTGTTCCAAAAGCTTCATAAAAATATAATTTCAAAAAAAGTTTCCAATTGTTTTGAAAAACTATGTTGTGTTACAAACTGTCATTTGGCTCCATTCTTCAGAGACAATAATTGTAGATAGAGCCCAAAAAATATATATTTTGTCTTCCATCCCCTCCAGAATACTAAATGGTTGATCCCATACTAAAATAACATTAGCTGACGATCCTGTCATCTACACAGGTGGTTATGTGTTATTGACAGCTGTTGTTACATCAACAGGCCCAAGTCACAATATGTCATACACAGCATTCTCTCAACTGAGGCCACATCTCAAGCTACATAAACAATATATATTTAAATTAATCTTAATAAATAATTTCTTCTTAATGTACTTTCATTCACAAAACATATGACACATCACTTTTCGATACAAAGGAAAGAGATTCTTGGGATATGAAAATGGATGAAATTGATGAAAGTTTGGGTTGAAATGAAAGACGTGGCTATTGGAAATCTACAAGCAAAATTTCCATCAAAATAACCCTAGAACTGAAGAGCAAGCACAACCACCTGAAATTAGAAAACAAAAGTAACATCACATTCACTCTGGAGACAGCGTGGCTCATCTATACATATACGCTGAAATATGCTGTTTCAGGGAAACAAAGTTTTGAGACAGTCTGCAAACACAACTGTTGATAAAAACCAATGTGAGTCCCCACCATGACACTAGCTCAGCCTCACGAGGTTAACCACACTCCTTGTCCATACAGGGAATCCTGTGGCATCAGAATCAACTATGTTGTCCAAAAATGCACTCAGTCAGCTGCAGAGTGATCTCCCTTTATCACCTGAGAGTGACCTCCCTTTATCACCTGATACATCAACCTCTCAGTTCTCTCAACACCAAATTGTTCAATGGCGATCACACGATATAAGAAAATAAATATATATATATTTGCACTAAAACTATGTCCATGACAAACTATAAGTCAGTGATGTGATATTTGGTTCCCGGCTTCGGTGGGCCATGAGTCAGTTTGTTCGGGGAAGCATAGGGAAGGGGGCCACCATATTGGTAATCAAAATTATGGCCTCCATTTTGCATGTCCTCCCCTCCCCTATTCCTGTCAGAGTTTATGATGGGTATTGACCCTGTGTTGATAGCAACAGCAGCATAGCTGGATGGGGCAACTGTGATGATCCCCCCACCTCCGTGCCGATCCGACTTTTTCTGGATGTTGAACGTGAGTGGGTCTATGTAAAACTGATCATCAGGGAACTGGATGTTGAGCCTTGCTATGTGACAGCCTCGGCAAAACAAGTGCTCCTCAAGTGGATAACATCGCTTGTCAGGTTCGTCCGTCAGCTGGATACCACAGTCCTGAAACATTTAACAAAATGTATAAATAGAGAAGCAAAATAATCATCAAACTTTCCAATTCCAATGCAAAATTAAAACAATAAACCAAAGGCTGAGTGTAAAATATATTTATAAATTACACTGTCTGCTTTCGACACATAATAAAGCAAGATAGCTGGTGTGGTGCTAAAATATAATCACTCCCAACATTATCTTTGATCAATTTCATAAAAAGAATGTATTTCAGTATTTTTAATGAAAAGAAATAACAAAATGCTTCACAGGGAGTAAATAGGTGATTATATAGAAATATGCAATTATTTGCCTTTTTTCCACTTTGTACATAACATAATCTAGAATCTACACAAACAGCCATTCCCTTCACAGAACATTGCTAGGGAGATTCCAGGAGTTCTACGGCTAACTACCAAGGTGGGAAGTCTGTAACGGTCAGCAGTACAGACAGATGGCAGCACAGGCAAGTTAATCACAACACAGGAGCTGATTAGTGTTCACATACCGTGCATTCAGTCAGATGCAGGTGTGCTACCCCCACAACAGGTGTGCTACCCCCACAACAGGTCACAAGTTGACACAACTCAGGTGCCAACCAACCACACAGCATTGTTTGTAGCTACAATACTGACTCTCCTTAAACAATGTTTCAAAACTTATGCTGTTAAGAATTAGTAAGTTTGTCTGGCACTGCTTTGAAAAGTACTAAGTTATATCACGATCAGCATAATAAGGGTCGAGAACTCAAAGTTGACGAGTTGGAGACATCAATACTCTTCAGGTCTTTGAATGGTATTTAGAAGTGATACACATAAGGAAGAGAGTTTCTTATGGATGTCAACTTCTTTATTATGTGGGACACAACGTATATACTCCGAAACGTTGTGTTCCTCACAATATAAAAGTTGATATGGATGTCAAGCCAGAGTGACATGCTGAATCAAAGCGTGACTTCATGCATAACAACCCAATCTTGGCTCTAACCCCAAACCTCATGGCAACAGACAGCCTTTGTGCTAGTGAAGTGAATATACTTGTGTATCTGTGAGGAGTCTACTACATTCCATCCTGGTGTAAAACAGTTGAATAAATACAATACCACATACATATTAGGTAAAGTGGATATCTGTGTTTGGTTGTATAACCAGCATTCTGTAATAAACAGCAGTCGAAACAATTATTGAACAGCTTGACATTTCAGTGATAAGCGCTTAAAATGGATTCATATAACCTGTTGTTACATATTACTGATACAACCATATGTGAAATTTATACTTAACAAGAACTAAACATCAGATTTGGCTACCACTAGATTGGACTACACATCAGATGTTTTACACAGTGTTCCCATGTTCTGCATACAACGTCTATATTATACAATCTAACACAGCGACATGAGGTATGTTTCCAGGCAGAGTTCTCTCCCTTGGACTGTCTAACGGTGTAAACTATTTGTAGGAAAACTAATGAATACCCAACTGCCATGCTGTGAAAGTGACTATCTGAACCCATGCATAGTGTAACATATAATTTGTAAAGACGTATACTGAAACCTAATTGAAGAAAATATTCTCATTTCTCTTAAAAAAAATGACTAGTCAAGTGAGCTGATAGACTGGTGGGACATAATCAGAGCATTAATCAGCAATGGGGCTGTATCTACTACTGTCTTATACAATAGACTACAGCAGGGAATGGGTCTGTATCAACTGCTGTCTTATACAATGGACTACAGCAGGGAATGGGACTGTATCTACTGCTGTCTTATACAATGGACTACAGCAGGGAATGGGGCTGTATCTACTGCTGTCTTATACAATGGACTACAGCAGGGAATGGGGCTGTATCTACTGCTGTCTTATACAATGGACTACAGCAGGGAATGGGGCTGTATCTACTGCTGTGCTGTCTTACTACAATTATACAATGGACTACAGCAGGGAATGGGGCTGTATCAATACTGCTGGGAATGGGGCTGTATCTACTGCTGTCTTATACAATTATACAATGGACTACAGCAGGGAATGGGGCTGTATCTACTGCTGCTGTCTTACTGCTGTCAATGGACTACAGCAGGGAATACAATGGGGGCTGTATCTACTGCTGTCTTATACAATGGACTACAGCAGGGAATGGGGCTGTATCTACTGCTGTCTTCTTATACAATGGTCTTATACTACAGCAGCAGAGAATGGGGCTGTATCTACTGCTGTCTTATACAATGGCTACAGCAGGAATGGGGCTGTATCTACTGCTGTCTTATACAATGGACTACAGCAGAGAATGGGGCTGTATCTACTGCTGTCTTATACAATGGACTACAGCAGAGAATGGGGCTGTATCTACTGCTGTCTTATACAATGGACTACAGCAGAGAATGGGGCTGTATCTACTGCTGTCTTATACAATGGACTACAGCAGGGAATGGGGCTGTATCTACTGCTGTCTTATACAATGGACTACAGCAGAGAATGGGGCTGTATCTACTGCTGTCTTATACAATGGACTACAGGACTACAGCAGAGAATGGGGCTGTATGGACTGCTGTCTTATACAATGGACTACAGCAGGGAATGGGGATGTATCGACTGCTGTCTTATACAATGGACTACAGCAGAGAATGGGGCTGTATCTACTGCTGTCTTATACAATGGACTACAGCAGGGAATGGGGCTGTATCTACTGCTGTCTTATACAATGGACTACAGCAGGAATGGGGCTGTATCTACTGCTGTCTTATACAATGGACTACAGCAGAGAATGGGGCTGTATCTACTGCTGTCTTATACAATGGACTACAGCAGAGAATGGGGGTATCTACTGCTGTCTTATACAATGGACTACAGCAGAGAATGGGGGCTGTATCTACTGCTGTCTTATACAATGGACTACAGCAGGGAATGGGGCTGTATCTACTGCTGTCTTATACAATGGACTACAGCAGGGAATACAGCAGGGGGGCTGTATCTACTGCTGTCTTATACAATGGACTACAGCAGAGAATGGGGCTGTATCTACTGCTGTCTTATACAATGGACTACAGCAGAGAATGGGGCTGTATGGACTGCTGTCTTATACAATGGACTACAGCAGGGAATGGGGCTGTATCTACTGCTGTCTTATACAATGGACTACAGCAGGGAATGGGGCTGTATCTACTGCTGTCTTATACAATGGACTATAGAATGGGGCTGTAATGGACTGCTGTCTTATACAATGGATAATGGTATCTACAGCAATGGACTACAGCAGAATGGGGCTGTGGACTGGAATGGGGCTGTATCTACTGCTGTCTTATACAATGGACTACAGCAGGGAATGGGGCTGTATCTACTGCTGTCTTATACAATGGACTACAGCAGGGAATGGGGCTGTATCTACTGCTGTCTTATACAATGGACTACAGCAGAGAATGGGGCTGTATCTACTGCTGTCTTATACAATGGACTACAGCAGCAGAGAATGGGGGGGCTGTATCTACTGCTGTCTTATACAATGGACTACAGCAGGAATGGCTGTATCTACTGCTGTCTTATACAATGGACTACAGCAGGGGAATGGGGGGCTGTATCTACTGCTGTCTTATACAATGGACTACAGCAGGGAATGGGGCTGTATCTACTGCTGTCTTATACAATGGACTACAGCAGAGAATGGGGCTGTATCTACTGCTGTCTTATACAATGGACTACAGCAGAGAATGGGGCTGTATCTACTGCTGTCTTATACAATGGACTACAGCAGAGAATGGGGCTGTATCTACTGCTGTCTTATACAATGGACTACAGCAGGGAATAGGGCTGTATCTACTGCTGTCTTATACAATAGACTACAGCAGGGAATCATATATTTCTTTGTCATCTTAGTAGAGACATATTTGGTAATTGAAACTGAGGTACAAACAGTAATAAATTCAAGATAGAAAACCATATACCCAAAGTGAAATAGCAATTATAACACTGCGTAATAAGGGGATGGAGACATGTACTGGATATTTCTGAAATAAACTAGTCTGACCAGTTGATATGAAATGATTATAGCAAGCACCTCAGACATTATGAAAACGTGTAACCATTGAAAAATATACAAAAAAACTTTGTGTTTGAATAAATTGAACATGCTGATGAGTTGGCGGGGAAGTAGTATACGAGGAGGATACCTTACGTCCCTTGCTTCCCATCTATCTGTGAAAGCAGGAAACAAAGTCAACATAAAGGTCGCGACAGACTCACTACTTAACACTGAAGAAGCAAAACACTACATGACCTAAATAAACATTGCTAACAACAGAACAATCTGACATGGCAGATATAAAAAATATAATGAATGAGAAATGAGATGATTCAGACAAGCATGAACGATGGAGTATGCAGCCAGCATGCACTGAGACGTTGGCCGTTTCATGAGTATTGCTATCTTCGCATGGACCTCCAATGAACTTGCTATGCCGAACTGGTGTCAAATGTATGTCAAATCGGAACCCAGTGAGAAGGTTTTCTTGCCCAGTCAAAATGTCTGAACTTCATTCTGATCAGGTCAAGCCTGTTTTTTCACATTTTGCATCTTGTTTACAGTCCATGAGTGAAATGTGGATACTGTGTCCAGTCTAGGACATCACATCGCAGTGTTAACATGTTGTCAAATGCTGAATAAATGCAAGGAGAGAAACATTGATTGATTGACTGACTGGTGTTATAGCTTCACTCAGCAATATTCCAGCTACATGGCGGTGGTCTGTAAATAATCGAGTCTGGACCAGACAATCCACTGATCAACAGCATGAGCATCAATCTACAATTAATTGGGATACGATGACATGTGTCAACCAAGTCTGCGAGCCTGACCACGCAATCCTGTTAGTCACCTCTTACGACAAGCATGGGTTACTGAAGGTCAATTCTAACCCGGATCTTCACGGGTCAAAGAGGGAAATGCAAAATGACTTCATGAAATGAAAAACTAAAACAATCCTAGTTACTTCATTTCAGGAAACAGTTTTCTGTCATCATTCTGGGTAAGCGATGGTTCAATCTGTCTAAATGTTACTTCAATCAAGTCATAGAAGGTTGATCTTGGAAAGGAAACCTCAAAACACTTGCAATCTTCAGCACTACACACACTTAAAACCATCATCAGAATTGTTAATCTGCTATTCATTATTACCCATACAATCTCTACTGATGGGTAGCTGTTACATGGTTTACACATTAAATGGCTTCAAGATTAATCTGGCTTCAAGAACATTCTGGGTTCAAAGTCTTGAAAACAGAGACATGAATGGGAAGAATGCAAGCAGGTTCAGGAAGGAAGGAAATATGCAAGAAAAAAAAGGTATGCACACTGGCTAAATTAGCAATGAGTCTTCTACAAAACCAACTTGCACAAACTGGAACTACATCCAGCCTAAAATGGCTGCCTCGGTGGTAACAGCTGTAGACTACATGGTCAGTCATTCTCTGTGGTTAATTTCTAGTTAGCATCAAACTCTTGTTATGTTCAATGCAATAAGACCAATGCCAAAACACCAGAACCAGGTTCTATCAAAGCTAGGAGAAAGGGAACATCTACTGAAGCTAATATTAACCCTTATTTTGATTTATATTTGAGCGTACAGCTCAGCCGATTTTCTTTTGCCCTGAAAGAGAAGCAGATGCGTGAAGGCAAGCAACACAAACATATCCTCCGTCCACAATAACAGCTAACACTCATGTATTCTTACACTGAAGAGCTTCAGGATCCATATGCAATACACAGTTATCTCCCCTAGATTACTACCTTAACTGAAGTCTGATGAGTTAAAAATGTCCCTTTTTTCATCGAACAAGATAATTCATAAATGTGAAAAATGATGCAAAGGAAAATTTTAATGTCACTAAACACTTCAACATGAATAACATCAGATACTTCAAAACACCTGATAGCAAATATTTACTATATGGGTCTTCAATTTGTGTGCTGTAATTTATTACGTTCTTTGTTCTACATTCACACTTGTATGACAGGACCGACTCAATGACTACACAAACTTAGGGATTTACCTCTGCCATCATAACTCCAAAAATTACGTAAGCAAAACATTTTCCACCCCTAGAAAACAGCTCCTCTGGATCAACAGATAGCCTGATACAGGCTTTGGAAAACCTTACAGTTTTGAACAAAAAGGGTATAAAATACACATATTTCTGGAAGTAAGCCCAATGATTTAACTTGAATTAGATTTTTCAGAGTAACTGTGTCTCTGATATTGTAAACTCTACCCTAAACAAAGACAGCCATTAGTGGTGTACTTGTGAGGCATTAGAACATTCTCCTGACCTGAGGCAACATCCACACATCCACATGAAGTATCTGGAAAGTCATTGTCTATCTACTGCTACACAATGCCTGGTGCTACCATGGCTGATCAACAATGTCCCACCTCGTACTTGCATCCACTAGCTATACACTGACATCGATACACAGATACAATACTGAGGTGTTAGTGCGTGATGGATGCTTGAGATGTCTCTATACATTCCAAACATTCCTGAATCATTTCCAGCCATATCATTGTTAGAGAGTCGTAAGAGCAGCTTATCATGGAAAGATGAGCGTGAAGAGAACTTAAGCTGAATGTGATGATACTTTAAGCGTGAAGATGACCAAAACACAGAATTTCTGTTTTTGTATTGCAGAAATCAAAGAACCATTGTAAAAAATAAGAGAACTTCAAAACTAGCATAACAAAAAATGTATGACTTGATCTGGATGTAAAGTACAATTTTGTTTATTATATTCAATGTGTCTTTTGATTTCAGAAAATACAAGGTTCAATGAGAGTCAAAGTTTCCTTACAAACTTGAAGCATCTCATACCTACATAATTTGCTCATATATTGAGAAAAGGAGACATCTCAATATTCTGATGCGTTAGTCTGCAAGTTGACATGAAGATGGATGTAGCTATGACGATGCGTAATGATTGAAAAGGGAGATAACTCTTACCTCACAATGATAACAGTCGACATGGAAGTCCTTATCCATGGAGACGACCCGTACAGTCTCCTCTGTGCCCTGTTATAAAACAACCAGCAGATACGTCATATATACCACACACACAAATGGGGCACAACAAACAGAGATGGAATATCTTATGTTGATGTATTTTTAGCTAACATGGTGCTGCAAAGGCAGATGTACCTCCGGAACAAGACATGCTACCTCATCACATCTCTACAAACACAGCTTGGTCAGCATAGTTCTTCATGACATTCACTTGGGATCAAATTGATAATTACTAGTTGCAGATATATTGTTCATCCCAAAGAGCCTGTCAGTCAGTCAGTCTGCTGTGTAGCCCCTTCCTCTCAACCCTAGTGTAATGTTAAGTGAAGAAAGTCCCAATTTTCACAGTTTCAGGGTTTCCCTGCTGTTTTAGATGGAGTTACACGTTTGTGGCAAAGCTATAAAGTTTCACAGATGAAGCATGAGCATACCCCATTAAAGTCTTTTGGATTTGGGATGTCTGTAAATTTGAAATGATCTTTGTACACAGCTGATAACCTGATACCCTGTCCTGTTAGTACAGTAACTGCAACGTGTTCCCTATGACAGGTCAGAGACATCGCACAAGTCACTCCGTGTCTACAAGTCTACTCACATCAACTGGGGTGATAGCATGTCCGCACGCGGCACACTTGGGAGCGTACACTCTGAAACAATAGAAGAGAATCATCAGCAACACCAGAAATACTTTCAGTCGTAGTTTGTGTCGACAACTATCTTCTCCAGCAGAACATATATCCCTACATCACGCAAAGGATATGCTTGATATGGAAATAATAGTTTAAAAAACATTCAACACTATAGAATGAGAACAGGCAAATTTTTGTTTCTTTTAAAATTTGAAAGCAAAGGAAACTGAAATGCATTTGAATGACAGTATTTGTCTTGTTTCACAAATACTGAAAACTGCTGTGACCTGCCAGTAAGTACTTTGACAACAGGACAAAGAGAGGGACAATATTTCTAAATTTATATATTTTTGTAGAACTTTTCCAAAATCAGTCAGATTTAAAAAGTTTGAAACAACACAATACAAGAAGTAAATCAGCTGTGGAGGTTGAGACAAACCTGTGATAATCTGCCACACAATATATCTTGTTGTCAACGTCGATCGTGAAGGGAACGCCATCCAGACACTCGTTACAAATACAACATCGAAAACAACCCGGGTGATATGACTTCCCCATGGCCTGCAAGATCTGAAAGTCAAACCGAAAACATAGAAATGGGTGCCTGCCTTTAGAATACAGCACCACAAACTGTAAAAATACGTCATAATACCCTTTTATGTAATGTGGTGTTTCATCTCTACTAGCTATGTCATTGCATAAGCCCAACGATGTTGCGAGTTTCCAGTAGTTGTATACCGGCGGATGCACAATTTTTTGCAAGCACCAGTTTGAAATATTTTTCTTTTTTCACTAATACGTTCATATTTATTTGTATTACGGGGGGCTGAGGTGTTATGTTTTGTGCATTATTGTATTTTGTATTTTTTAGATTTAGCGAGAATGCGTTACACCGGTCTATATTATATATATTCGATTATTCGCAATTTTGGTCAATGTATATATTTTATATTTCGGTTTCTAAGTAACTATTAAGTCAAAATTATTTACCAATGTGAACTGACATTCATATATATTTTTTTCATTCAGTAATTTGCACCATTACATAGAAAAGTTTTTTATTAGTATTTTATTTTTCGAAGTGGTAATAATGCATTACACTGGACACGTCAGTCATGTTTGTGCCTGTTCGGTCAATGCATTTATTAGAATTATTTCAAGGGTTAGGTACGTTAGGGTTATGGTTAGGGCTGAGGGTTGAGGGTTTAGGGTTTAGGGTTTAGGGTTAGGGACCTAATCCAATATAGTTGGTCCAGTGTGTAATACCTGAGTACTATTTGTTGTTTTCCTTTTTGCATTTTAATACTTTTCTTTCACACAAAAACGGGAAACCGAAAACATCGAAAGTACACTATGAAATGGTTTAATGTAGAAATTTTGGGCTAATGGAAATTGGCCTGGAATTTGCACTCAAGCCTCTTTCACACGCAACATAAAGTTTGTTCAGTAATGATTTGAAGGCTAACTCACCCTCGTGCCGTCACTACACATGTCCATGTCTCCCTCGTTACTTAGTGTGATCCACATTATCCTTATAGTGTTCCCTACATCACTTTTCTGTCACAAAATCACCAATTTATATAAAAGCGCGTCATTCATGCATGCACCGTGAAATCTACGTCTGACGCCTGACGTCAACAACCCTTTTCAGTTTGAGGCATACCGGCTTATTCAACGCCACACGTTATCTTGTAGATACGGAATGGGATGAGTGGGGACGTAGCTCAGTCGGTTAGCTGTCGAGCTAACAATCCGAAGGTCGCGTTCGCGTCCCACAGGTTCTCACAAACTGGTTGCTTGTCTTAATGACACGTGACCTACGGCAGAGATTGCCCTCACAAGAAGTTGTGGTGCTGTATTTTAAAGGTGCTCCGAAATGGGAAAACCTGCCATTTATTCATCTTCTTCAAAAGAGTGAGTGAGCAAGCGAGCAGGCGATTTAGCACTGTGTCAACTTGGAGGAGAGAGGAAGGCTACCCATCTCTCAAACATTTACCCATTTACATGAAAAGTAGGATTATCATATTTTCAACACAGGAAGGTACCGCTGTAAAGTGAACAGCAAAGTATACAAGCGAGTCCGGTAATTCTGCTCATCCGGTAATTCTGCGCAGTTGCAATAGCGTACTTCCGTATCAAAGGTAAAATCTTCCACAACCACATTTACCCTTGAAATCGGGACATTTCTACAATGGACTGGCTTTTAATCACTAAAGGTAAGTAAATAACAGTAATTGACAGAGAAATTGACAGTTTTATGAAAATTCGTTTTCTTCAGACTTTTAAACCTTTTTCTTCATTATCCATTATTGGATTTAATATGAAATCTCCAGCTGGATGTTATGCACATCAGTTGCTGCGCAGAATTACTGGACAGCAAGCGATGTCGTCAGAACACCGGTAAGGTCAACCGTATGGCATAATGCAACGTTAGAATCTTATAGTTGTCAATAAAACTTATATTTCTAGGTAAATATGATGCATACCAGCATGTTTAGTCACGTAAACCACAAAAAATAAGAGATGTTATTTGCCGTGTTGTGATCGATGTGCTTAGGTGCGCGGAATTACCGGACGACATTGTAACATGGACACTCACAGTACAGCATGGATACCCTACTCAGACACAGCTATATGACCTCTTACAATCAGCATCACACCAGTTGTAACCCAAATATTCCTCTATCAGAGTCTGGTAGCTGGACAGTACTCACCATTTCCATAATGAGATGACCACACACGACACACTTCTCTGCAGTCTGCTGAAAACCTGAATACTGAAGGGAAATACAAAGGTTAGTTACACCACAGCAATATTATACACACTGCTATAGCCATTTTCCTTACCCAATATCAGGTTAGATAACATTTTGAAAACACATCTTATACAACAGTCTTGCTATAATGAGTGAGTGAGTGAGTTCAGTTTTATCCCACACTCAGCAATATTCCAGCTATATGGTGGCGATCTGTAAATAATCGAATCTGGACCAGACAATCCAGTGATCAACAGAATGAACATTGATCGAGCAATTGTGATACGATGACATGTGTCAACCAAGTGGGCTAGCCTGACCAACCGATCCTGTTAGTCAGTCACCTCTTACAATAGCATGGTTACTGAAGACCAATTCTCAGCCAGATCTTCATGTGTTTCCTATTATAATGAGGTCAGAACTCCATGAAAACGTGAGGTGAGATAAGATTTTACGCCACATCAGCATTATTTCAGTCACACAGCGAAGAAACAAACTTTACACCTATACTCAAGTCCATCATTAACACAAAGTCACCCTCCATGAATACTTCCTGCCTGTGTGTGATGTCCGTAAGAAATAGACATGAATTAGATCACTGTTATATGTGGGGCAGCCTTGTGGTTAAAACCCAACTCACTCACTCACTGTTATATGGTGTAGTAAGGTCATCTGTTTGTCATGACAGGTTTATTCAGGGATTTATCTAAGAATCCAACTTAAGTAACCTCAACAGCAAATTTGGAAAAACCTATTCCTATTTTACTAAATTCCAAAGCATTGATTCACTCATTCTACACATGTGCTCCTTCCCGACCGACTGCTGTACTTACAAAATACCAATCTTGACATCAATTTCTTTTTTCAAACAACATAACACCCCACCCCCTAATTGCAGTCTTTTACTACATTCAATCATTTGTAAAAGGAAGGATATCAATAACTGGATGAACAACTTCTTTATTGCTGTGAGAGCGACGTTTCGGTGTAGGTTCTAACACCGTTATCAAGCAAGTAACAGTGTTAGAACCTACACGAAACGTCGCTCTCACAGCAATAAAGAAGTTGTTCATCCAATTATTGATATCCTTCCTTACTGCTCCAACTTCTAAATGCCTCTCAAAGAAATCATTAGTAAAAGCTTTACTTTTCACCATGAATTGACACCAGGCCTCCTAAATCTCTTGACAACCCTCGCCTATTACAGACCCTTCAAAGCACTCATGAACGACCATGTACACCAGGCACAGAGTTCAAATAACTTACCACACCTAAATCACAACTAGTCAGATTCAGCTGCCACTTGGCAGTCAAATTAGTAATAGCCTCATGACTCAGGACATAAAGCAGACAGTCATGTCAGATGATGCAGGTTACATTGCTGTGGGGGGGTTGCTGTGGGGTGTTGCTGTGGGGGAGGTTGCTATGGGAGAGGTTGTTGTGGGGAGGTTGCTGTGGGGATGTTGTTGTGGGAGAGGTTGCTGTGGGGGATATTGTTGTGGGGAGGTTGCTGTGGGGATATTGTTGTGGGAGAGGTTGCTGTGGGGATATTGTTGTGGGAGAGGTTGCTGTGGGGGAGGTTGCTGTGGGGAGATGTTGTGGGGAGGTTGCTGTGGGAGATATTGTTGTGGGGGTGGTTGCTGTGGGGGAGGTTGCTGTGGGGGATGTTGCTGTGGGGATATTGTTGTGGGGGAGGTTGCTGTGGGGATATTGTTGTGGGAGAGGTTGCTGTGGGAGATGTTGCTGTGGGGATATTGTTGTGGGAGAGGTTGCTGTGGGGATGTTGCTGTGGGAGAGGTTGCTGTGGGATATTGTTGTGGGGGAGGTTGCTGTGGGAGAGGTTGCTGTGGGAGAGGTTGCTGTGGGGATATTGCTGTGGGGAGGTTGTTGTGGGAGAGGTTGCTGTGGGAGAGGTTGCTGTGGGGATATTGCTGTGGGGATGTTGTTGTGGGAGAGGTTGCTGTGGGGATATTGTTGTGGGAGAGGTTGCTGTGGGAGGAGGTTGCTGTGGGAGAGGTTGCTGTGGGGGATGTTGTTGTGGGAGAGGTTGCTGTGGGGATATTGTTGTGGGGATGTTGCTGTGGGGAGATGCTGTGGGGGATGTTGTGGGGATGTTGCTGTGGGGGATGGGGATGTTGTTGTGGGGGATGTTGCTGTGGGGATGTTGCTGTGGGAGAGGTTGCTGTGGGGATGTTGTTGTGGGGATGTTGCTGTGGGAGATGTTGCTGTGTGGGGGATGTTGCTGTGGGGATGTTGCTGTGGGGAGGTTGCTGTGGGAGATGTTGCTGTGTGGGATGTTGCTGTGTGGAAGGTTGCTGTAGAGGAGGCTGTGGGGGAGGTTGCTGTGGGGAAGTTACGGTGGAGGAGCTGCTGTGGGGAAGGTTGCTGTGGGAGGAGCTGCTGTGGGGAAGGTTGCGGTGGAGGAGCTGCTGTGGGGGAGGTTGCTGTGGGGGAAGTTGCTGTGGGAGAGGTTGCTGTGGGGGAAGTTGTTGTGGGAGAGGTTGCTGTGGGGGAGGTTGCTGTGGGGGATACGCCATACTAAATCACACTTCTTTATACCACAGCCGTAACACTGCTTTAGGTGTTAACGCCTCATACTATTTTCCCACAAACAGATTATTTATTGCATGGACACTCATCCACTAGTGGAGTGCAGTAAATCTTTAGAGTACATGGATATTAGAAGTGTCAATACATCAGTCCATGAGTGTCACCTCAAGTCGTTGTGAGTATTGTTTAACGGTGCCACTTTGAACACTATTATATGAGATGATGTGATGTGGACGGTTCACTTAGCTACCTGAATACACTGCCACTTGTTGGCCTTTTCAAGGTCAGTAACAAACATTACATTGGCATTACATTCCATTATCATCAATGGAATTACAAAGCGGTCTGATGTAGTACTTACCAAATAGTCCTCTTCACAGTAGACCTTCCCGTGGACGTTGTAGAACGCTTTCCCTCGTAACGTCCTCCCTGTCAACACAACAGAAACAGTTTAAACTTGGACATGTGAACAAGTTGGTTCAGTCCCACATTGGACAGTATTTCTGCTGCATCAAAATCCTTGGTTCCTGGCCAGTCTAAGGGACAGAACTCTCTACTGTGAATTGCATCCTTTAACTTGGCATGCACCAAGGTTGTACTGAATGCTAAGCCCATGGATGTATGGTAGTTCTATCTCTCAAAGAGGCAAGTCTAGATAAGCGGACAGTCTGAGAACACCAGTCTGTTATCTACTATTTTTTAGAAATTATCTTTCAAACTATTAAATTTGACCTACGAGACTTGTGCAAGTCTACATTTGACTGACTCAGACACTTGTGCCCACAGAATCCTAACAAATTTGTGTTCAGCTGAAAGTGGCAATACAATCACTTTGACTTGTCGAGAAATCAACTCTCTGTCAAAGAATTTTGTAAGTTTGTTATTTGGGCTTTATATGCTTGCATGTGAATATTAGCTTCATGACTTTGCCATTCATTTACATAAATATTGAAACAAGTACCTTTGTTTGCAAAACTGCTGTGTTTCAATTAAAATGTCAAAACTTTGAACATAATCTTGTAACAAAAACATCTTACACTGAATAAAGACCTTAACCTCAAATTAACCCTGAAAAAATCTGTTCAATGGAATCACTTTTCTGTCTTCTACATCAAGCCAACACAGGGGTGGAAATAACTTTAAAATTGCTAGTGAACTCCAGTACAGTGGCACATGTAAAATCACTTGCCCTGATAATTTTTCCACTATACCGGCCATTTTCTTGTTGATTTTTTAAATAAACAACATAATTAACATTGGAATATCAACTGGACACCGGTACAGTGTGATATACAAATTTGCTTGCCCGACAGAAAAAAACACTGGAGTCGGGCAATGGGTTATTTCCACCCCTGCAACATGGCCACTATGATCTGGGAAACCAAGTACCCAATCTGGCCTTTGTCATCAGGAACATATTTTAAATACCTAAAACAGGAAAAACCTTCAAGATGAACAAATACTTCAGTTTCAGTTTCTGTATCAACATGTAGCAGTGTTCGTTCTTCAAGTAATCAGGTCAAGTGTCAGGCATCCTGTCTCCTACACCTGGACATGTCACTGCAGTTACATGAGAGATGACATCTTTCAGGAATCTTATCAGGTGTCTCCTAGCGACACGGCATATGGCATCATGTGAGAACTTTTCAAAGAATTAGCAGTAAACAGTCACTCAGTGAGTATTCCTCTACCCACTCAGTTACTCATTTAAGGTCATAACAAATACTCTACTAAAGAATTAGCAGTAAACAGTCACTCAGTAAGTATTCCTCTACCCACTCAGTTACTCATTTAAGGTCATAACAAATACTCTACTAAAGAATTAGCAGTAAACAGTCACTCAGTGAGTATTCCTCTACCCACTCAGTTACTCATTTAAGGTCATAACAAATACTCTACTAAAGAATTAGCAGTAAACAGTCACTCAGTGAGTATTCCTCTACCCACTCAGTTACTCATTTAAGGTCATAACAAATACTCTACTAAAGAATCAGGGCTTCCATCAATTCTTATGATATGTACATATTTTTAATAGGAAAAGAAATTTGATGTAAATTGATTTACAAATGAGAAACATTTCCTTCCCACATATTTGATCAACTAATAGGCAGAGATAATGTTATTAACAACCTAGAATATGAAGAAAGTTGACTCTTTCCCCTTCTGAAGTTTAATGGACTCTTTCCCCTTTCCCCTACATTGACTTTTAATCAACGGAGCTCATAAACAAGGCATAAACAACGAACAACAACCAACAATCTTGAAATCCAAATCCAGTATACTCTGCTGTAACTTGGTTAATGAATAAAAGTTGATGACAACATCATGTCAGACAAGTACAAAAAGGTTCTCATAACTTGTTTAGGTGGGAAACTTCCTTGCTGATCATACTTTGTCATAACAAAACCTTACAGGAATGCCAATAAGGAAGTGTTTCCACCTCATTAGGGCCCCAACTATCCACATGCAGCTCTGTGAATATGGAAGTGTTGCCAGCCTATCGGGACCCCAGCTACCCACATGTAGCTCTGTGAATATGGAAGTGTTGCCACCCTATCAGGGCCCCAGTTATCTACATGAAGCTCTCTGAATATGGAAGTGTTTCCACCCTATCAGCACCCCAGCTATCTACATGCAGTTCTGTGAATATGGAAGTGTTGCCACCCTATCAGGGCCCCTGTTATCTACATGAAGCTCTCTGAATATGGAAGTGTTTCCACCCTATCAGCACCCCAGCTATCTGCATGCAGCTCTGTGAATATGGAAGTGTTGCCACGCTATCAGGACCCCAGCTATCAGCATCAGTATGTGAACAATGTGAAGAGCATGTTATCAGCTGAGCTTCTCTCCACCTATTGGCCTCTCACTGACAAGACACTCTGTAGTAGCAGTTATCTTTGACTGATGGACTCGAGATGACCTCAGTATTGTAATCAACCAGACAAATTTGGGCTTCAATCAAACTGACCAATCCTGAACTATATGCTTCACAAAAACTTACCAATCGCAAACAGAAGCTGTAGGTTAAAAAACTTCAAAACTTTGAACCCTGTAGACACTTGCACAGAGAATAGAAGAGGATATCATACCAAATGCAAAGATGACTGAAATAATCTTAAAGTTTAAGTCTTTTTAGTGAACTAACCTGAATTATCAGTTATTATACAGCCAGACCATTTCTAAATCCTGGTTTCTAAATAGTGAAATGAGAAAAAACATGAATCTTAAAACAAAAGTTGGCTGTGATGGGTTTGAATCCCTGTTCGGTCTGTGTACTGTTTCAGGTTTGTCCCCACCATGTACGAGGTTTCTCCAAGGTGGTTAATGTCCAAGAACTGAATGGCTTCAGACTTTCCTCCCACACGATATCTGACACGCTGTGACATAACTTCAGTAAAGTATGAAGCAATGTTAAACCAAAGTTGTCTATATTCAGCATTATTTCTAATTCTTGTATAAGAGCTTGCAACAACTTAGACAAACATTGAACCCGTTTCTTGGCAGTCTGATTGTTATGTACAAGCATTGTTAGTGGTGCTGGAAACTTACTAAATATAAACACATTTGAAAGTGGCAAAATATCAGACACTCGAGAGTCAACTAATTCAAGGTCCGTTACTTACTGCTGGGGCAGTGTTCTAGCCATTCAGTCAAATACTGAGTGAGTGAGTATGGTTTAATTCACTTTCAGCAATATTCCAGCAACATCACAGCAGGGGACACCAGAAATGGGCTTAACACATTGTACCCATGTCGGGAATCGAAGCCAGGTTTTCCGCAGGACGAGCGAACACTTCAACCACAAGCTTAACCCACCGCCTCTTAACCAAACAAGATGGGATGGTGTCACTGAGGATTCAAGAGAGTTCGCAGTTGGTGAAAATACTGCTATGAAAATGCCATCCCTGTGTTCAATGTTCCAGATCAAGCCCTTCCTTCAGTGTGGTGTTTGAAGTGTGATGTGTGAAAACAGTAACAAAGGCATTGTGACAAAGGCAATCTAGAGAGGTGCAACCACGCCCCTCCCATACAGAGTTATGTCCCCTTGGCAGGTCAGGAATGCCTGCTTCACCTCACCTCCACAAAACACCACAGCTGCAAACACCCTCAACCTAGGGCCCTTTGTTAGTGAAGGGTAATTACTGGAACTGATATATCTGATATCCGGAACCTTTCAAAGAAATTAAATTCTTCTTCACTGTCAAGTGTTTCCTTCAGATGGCCCCTGATACAGGTGAAGAAAGTGTTTGTTGACCACAACAATGGCTCCTTCAGTGGTCAAGGGGAGCATTCAGGTAGCGTCTGTGGCCTCTGGTCATAGCGACCATCTGAACACTGGTTTGGTCGTTAAATTAGGAAATCAGTTGGAAAAATAACTTACACACATGGATGCATAAGGAAATGTTATTTTCTCATTTAATTCTGGCAGTAGATTGAATAGAGTATATTTTACAGGAAAAGTCTAGAAATATTTCTGGGGGTTGAAAAAAAATATTGTGATTTCTGTATGTTTAAGAGAAATGATTAATTAAATTTTTTTAGGAACTTATTCAAAATGTTTTGCCAAATTTCAATATAGGTGCTCAAAAAAAGAAAGAATTTGTAACAAAGTAACAGCTTCGAACGAAAGCAAACTCCCAGATCACACCTTCACACAAGTGTGAATGCAAGGCAATAACAAACAGTAATATTAAAAAAACAAAATATCCATTTTACCAAACTGTAAAAATAGTGCTGTAATTTTAAAAGTCATATATTTCATATTTCACATTGTATATCTTTATCTTGTATTTACAGAGCCAGATGTGGTAACAATGTGAAACTTTTAAATATTTACAGAACAATTTGGAACATACAGGTTCAGATCTTCAACAAATGTATATATAGACAGTTGTTCACTAGTAGTTTCATGTCACTGGTCCAACAAGACATATGCTCAAAAGACTTTGAGCCAGGTGAGCTAAATATAAAGATACAATCCATACATGACAGCTGAGATGGACTGGAATGTTATCGCACTCCAGATAATTGTGATTGTGTTAACAGCTTCACGTATGATATTTTGAAAACCATATCTGGCCATTATCACCTTATCGCCATTGATAAGCCTACTTGACAACATTGTTGCAGAGATTGGAGTTCTAGTGGTTTTGACACAGCCAGTCAATGACATTCCTATACCATTCTCCCTGTATCAGTGGTGTTCTATGTCAAGTGCTCTCAAGGACCTGACCTTGACCTTCACACAGCTCGTTATCAAGGTCTGCTTCTGCTAATTACCCCAAACTTTGAACACAAGAGTCAGCTGAGGTTAACAGTAATGACCTCAGGCAAGGAAAGGAAGCATTACTTTGAAGAGTAATGGCTGATATCCTGGTGTTTCTGTGAAGTGAGCAAGGCAGGATGTCACAGTTTGGAGTGAGTGAGTG